AAGAGCGGCACATGCTTTGCTCGCTTCCCGTCTTTTTTTACCAAAAGCATCCTTACTTATCCAAGGCCAAGGCTACGCACGAAACGTTCCGGGGCCTCGACGAGGCATTTGGGATTAACGATTTATTCCGCGGTCGTTAGTTGTTCACGTTGACGAAAGAGCAAGAAGGCTGGGGATCTGCGTGCTGTTTTCTTGGGTTTTAAAATGTTGACCTCTTTTGTGTTGTGCCCTTCGCATCGTAGCCTACAAGAAGCCATTCACCCCCAGGCTGACAGTATACGGTGGAAGGTACGCTCTCGTTGCGCCAGTCACACGTGTACATTTTGCCATGTAACCACGTTCTCGTTTATACCAGTGAAGGGGTCAGGGGATCAAAGGAAGGCATGGTTGATTGGTTCCGGTGAGCTCGTAGCTCCCACCGCACTGTCAGCTTACGAGTGAATGAAGATAGTATCGTCGTGGTGACGTGGCGCCGTGAATGCGTCTGGAGTTTGTAAGTGCCTTCCAGTGATGTCTTCACACGAAAACGTTTTTCTTGTTCGTCGCGCGAGCCCGCCTTCGCGCATCTGGCGTGTTCCTCGTACGAGGCTTTGCTCTCAGATGACCCTCGAAGTTTGCTCTGATGACTGTTTCGCAGCATTTCGCCATGCAAAATAATTTTTCTATTCTTTTTTTTCTTAAAGTTTACAAACGAACTGTTTCATTTGGAGCGAAAGTAATTTCAAAAGCAACGAGTAACTTTCTCGAAATTACTTCCCGAAACTAATTTATTACATTACTAAATTACCAACATAAATTAATTAATTATATTACTCTTTACCTCAGAAAGTAATTCAATTACTGTAATTTCATTACAGTAATGTCATTACTGCCTTCTCTGCTTTTAACTCGCGCAACGTCGTCTTAATTCTCAAACATTGTCATGGAGTTTGAGCTTTCTGCGATGCAGTTTATTTATCAGGGTGGAAAAACGCGGTTTTATTTTATTTATTTATTTTTTTGAGGGGGGATTTTTTGTAACAAGTACTTTCTAACTCAATCTTTTATGATGTGACGCTCTTTCATTCCCCTAAGACCCCTTTCCCATGGGCGCCGCCATCTTGAAAAATCGTCACTTCCGGTATGGGCGAAAACATTGTTTTGCCGTCGCCACGCCGATAGACTACATTTACCCATCCTCGTTTTCCCTCCCCTCTATTTTTTTTTTTTTTTTTTACACTATTTGGAGGTTGAAACGTTTCACTATTTTTTTTTTCGTCGCCCATACCGATTATGCCTACGAGGTAGGACGAGAGTTAAACGTGTGCATCGTTTTAGGGGGCGATCGGGGTGCATCGGTTGTTTTGGGACTCTAGCGGCGTATATATGGAGTATGTCAATTGCGCCACAGAGTAGTCGGTGACCCCCGCTGACGAACTATTTAGAGGCCGACGTACACTTCGCGCTTTCCACTTCTGCCTGCCATTCTCCTTTCCTATATATCCTTGCCACTTGTTACCTTGTCCCAACTTGGCCCTCCTCGCAGCTTAGCAGAGGGGAGCGCTAGGAGGTCCAGAGAAATGACAAAATGACCTCTCGAAAACGATGGCACATAATGACACGACAACGATACGCCATTTTTTTTTTTCCTTAGAGGTTGGTGAACACTTATACTCGGCGTCAGAAGTTGTGTACTCTAGCGAAGGACACGAATGCGTGGTCCCTGAAAGAGCTACGTTTCACCGAGCGCAAGAAGGCACTGCCCAGTCCAACGCGCTCGTCCCCATGCCTTTCTGGGCGCTGTACACAACATACGGAGTATGGTTATTGCCTTCTGAAAACAGTAAAAGAGACGACTCCTCTGGAAGGTCGCTCTCCTGCGGGCACCCCCAGCAGCAGCTTGGAGATGGTCTACCCAGTTGGTGACCGACAAGACCCATCCGCACCACAGCATAAATAAGGTTGGGCACTGAATGCCGAAAACAACAGAGCAATCTCGGCTTGCCCATAAGACACTTTTTGTGCCCTATGGCAAAAAAAAGGTTTCACGGTATTTGGGGAATGTACTTTAAAGTCGGGAGTTAAGCTTTGCTAAAAAAATATGACAAAAAAAAAGTAAAGTAGGAGTACATACTAAGATCATAATGTACTCCAAAGAGTACAAGTTTCCTAAAGCTACTCAAAGTAGTACTTTAAGTAAAACGCTCCAACACTGCTCAAAAGCAACAACCTTTTTGGCCTGCTTCTACCACATTGGAAGAAGGAAGGTGCAAAAACGTCCGGCCACACCACTGCCTACCAAATGGGTTTGCGGGGTGACTAGCGCGGCGTTCGAACTGTTCCATTGTAGCAACGGTGGCGGCGTCTCCGTTTCAAGAAATGCAAGGCACAACAAAGTACCCACACAACAAAGCAGCCCCCCCCCCCCCCCCCCCCCCTTTCCACCATCTACCTTCTTTACCTCTTTCTTCCCCGCTTTCTCGCTAAGTACAGAAGTCAACAAAAGTGGAGACGCTTTTGCATTGTCCGTGGACTTGGCTTCCTTTTCGCTTCCCCGCGGCCAGTCGGTCCGTCTGTCTTGATTGCTTTTTTTTTTTGCTTTTTTGCGGCGAAGGAAGAAGAGGCGAAGGCGGACAAAAGAAAGTGTTCAGCACGAAAAGCCCCATGACCGGCCTTGACATCGTTGATAAAGCCCGCGAGCGGATTTTTTCTTTCTTCTTTTTTTCTTTAGGCCGAGGAAGCAAGGGCTCGTCTGCTCGCCGACCGCCGAAATTTTCGGAGCTGACCTGACCATTTGTTGTTGTTGTTGTTGTTGTTGTTGTGTTTGTTGCTGTTCTTCTTGTGTCAGTTCATGTATCGGATCATGTGCTCTGCTCAGTTGCGTTCACATATGACTGACGAGGTGCGTGTCCTAGTTAATTTTGTCTTCGACTGTTTTGGATGCACGTTGGGAAGAAGAATTTGGTGAAGACTCGCGCTTGTGATAGTCACACGGGTAAGCGGTTTTTCTGATTGTGACCTCAAAGTAGTAGGAGCAGACGAGATCATGGTAGCGCTCTCCGACTGCGCCTCCGTTGGCGCCCATGTCATATCTGCATCAATGCACGAGCCGCCGAGTCACATCCTAAAACAAATACAGACGGAAGAGGACGAACGTACGATAAAACATGCAAAGATTTCCGTTTCCGAGCGGCGGGAAGCAGACAACAATAAAAGTGGGAAGACAATCGTCTAAATAAGAAAACGATAAAAAAAAAAAAAAAAAAAAAAAAAAAACATTGTCGTCTGCTAGCTTTACGCACGAGGAGGAGGCAAGCAGAAGCGAGCAGACTGCTGCAACTTTCAGTCGCTTTTTCCCCGAACTTGGCATAATAAATTTTGGCCCGTATAAATTCTTAAAATAAACTGCGCATGCGCGGGCCATCAGCGGCGTAGTAGATTATCCAGCGGCTCTAGTAGCTGGCTGACTTAGGGCATCGTGAGTGCGCGCCTGGCTACAAAAGGGTAATTTGACGAGAAACGAGACGCCAAAAAAGAATCGCGAGAACCTCGCCACGCTCTGATGCAAGAGAGCTTCCCCCACGACAGGATTACATTGAATTTGTCTTTTTTTCCTTCTTTTTTTTTTTTCCCTATGTGTTTTGAAATGCGCCATCTCGAATTCAAGGGGAAGAAAATGGCTGTCGTAGTTTCGAAAGAACCAACAGCACACAAGTGCATTAGGGGTGGGCTGCCGCTGCCAAACGGGAAGCGAATAAATATAATAAAAAAGTAAATGAGAGACGAACTTCCATCAGGAGAAAACGTGGGGCGGCTGACGTCACGACACGTCACATCGGGGAGAAAAAAAAAAGTGATAAAATGGGGACATACCGTGACACTAGATGGCGCCACGTGTCCGAAAAAAAAAAAAGTGGGCGGGTCACTCGAAAAGTGGGCGGGGTTTCCGGCGCTTTTTGTCGTCTGTTTCTTTCGGGCGCAAGCCGTGGGATGCGTGGCCGGCTTCACTGGTCCGCTAATAAAGACGAATTAAGGGAAAGGCTCGCGCAATTATGCCTCGCCAGCGCGGTGGACCCGGCCAAAAACGGGGAACTAAACTCCGATATGCACGGACCGCGAGGTTTTGGTACCGTAGCGGTAGGCCTAAGAGGCGATGAAACGAAAACTAAATCACGTGAAGCGCCGTCGGGACTTCTCCGGTTTTCCCAACAAAAACGACAAATGATAAAAAAAAAAATAAATGCAACCATGACCATCAAAACGCGAGTCAAAGCGCTCCGTGACTGTTTCGCGTTTTAAAATTTTTGCTGAAAGCAAACATCCGACAAAGCAGACGACGTCCGTATAATCGAAGAGAAGCGTCCGACCACGCGCTCTGGATTTCCCGACGGCCGTGTGGTGGAGAACCGAGGAGGTGTCTGCCAACATCAAAGTGCGATAAATTCCGCGACAGCGAAATGCAGCCTTCGCGGGCGAGCCAAAAGATAGGCTAGGATCAATGTCCAGCGGCCTGCATAACGATTCCTGGAGCGGGGACGCGGGAGCAAGCGAACGAGCGGGGGGAAAGTACGTACTTCCGACCCCCCTCTTTTCGCAGATCGAAACCGGGGGCCCAAGCGAAAACAAAATAGGAGCAGGAGAAGGGGGCGATTATCCGAATTAGGCCTGGCAGCGGCCCTCTAATACGTCCCCCGAACCCTGCCCGTGCGTCTAGGCCTCGGCCCCGCGTACCGAAGGCGGAGCCGAAGTCGCTCTCGGGCGCCGAGAGCCCATTCCGGTGGCTCTCCGCTAGCGCTGGCAAAATGACAGCCAAAACTTCACACGCCGCGCCTCGCATTTGAATGAAAAACATGTGAATTGCCCCGACGAGCTATCCTGCTCCGAGCGGGGCCGCGACGGCGCAAGCGGGGGCCCCCGAGCCCCGCGAGCAGGATAGCGACTCCCTCGTAAATACCACGCAGGTGCTGTATTGTTATTAAACTCCGGCGCGCATGCGCACTGGCCCGGCTTATATCAGATGTTTCAAACATGGCGGCGGCGGTCCGGCCGTCCTGTTCTTTTGTGGCCGCTAGTTGCCTGCAAAAGGGGGACCGGCTACGAAATTTCGACCCAAAACTGTTCGGGCATCGTCGGCCCGAAAGCCTCTTGGACATCTGCGCCAAAGTGGTCGCCCAGCACATCCCGTTCCAGCGAATCGAGGAGCGTTACAACAGGATACCTGAGCCAGTGCAACGGAGGATAATTTTTTGGTCCTTCCCACGGAACGAACGGGATATTTGCATGTACTCGTCGTTATCAAGTGACTCCAACAGTTGTGGTGACTACCAGAAACTTCCCTTCTACCGCGGTCTCAAGCTCTACGAGGCTGGATGCGTCGATAATGTGTTGCAAGTCGGTAAGTACCCAACCGAAGCGCCGAACAAAGACCCCTAATAGGTTCTCGGGCGACGCGCTCCGCCGTGGACCGCCGAGGGCCGTAGCTCGGGGGCAGGTGCTCGCGAGGTGCATTGGACGAGCGGTTCGAGAACCCCGGACCTGCACCGATACTTGGCAAGGCTCTCGAGTCCGTAGCCGGGGCGTCTTTTGCAAACGGGCGGTGTCGGCGACACCCCAGGCGGCTAATTTAATCGGTTCCATTATTGATTACGCTTGCCTTTCTATTTTTGTTTGCTCGCGTTCGGTGCCGATTTTCGCACGTCCTGCACGTATTAGATAAACTAAGGGTCGTTTCCGTCGACGCCTTTTCGTTGCCGACTCTCGTGCACGACGCAGTTTTGTACGATAGCGTCCGATATTGGAGACGATCCCGACGATCCTCTCCCGAGAGGTTGCGGGGGGGCTGGGTCTCTGCGCCCGACGACGGAGGATTTTGGTAAACAAACCGCGTGAGCGTTGTGTGGGACCCACCCTACGTCGCAGAAAGGACGACTCGACGTAGAAAGCTTCTCGGTATTTTATTTGGCATTTCTTTCGAGCGCTTTCGTAGCCGCGAGCGCGTTCCGCTAGCGTAATCATCCCTCGCTGCGTCAGCGAGCTGGCGTCCGTTCTCTCTGGAGCGCGCGCGTGCGTTTGTATGTTCGTGTTCGCATGTGCTTGTATTTGTTTTGGTCCCACGGTGCGAGCTAGTAGCAAGCAAGCTGTATTAGGCCTAGACGTCGCAGGCTGTTCGGTGTTTCATGCGCGTTTTTTTGGTCGCCGTTGCTGCCGTGCTTCAGCAATTTAACAAAGCATGATCGAGTTGAGGTACCGAGCTGCCGAGACGCGAATGGCAAATGGTTGCAGACGATCGGTGCGCTTTGATCGCAACGGCGGCGCTGCATCTGGCGCTGGGGCAAGGCTAGGCCTCGCTATCGCTATCGGCGGGGTTCTTGCCGGACGAGAACACTCATCAAAATGTAAACGGCAAATCTCTTTTTTCTTCCTCGGAACGTTTCTTTATGATTCCCGTCGGGCTTGTGCGCGTCTCACTGGGGAGAGGCGAATTCGAGCGGGGACTCTTTCGCATCGCGGAGGCTCCGGACGTTGTGATTGGGTTTCGTCCGAAGCTCTTGTCCGCGCGGCGCGGCGGACGCGGTGGAAAAGCAAACATTCGCGGCGTTTTCCCCCGCGGCAGCAGTAATGTCGTTTCCCTACACAAAAAATCAAAACAAAACGCGTTTGCATTTTTAATGGAGTAGTTGATATATACGTGTATATATGCGAAGAGAAAGAGGAGATAAAAATGCGAGAAACGGATTTCTGCCTTATGTAAGGGCCGTGTGGTGGAGAACTTTTGCGTTGCGTTTGATAGATCTCGATAGGGCGTCTGCTTTTCTAGATGGTTTCGTTTTTGCGTCGTCTGCTATTTCGCTTGATCCGGCATTTTTCTTTTTTAATTTTTTTTTGTCTTTTTGAGGCGGAGATGCTTCTCGTTGTTATCATCGCACGCTTTGGTATTACTCCGTTCTTTTGTCGTAATTAAAGCGGCGCAAAGGTGGAAAAAGGAAAATAAAAAGCTGCCTCAGGGACGCTTTTGTGGTTGTTCTTTTCCGTTTTAAATTCGGGGGCTTCTGGCGTTCTCTTTTCGTTTCGTGGGAAGGTGGTGTGGTAGGCTGGGGTTCGTCGAAAGAGGCAATTAAATAAACGAAGAAAAAGTCCGTAGGCTGTTACTTTGTGTGTGCGTAGAAATGCGCGTCGTCTTAAAATGCGAAGCGTCGGTGGTATGAATGCCGCTTTGACAAATGAAATGCGCTTTGACAAATGAAAGATGTAGTAGCTCGTTAGGTTAGGCAGGGAACGAGCGAAGTTGAACCCTTCTTATTTTTTTTTTTTTTTGTAATGTGTTTGTTTGCATTGTTGGGAAGTTGGGAATGCTGCATGTAAACACGGTATGGTTAGCGGTTTGTTTGCTGCTTCCTACGTGATGCGAAATTAAAATTAAAGTGCAACGCATACACTACTCGTTACATACTGCGTTTACCAGACACTTTGGATTTGGTGTTCGCTTTCTACGTAGCATTATGTTGGGGGTTTAGCAATTCGACGTGGAATCTTTTGGTTTCTTTTATTTACTTTTTAGACTGCGAATTGATTTCTGGCTCAAATATACTTTCATTTGGCCGATTGTCAAGGAGGACTCAAGTTTTATGGTTTCTTGGCAGTTAGAAAGCGCGTTTTGTTTTATGCTTTAACCTTACACGAAAAAAAAAGAAGCAAAAACTTGCATAAATTTGGCTTGCTTTTGTTGCCTGGTATAAATTGTAAGACATTTCAATTATATAAAAAAAACGAAAAAAAAAAACGCGAAACAGAAAATGGACACACCGCAGTGTTGTGATGCATTCCTCTTTTTATTGTCCGTGTTTTTTGCGTTATTTGCTTTAAAAAAAAAAAAAGTACTGCCAATGAGGTCAGTGGTCAGCACTAGACATTTCTATGGCTGCTGTACTGTTGGAGCTTAGGCTGTGCACATAATGTTTTTTTGAATGATTTATTTATTTACTGATTGATTGATTTACGTTACCTCTGAGCATTGTTCTTTTTTTTTTTTTATTTTATATTGTGTGGACTTTCTTATGCTTGTGGGGTCCAAGGGGCCACACTAGCTAAAAGTTAGTTTTTCTTTGCTTCCGGCTTATTTGGGAATGTCATAATATTCCAGAGTTCCGTATTCTTCCGTATTCTTTCCGTTTATTTATTTTCATTTAATTACCCTCCTTTTTCCTTTCCCGAAATTCACTCCTCTCTGACGCACCGTCAGAGAGGAGTGAATTTCGGAAAAGGAAAAATGCTTAGTAATAAATAGATTGCATCAAAGAAATTCAGCAACAATTACTGCTGTTTATGACAACAACAAAGGTTAATCGATCACGGCATTTCTAAAAATGTTATTATTGGCAGCTTCAGGCACAGGTGTGAGAAGGTGACTTTAGTTAAACGACCTGTTGGGGTAAAAGAATCACAAAATATATTAGTGCTGCAAGATGGAATGCCAACTTTGTACCTATGGTTGATGAGCACTGATAGGTATAGGAGTGGTAATCTTTGCTTGAAACGCGAATTGTAATGATATATATTGTGGAACAGATGCAAGTGGCACTCATTTCTTCTTTTGGAAAGGTTAGGGAGCAGTAAAGCTGATATTTATTGCCGACATGCTGGTGATGCAGTAATAATTAGAAACTACGAAGTGTGGGGAACAACTCAAAGCCATTCATAAATAATAAAATAAAGACCACAATCTCGTTTCCAATCTCGGTAGGTGTTCTTGCCTAGATGAGCCAGACCGTAGCACTTGTGGCCCTGTTGACATTCTGTTTGGCACTTTAACATCATAATCAAAAGTGTAGACTAGTCAGCCAAAAACAGTGATTGATGTTTCAGTAAGGGAGAGCTGGCTTGGATTTCCTGGCACCCATGCTTTAATATGTGCTTTATTGGCCCGTGGTCCACTGGGTTGTTATTTTATTGAAACCTTCGTTTATAAATTGTAGCTTTTATGGAGATGCAGTTTGCATGTCGTAGCCAACTGAGAAAGGTGCCTTGTGAAAGGAAGTCTTAGAGCGGCATACAATGTTTTGTCAAAAAGACATACGCTTGTTTTGATCTCAAAGACTGTCGCAAAACAAGTTTGGCCCCTTGTGGTGCATTACTAATATCTCGTTTCAGGTTGTAGATTAAGATACCTGTATGTGCATTTACGACGTTTGATAATCTATTAAGATGTACACAACTCAAATGCAAAATACTTTTTTTTTCTCTCTGTCAACCAAATCTTGCAGAACTACTTAGTGCAGCGTATGAAGTATGCACAAAACTCACTTTGTTTTAATGTAGAATGCTTTTTGAATCTAGCTTCGGAGTCTATAACATCATACAAGGTCGTGACTGCCAGGTTTCTTAGCAAAAATCGTTTTGTCCCTTGGCCGGTATCAAACTAATCAACTCTAGGTCATTGGTTCAATTCTCTACCGCTCCGCTACCAGAGTGGGTTGGAAAAGCGTATCTGCCAAGTCTCCCGTATTATCCAAGAGGCTCCCAAATTTTAATCAATTTATATGTTTGATGACGGACAGAAAAATATCCTGAAGAACGCAAATTAACTTTCCTGTACTTAAACAAGGAGCTTTTGCCGTCGCAACAGACAGCTGCAATGATAGTGAGGCCCAGCTGTATTTTGCTAGCATGAGCAGTGTGATATAAATGTAATGAAGTTGTCTTCATGCGAATTCGTTGTCAACATAGGTTAGAAATTCTCCCAGATTTGGTTTCTCCAAACTTGGCAGGTGTGGAAAAGTGTTTTTTTTAGCTGCCATATAAATACTCCTGTGGCCAAACAAAAGTGCAACCTCAATACTTTGTTTTGAGGTTGCACTTCCATTTTGTTTTTATGCAATGTTTGGTTTTGCTTCTAGTAATCTTTTCATTATTTTTGCCTTGGCCTCTTCATAGGCGGCCGGCCATTTTCACCAATAAATAAATAAATAGATAAAGCTGACAGATGTAGAATGCATCATGCTTATATCTCATACCCTGATAAATTGCCCCAAAAGCCTAACAAGCACAACTTTATGCAAATTAAAGAGGTAATTTTTTTTTTTTTTTTTTTAAGTGACAAAAAGTATAGTTATTTTTATGTCTGCACTTTTTTAAAATGTTGGCTACTAATTGTGACGCTTCCGGGTTGCTTCTTTTACAGCTTTTCCTACCAGCTCTGACTGATTTTGTCTTGTGGCATACCTAGTGCTATAAAAATGTCTCACTTTCTCCTCTTCAGGTTTTCATCTAAGTGGCAGTGTCACGCCCAGCGCCCCGGGCACTGGTTACCCCGCCGAGCCCGAGAGAAAATTTCGGATCTCAATCAGCTTCGACAGGTATGTGCGCCGCCATTTTGAACATTGTGAGAGTCCGATTTCTGGGAGATTCGTCGTCTCTTAACTCGCGGTGGATACACTCTGAGTGGCACTATCGCGGACAATAGGAGCTGAAACAGTCCTTCGTGCTTCTTTTGCGTACCTGCTGGTTTTTGAGCGAGCTGTGGTCAGAGCTAGGAGTAGGGTGCTAAGTTGAGGCCTCATACTTGGTACTATTTGACAAACTGAGGAATAATTGAGCTTCTGGAGACTGCAGACAAGGAAAAGGGCTGGATCGAGTGTTTCAGCTTTCATTGTCTGAGTGGGTATACCTTCGTCGAAATGCGTTGTTTGAACCCCCCCCCCCCCCCTTCCCCCCCCCCCCCCCCCCCCCCGCCTAAGCAAGAAGCATGCCGCATCACGGTGTCTGACAAGACAAGTTGTCTGCTAACTTGAAATCGTCTGCTAAGTCTGGTTCGCCGGAACTTATGTGCTAACAAGTGCTGAAGTCCCAGCTCCTGCCTTTGCCGGCTCTGAAGTCAGCATTTTGGATGGGTTATGTAGAGCGCAAGTTTGTCTGCTTCTTGCACAGAGGTTGCAATGATGTCAGAATGCCAAGCTCTTATTGGCTGATTGAAAAAAATAGTGGGTAGACCTCAAGGCATCCATCATTGAGGTCTACCCACTATCCTTTCAAACAAAGCCAATCGGAGCTTGGCATCGTTCTGACGTCACTGCAACTACTGTGCAAGGAGCAGACGACTTGCCCTCTGTATAGGCAAGAAGCGTGCTAAACTACAGCACTCAACAAGATGTGAGTCTTGTTCAGTGCAGTTATTGTTGAGTGCACTCAACAAGTTTGTTAACTGGAAGATTTTTGCTTAGTTGCAGTTGTCTGCTAAGTGTTTAACTGAATCCTGTCCGCTAACGGGACACTGAAGTCTCGTCTAGGTTGCGGTGCTCGACAAGATGAGTTGTCTGCTAACTGCAAGTTGTCTGCTGAGTTACGCTCATCCGCAAAGTCTGGTTTACTGGAGCTTGTTCGCTAATGGGACACTGAAGAGGTCGTCATAGTTTAAGTCTATGGTTGTCACATCCATACTCCATTTCACTTGAAGTGTGAGCGTAGCAGAAGCTAGGAGAGCGAGCTCCGGGCTTTCAGCGTCCCTACCAAACATGCGGGCTCGTGCAGTGCGAGCATCCTTCAGGACAACACGGTTGGGCTTGTAGCTTCGGCTTCGTTTGCACATGAAGTGAAACGGGGTGCAGCAGACTTATCTCGGGAAATACTGATTCAAGATTTAATCCAGACAAACAATTATTTGCTGCGTAAATCAATTTAAGGGAAAATGAACTGATCTTTTTGGCTGTGCCGCACCTGTAGTGGGAGAAAATGGAAATCTGCCCGCAATGTTTCAGTCTCTTGCTAACCCACACATCATAATTTGAGTGAAATTTCACATTATCTCTCTGCCTCTCTTTCTGCCTCCATGGTTCTCGGCAGAAGTTTTGGTTTGAGTTCTAGTGGTCTTTTCTGCTAGTTATTATATAGCCTGTTCTGTGCAAAAGCTATTACAGTAGAGCTGTTAAGGGCTAGTTTCTGCAGTATCGAGTCATAAGCAAACAAATGATGACACAAAACTTTGAACAGCTACCGCCATCTATAAGCGACGGTGGCAACCAGACAACTGGCTTGATGGTTGTCTGGTTGCCGCCGTCACTCTGGTTTTTTTTAGAGTGGAAAGGCTGCATTTCTCGAGGCGTCATCCTGGAGGTCGTCCTAGAAGTCGTCCTTGAGGTTGTCCTTGAGGTCGTCCTAGAAGTCATCCTTGAGGTCATCCTAGACAATGTCCTCGAGGTCGTCCTAGAAGTCGTCCCTGAAGTCATCCTAGACGCCGTCCTTGAGGTTGTCCTAGACATCCTTTCTGAGGTCGTCCTTGGCATCGTCCTAGACGTTGTCCCTGAGGTCGTGCTAGACGTCGGCCTTGAGGTCGTCCTAGATGCAGTCTTTGTGGTCTTCCTAGACGGCGTCCTCTAGGCGTGGTCCTTGAGGTAGTGGTGCAAAACTATCGACAGTACCATTGATAATCATCAGAAATCTGACTATCAATAGTAAAAAAAACTCCATAGTACTATCGATAGTTGACTATAGAAAAACTATCGATAGTACTCGATAGTCGACTGTCGAAAAGTTTTGGATAGTACTATCAATAGTCGACTATCGAAAAACTATTATTAATCGACCGTCGGAAAACTATCGTTAATCGACCATCGGAAAACTATCGATAGTTGACTATCGTAAACCTATCGATGGTACTGTCAACGATTAATTATCGATAGTTTTGCGACACTAGTAGTTTGCGTCGCTCCCTCTCCTCTTTTTATTGCTTTATTTTTTGCAAATGGGACACCAACTAGCACAGGCACTTACTATCCCAACTTTGGTTCAGCTTTCAGTGACGGCGAAGACGGGAGTTTGGGCGAAGAGAGGAGAAAGGGAGGCGAGCTGCGGAAGGTAGGGCGAGGGTAAGAAGGGGCGGGGGAGGAGGAAGCAGACCGAATGCTGGAGAAGAGATGGGGGAACCTCCTTCTCTTTTTAGCGTTCCGTCTGCTTCCTCCTCCCGGGCCCGTCTTACCCTCGCCCTACCTTCTTGAGTTGCAAAGAACTTTAATAGTGCAAAACTATCGATAGTGTTATCGGTAGTATCAATATTCGCCAGAAATCTGATTATCGCTAGTAAAAAAAACTATCGATAGTCGGCTATCGAAGAACTATCGATAGTACTATCGATAGTCGACTATAGAAAAACTAGCGATAGTACTATTGATAGTCGACTATTGAAAAACTATCGATAGTCGACTATAGAAAAACTATTGATAGTCGATTATTGAAAAACTATCGATAGTACCATCGATAGTTGACTATCAAAAAACTATCGATATTACTATCGATAGTTGACTATAGAAAACCTATCAATAGTACTGTCGATAGTCGACTATCGATAGTTCTGAGACACTATCAAAAGTTTTGGAAAAACTATCAATAGTATTGATAGTCAATTTATCGGTAGTTTTGCATCACTACCTTGAGGTCATTTAAGAAGTTGTCCTGAGGTCGTCCAAGAAGTTGTCCTGAGGTCGTCCCACCATAATACAGCCCTGCTGGTCTTCCTTCTTTACCAGAGTGGAGAGGCTGAAAGTTTTTATTAAAAGCATTACATAAAAAAGGGCACTATATTTAGGCCACAGACAACCCGGTTTCATCCGAAAAACACTGCTATACTTCGTTTCAGCTTCGGTCCAGACGCAGCCAAAGCCAGTGTCATGACTTTTCAAACCGAGAAACACAGATTTGTCGAAATTTTGCTCTAAGCGAGGACTATTTTCATTGAAACCCTCCCTCCTTAGACATTTCTTGAACAGGTAATCATACCTAAAATCAAGCACCTCGCCTGTCCAAAATCAGTGGAGTCATTCACCTTGGAGGAAAGTGGCAAGAGAGTTCTGTCAGTCGTTTGGTCAGCAAGGATAGTCCCAATGTTCTGTTCAGGCCAGGGCTAAACGGCTGTGTTCAGAACTTTTATGGTGGTTGTTATTGGTGGAATCTTGTGTGCGAAATAAGCAAGGTCAGCTTGCTTTGGTGGTGGTGGGAACATTCTGCTTGAGATCACTTCAATTTTTGTTTTCACAAAGAGTGGGTAGCAGGACACGAAGGAAAGCTCCGCGTCCGTGTACTTGTTCCCCGACTCGTGTTCGGAGACTAGTTTTTCTGTCGTTTGCAAGCAGTATTCCATCGTGATAAGCGTGAAACGTTATAAATGAGCATCTGCACAAGTTGCGGATTAAGTTTGAACCCATACTTTCTCTCGGGTTTTTCGCGCGTGTTTAGCGGTTTTCCTCTTTTTTTTTTTTTCATTGGTAATCACTGCTTTTAGCGTTTGCATGATTGCCGAAATGCACTGATATCGAGGGGAAAAATTATTGGTTTGGCTTGGGCCCCCCCCCCCCCCCCCCCAAGTCTAACCAATAATTTTTCCCCTCGATATCAGTGCATTTGGGTTTGCAGAGAGATCTGATGTCACGGACGAAGTAGTGATCTGTTTTGTTCATGTAGGGATTGCCATGTGTGTTATTTTTTTTTATAAAATAAGTTGCTCTTGGGAGGCCTAGAAAGTGCATTCCCCCCTTCCCCCCCTTCTTAGATCTGCCCCCACCGATTTTCAGAAGTAAACAAACGCTGGAATACATCAGCTAATTTTCTTTATAAATGGACACCCGAATATCTTCAGCCTTACTATATTACACCCCTGCGAAGTGATTGAGCTAAAAAGATCTGTGAGTGCATGCAGGGGCGGATGCAGGAATTTCCTGAGGGGGGGTCAGGTGTTGGTCAGCGTACCATATGTTTAGGAACCCCCTCCCCCTCTCCTTCGTTTTACGCCCGAATATTTATACAAGCAGAAATCAAGAGGGGGGGGGGGGGGGGGGGGGGGGGTCAGGACATCCGGACCCCCCCTCTAAATCTGCCCCTGAGTGCATGCCTTCTGTCTTTCCTATGTTTTCTGTTCTTGGGAGCTTTTTTTTTTTAATTGAACCAACCAGAAACGGCAAAACTCCTTTTTAAGAAAAATGTTTGAACTGCATCTATTGTCCCTTTAATAGGAAGCTACAATAACCCTGATAAAAAATAAATATTTTCTACATATTTCTGCGTCTGATTACCCCTTTGAAAAACAAAACTCTGACACTAAAGTCAGTCCCAAAATGTTTCCAAAATTTTTTGGGGTTTTTTTTTTTACTCATTTATTTAGTATGCTGCCCAATTTGTGCTGTCCAGTTTCAGACAGCCATTTCTTCGGTGAATGGAATGGACCAGTACAGTGTTTGTTTGATTCATCTTTGGGACACTGAGCATTCGGTTTGGATTATAGACTGTGGAGCATTACTCTACTACATGTTAGGATAATAAAATTAAACTTTGCAAGTGTCTTGAATTTTCTTCTGTGCAGAAGCTTGAGCAAGCACCTACATAAAATACTTTTTTATGGGTTTGGAGACCTTTCTTTCCTATTAGATGGCAGTTCAAGGCCTCTTGAATTTCGGTTTTTGTTTTTACTTACGTTTTTTTGTTCGGGTAAGCGATCCTTTTGCTTTCTTCCCGATTGAGGCGCCTTGAATTTGCGCAGTTACCGTCATCCATTGTGTTTTTCCGAAGCATGTGTGCGCAACCCTCCATCTATTGTGCCTTTTTCTGCGTAAAATAACAATGACTAGTTTCTCCAAACTAAAACAATTATTCAGTCTAAAAAAATGGGGAAAGTTTTTTATAGTTTTATTGAAGGTCACTTGGATTTCTCAATGTTAAATCATAGTATAACATTTGTGCTCTTTTTATCATTCTACCTCTGTACCGGTACACTGTCCAGAATGTAAGAATGTAAGCAGTGGTTTCATGTGTCGAACGGTTAGACTAAGACATCGACGGTGATAATAATTATTCTGTGAGTGCAACAATTTCTTGCTTGTTTTTGTCTGATTTGCCTAGGGTTGTTGTTGATGTTGTGTTGTGTAGTTTTCCAGCATAAAAATTGTTGTGATGTTTTTGATAGTTCAGAATAGTTCCCATTTGGAAGTAGCTTCAGAATAGTTCCCATTCGGAAGTAGCAGTGATCATTAGGGGCCTGAGGGGGCAGACAGGCTGCATCCCATGTTTTGCTATGACCAACCCCCAGAACGTTGAAAGCAAAGTAATCTCAAAAGGACTAGTTAACCAAAAAAATTCTGAGACCATGCCCTAGCCTCCGTAAGAAGGATACACCCTTCAGTATAACCTTAGCTCGTTGTTGCCTCATTCGCTTGTCGACTCTCCAAACAAGTGTCAGCTTTGTTGTATGCTTCAAAACTTTTTTTAATGTTAAGTAAGAATTCATTCCGCGCTCTGCATAACCAGTTTTTGCGCCCATCGTTTCAACATAGGCAACCGAAAATGGCAACAAAAATTCAGATCTGTCAGAGACATGTTTGACAAGCGTCGACGAAGAACTGAATTGTTTTTACTGATCTGAACTGTGACAGCACTTATTCTGTACTCCGTCTTACTTTACAATGGACCACGGAGAACACTACAAGCCATCGAAGCCAATCCAATGCCGTGCAAGTCTCGCTTGACCTTCGGATAGGGTGCCGCGATGCATATAGTCATGCATGCGATACTTTCACAGTGCTTGATTGGCTGGGACGGCCTATAGCGTCCACTGTGGTTCAACGTAAGGTGAAGCGTAGTACAGCAGAAAGTAATGGGCAGCGGCGCAGTAACACTTTTTTTTTTTTCGAACTAGGCTTAGTCGGGGTATGAGGGATATTGAATCTTATCCCCGAGCGGAGATTCGTGTTTGTCAGATTAGAATCGACACATTTTTTGGCCCTCATTGTTGCTGAGACTCAGTGTTTACATGGTACCTCTGTTACTTAAAAAAACGCTGAACTTAGAAAAAAAAAATTTTTCTACCTGGTTAGGACAGGCATGTCTAAAAACAAATGTTTGTCAGAAAAAAATTTTTTTTTAAAACAATCTTTTTGCTTTAATACGAATCTTTCAACTTGCGGGTGAAACCGAAGCTCTATCTTTGTGAGATAATGATGATGGTGCTTGTACCCAGCTAGTGTGCGCTCCGAGTTCGCTGGACCTCAAAGTGGCCACTGGTTGGTTAGGAACATTATTATGATCATCCCACAGGGGTACAATTTCGGTTTCGCATGCAAATAGAAAAATTCATATTATAACATAAATATTGGGCAAAAATATATTTTTTTCCCTAGATTCAGTGTTTTTCTGTGCTTTCATCGCCTCGTGTGTCATTTTCTGGTGCATGTCACGTCTAAAAGGTGCTCCCCTCCCCCTCTCTGTTCCAGGTGCAAGATAACGTCGGTGACATGCACGTGCGACACCCACGACATCTTCTGGTGCCAGCACGTGGTGGCGCTAGCCATCTACCGAATCCGCAATGCCGACAGCGTTCGGCTCAGGGTGCCCATCTCAGGTGAGCAGGCTTAAACGAATTGTGCTCCGTTGAAACAGTGGGAAATCACTTGGCCCCTGTGGGCATTTGGCATGGAGGGACATGACCCCAACGATGACCAAAACCACAGCTATTTTGGTCACTTTCGGGTGCCTGGGCACCCAAGGGCGGATCCAAGGAAGAGGGGGGGGGGGGGGGGGCGACAGGGGCGGCCGCCCCCCCCAAACAAACTTGACCCCTCCCCCCCTTTCCCCCTTCTCGAAGGGCAATTTGACGTGGGTGGACCCCCGATACATAGAAAGAATGGGGGAATAGTATCCTTACAAATTCTCCCGCCCCCCCCAAAACGGAGTTATGGACACAATGGCACATCAGGTGCCCTGTGGGCACCTGATGTGCCATTGTGTCCCCGTACACTGCAGTCTAAATTGCACAAAGAAACACTTGCGGGTTACCGATCGCTTAGGGCGTGCCCCGCCCATCACCTGATGTTTCACCATCCCGCTTGCAGAGACATTGCTCCAGCTGGACCGAGAGCAGTTGCAGAAGCTCCTGCAGTACCTGATTTCAGAGCACCACACGGAGGTGCTCCCCACAGCGCAGCGGCTCGCAGACGAAATCCTCCAGTCACGGTCGCTCATCAACCGCATCGCAGGTCAGTCAGTTTTACGAGCTACCCGAACTAACTACATTTTCAAAATACCCGGGCCTTCCTCTTCCCAACATGATGTTGATTATTTCCAAGGTCGGAATAGCCCCAGAGAAAACTGCAGACAGGTGCGATGCCAAAGCCGACGTTCAAATGTTACTGTGCCTTTCGGCGGCGTGACGTTGCTCGTTTTTAAAATTTGCCGGTTGAGCGGGCAGTCTACTAAACTGAGTGTGGCGCAAATATTTTGCATTCTGCCAGAGTGAGCTTCCACGGCCTTTGTTTCGCACCATTAGACTTTCTTATGGCCCTTCGGGAACGAGTTATACCGCCTGAGTTACATCTCGTCACTTTTCAGTGTTGTTGGTAGATCCTTTCATCTTAAACAAAACAATAAGGACCAAAATCTAAAAAAATTCAGTAACTTCATGAAAAAAAAAGAAATATTTAGACCTATTTTTAGTGTAACGTGTTCAGCCATGTCTATCCATGTTGAACCAATCGCGAGGCAAATCTGCAACCATCAATAATTTTTACCGGAGGTTGGTTTATTCCTAGAGTGTGACCTAGTGCATTAGAACCGCACGTGACTGCATGCGACGAAATTAAAGCCCCTTGATAAAGGTGTTTCTACAAGTACCGCCAGCCATTGTTCTGGAAATGCGCAAGACACGTGCCACGAGCGCGTGCTCCGCCGCCATTCGCTTCCAAGCGCCACTCATTTCAGTGCTGCGCCGCCATTTGCTTCCAAGGGCCGCTCGAGACCTGGGCCACGTGCGCTCGCGCATTTGGCGCTACTTGCTAAGACAAACGAAAACATATCGAGGGGCTTTAGACGAAATAACACACCGGCGCCATCTATGGGATGGCCCTGGAACACTTAAAATCTGCATATTGTCGCGGATGGAGGTGAATCGACAAGTGTAATACAGAAAATAAAGGTTTAATTGGCCAACTTGTGCCAGAAATAAAAGAAAGAACAGGCGTCGAAGAAACAGCAGCGAGCGTCGAGGTTTCGGCGCAGTAGCTGGGTGTGAAAGGAGTCGACAAGGCCACGCTGGGCTCCTTATCTAGCACATCCGGTATCTCGATCATTCTGCCTAGAACGTTGCAGCATCGAACACTCGGGAAACTGACTTGGCAAGGTCACGTTGGCCTCCTCATCTGTTACGCTCTGTGTTTCAAACATTCCTAGAATGTTTGGGCGTCAAAACTTTTGAGGGTAGGAATAAAAGTGAATCTTTCAGAAGTATGGAGTGGCGTTCCCTCCTGGCCATGCGCGCAGCAGTGTACTGTGTGCATCATTTACTAATCGCCGTGGGATTCAAATCGTTCCGGCGACGTTGCTCGGCAGCCATTTTCGCGTAGTTGGTTCCTAGATTTCGTCTCACAAATGCTGCGAAAATTTAGTCTAGTGATACGCTGATCGGAAGACCTCCATGGCCACCTGACAATGTGTTCCGTCGTCATAAGCGGTTACGAGCATTTGCACTGAAGTTTGTCAACGCGTCAATCAGCCATTGGTAAGGATTAATTTGCTCGAAGTTTGACTTGCAAAGTGAGTGGTCTCACTGATCTCGAGGAACTAGCCTTAGACAAGCCTCTTCCCACAAACTGTGCAATGCTAATTCGGCGTTACGGATGCGGTGCCAACTTTGTGTCGTATCGGCGCCATATCCAGAGTCTGCTGCGTGTGATCTGGCCTTTTTCTGTATATATACAATACAACACTAACTCGGTACAGATTTAGTGCAGAAAGTAGCGCCAGTGCAGCGACGGCTTTGCAGAATCTCAGCTCCGCTTTTTATGCTTGAACTGGCCTTTACAACGACGCCCTTTTCGGTGAAATGACTTCGTTGCACCTCGTACGTTTTCTATGTCAAATGTTGGAGGATGCTGTGCGTGTGATATAGTAAAAAAAAAAAAAAAAAAGTCGCCAGAAGCGAATCTTTAGTTATCTTCTGGCACATGGTGTGCGTGATGCTCCCAACTTCCTCTTCCCAATCGATTTGGCTGCTTTGCGCTAGCCGGACGTTCCAGGTGGTACCTTCCCACCACACAATTAAGCATCTTATCTTCATGCTCTATTAAATTTGAATGTCCCACAAAAAATGAGTGTGTCAAATCAGTTCATTTTTCAAGCAGAAAAAAAAAAAAAAAAAGCCGTGTTATTGTTTGTTTGTTGCAGCCAGGACAAACATTCAATTGGCAATAATTAAGTGTTTTTTTCGTTTGTGAATCTAAAATCCAGGTAGTCCCAAGAAAAGAAACAGATTTCTCATTGTTTTTTAGCAAGCAAACCTCGTATGCCATTTCCGATGCCTTCCCCCCTTTTTTTAACGAGCTTGTGTCGAAGAAAAGCCGGCGTCGGTGGGATGGGAAAGTCCAGAGTGGTCGATAGAGTCATGACGTCGGAGCCCCATAACCTTGCGCAGGAATTTCGAACAACCCACAATGCTCGGGTGAAACGTGACGTCACGCATGGAATGAAAGTGATTAAAGCGTGACATGTAATGCGAATTAAAAGTTCGCCGCATCTCGAATGGTTTCACTTTATAAAGTAATATATTTGCCTTAAAGAAAAAATTGGAAGAATTTTAGGCGAGATTCGAACCCACGACCCCTTGGTTGCGAGCCAGACACGCTATTGACTAGGCCACGCAGAGACGTTTGTACGGCTTGGGGGAATGAGCGGGAGTTTATATGTTTAGCTATCGCGTTCTACTTTTAAAGGCAAAGCTTAAGTGTCCTCCTGTAATTTTTTTTTTTCCAGGTTTGATAATGGTTTTCAAGTTCAAAGAAGTTGTGATTGATTGAGAAATGATCAGAACTATATGCGGTAATCGAGAAGACTTCAGGGAGAAGTTGAAATGCACCTTAACCGTTCAGGCAAAGTCTGGAGACACAAAACATTATTGTGTTTTCTAAGCCCCTCCCACCATTGGGGCAAAAACGCTTTTGCAGCAAAGTACATATATACCAACAATGTTTTTGTTTATTTAGTTGTGCCCACCAGCAGCAACGTACCTTCTTGTTGGTGCATCATAAGACAGACGAAGAAGAAAAATACACACATCAGACACTAACATTATACACACACAATTCCAATATAAAAAAAGAATACAAATTCACATATCCTAATACTGTACAGCGCAACCCACAATAACGATAATGAGAACACCCGAAATTTCAATCGTTATAACTGATTATCGTTGTATCTGGACTAGAAACTGATCATTTCTAGCCTAGAAACTCTAAAAACTGATCGTTATATGTGGTATCGTTATAAGTGGGTTGCACTGTAGCTCTGATATTACTAAGCATTTAAAAAAAGTCATGATAAACTGTCACCATGCTAACCAACATAAATTATCACCATGCCAGTGAAAGCTGCACTGCTAGCCAAGCGGATGGGGTATCGGGTTATTGAACAAGAGGTCAGCGGTTCGATTTCGGCCGAGGTATACAGTCTTCCGTAAAGACGACTGGCTGTGTTATCATAGTTCTCGTCACAATATTTCGTGATGCCCCAAGCTTGGAAATTAACCTTAAAATACCACCAAAAAGAAAAATTTTTTTTTTTTTTTAGCTGTTTGGTTGGGACATGCATGTGAAGAAATAAATTTTATGCGCAAAAACAATTTTTTTAGAGCAATATTGACGGCGAGAGATTTATCTGGAATTCTGCGTGCAAAGTCCATGATGTTACGGGTCATTCCGGAATGACCATCTCGGTCTTGAAGCCGAAGCCGATCCACCTCTCCTCCACGTGCCCGAAATGTCGAGAGAGAAAATAAGTGGAAAGGAGGTGACTGCCAACTAAATCGCGTCTCGCGCCGTCAGTAATGCTCTAAAAATATGTTTTTTTCACATAAAATTAATTTTTTGACACGCGTATCCCAACCAGATTGTTAAAAAAAAACAAAAAAAAAAAAACATTTTTTTTTTTTAGGGGTTCTTTAAAACACGTTCTGTGTTGCAAAACCACAGACAAACACAGAATGAATGAAAGCCCTGTGCACAATGTTCACTGTCGCCCTCCTCGTCTCAGGTGCTCCGGATCCGACAGCCGGTGCGTCGGCGGAGGAAGACCACAGCTGGCACCTCGACGAAGAACAAGTGAGCGAGCAGGTTCGTGCCTTCCTCTCCCAGGGAGGCTACTACATGGTCAGCAAGCAGCTCAATGCACTCTTCTCAAAGGTACATATGTCCCCTTTTCCTCCTCGTGACTTCCCCTTATATGAGCACGCGCTAAACTGTCTGTGGGGCGGGGAGTCCTTGTCCACTCCGAGACAGAGCCAAGGGAGTCGGCAGTCTTGCAGTGAGGCGGTTCTGAAGTAGACAAACTTTACTAATGGTATTGTGCATCCTTGGAAGACGGGTGGGAGAGTTGGTGGCTCGGCTATGCTGATCTTGGGCTCAGACTGGAAGATAAATGGTTTGATAGTGGTAGGGACGATCGAGGGATATTGTAGGCTCGAGGAACTCCTGGGGGTAGTCTGGGAAACCTCGGGGCCTAGTCCGAGGATCCCCTGGGGATAATCTGAGGAACTTCTGGGAGTAGACTGGGGAACCTGTGGGAGTAGTCCAGGGAATCCCTGGGCTTTTGGGGGTCCCAGCTTGGGAACCCATGTGCAGCCAAGTATGGCACAAAGGCACTAGAGGCCGGTACTTCACGAGCCTCTCAGAAAGCCTATAAGTGGCAGCTAACATTTCGCCCGGAACCTTAAGTAAGCTTCTTCGGGGCTAAGTTTCTTGACGAGACATGGTGCATGACCTTGCCTAGTTGCCGTCTGTGTGCCGGTATTCGTTCAAGCGAAGTAACTGCGACATTGTGCAAACGAGCGAATGCTTTAGTACATGCAATCGGGCAATTTCTGATCTATGGCACAAATTTGTTTGTGTGCACTTTAGAGTTTCATAAAAATTTTTTACGATCGGTGGATTGAATGTTTGGTGAATTAAATTAAAGGCTGTCTACTAAAGCTGGAATTGTCGGGGATTTTGACGCGTTTAAAGGGGCACTGACACATCAAAATCATATTTTTTTTTATTATCCGAAACGATTGAAAACGATGCCGGGACATTACCCTCAAAATTTGAAATTTGGGAATTCAGTATTCGTGAAGTAAAACAACAATTTCCAAATGCCGAATTCGAAGTTCCCGCGCGATCGGCGCCGGTGCCTTGACGTCAAAAATTGCGGAGACCTGAGAGTCCCCTTTCTTTCACCCCTCCCTGCTGTTGCCATGGCGACCCAAAGCGAGGGGGAAAGGAGCCAGCGCCGGCGTTCCGGCGGACCGGTTTTGAGCGGTCTCGCCTGTTTCCCGTTGGAGGATACAAATCCAGGAGACGGCACCACAACGAACTCCCGATTTTTGGTATTTCAAAAAGAAGGGCCGTAGTGCGTTCGCAATTGCGTTAAAAAACATGTTTTAGGATTGCCGTAATTAAATGTTATAGAGATGTCGCCTACAAAGCTTCTAAATTTCATGATTCTTGACGTCACCGATCAAAAGAAGCGAGGAGGCAAGAGGCGGGAAAATCAAACGCCAAAAACAAAAAGGCGCGCGCGCGCGCAGGAAAATTTTTTTTCGCGATGCGGTTTTTTTTGCGTGTCTATGACTGCAACTTGCATCGTTTTAGACAATAAAAATAAATACGACCTTTGGGGTGTCAGTGCCCCTTTAAGCATTGTCAAACAATTTGCATGAATCTCTAGAGTGCCGCGAGCTTCTTCGGGAATCGTCGTGGACGAGGGGCTTTTGATGGACCTCGCGCCGGTGCACTTTCCACAGGTGAAGGAGATGCTCAGGGCGGGTGATTCCAACGGTGCGCGAATGTTGCGACTTATCACGGAACAGTTCCTGGCCGATCCCCGGCTGGTGATCTGGCGAGCTCAGGGCACGCCCATGTCAGACAAGTGCCGGCAACTCTGGGACCAGTTGGGTGAGTTGAAAAGAATGGTCTGCCAGTTTCTTTGTTGGTTTGCGAGATTGAGGCAAGGGTTGTCGAATACGTCACTTCCGACGGCTTTGGGCAGTATGGTTTTTGACCGTCGTACCTCTTATGACACTTGGGCTGGAGTATCGCTACGGTACCCGAAATGCGTCTCCCACTGGTGTGGTTGGCGTCGAGAATTCGGTGACCGCAGTAATGCGGTCACTGAATATTGTTGAGACTGCCATTTCTGGTCCTGTGCTCAAACCGGCCCGAACCGGTATTGGTAAGGGCCATTTTCGTTGTGCGATTAGTCCCACACTAGCTGTTTGCAGAGCTGTAGTGTCCAAGGTCCCCAATTGGTGCCGGGTTCAAATCTCAACCGAGGTTCCCTTGTCGCAACTCGGGCTCATTGGGGCTTAGGACCCCCTTTTTTTAAGGTCCGGTCCAAGCTAATCTTCCTTCTTCTTTGCTGGGTGATTCCAAATGCTCGCAGGAGGGGTTAGTTCCTCAATTATGATGGTTTCACATTAAAAAAAATTGATGGGACAGAAAAGAGAGGCAGACGCATTTTAAAAGCTCTCCTTTTTACGTGGTCGCACATTACGCGACAAATCAAAACCCAATTGTCACCGAGCTGCGAGCCTGTCAAAGGACAAAACAAATCACAAATTTGTCTTTGATGGGAGCAATGAGTGTTATAGGAAAGAAATAGAACATGTGACTAGGTGATCGTTTAACACACTGCAGAATGTGCTTATAGCTGGCTGTAATGAAAATGCAATAACGCTAAGAAGCGCAGAAAGCACTAGGCCATGACACTAGAAAAGAAGGCAGCGATTCTCGAGCTAAAAGAAAGTGGCCGAACACAAGCGAAGGCGTAACCTGAAGCAAGGTACTATTGACGGCTTGTTTAAGCCCACTTAGACGTAATAAAGACAAGCTTTTACAGCGAAGCTGTTATGCGCTAGGATCTGAGAAAAAATGTGTTCGCGAATGTTGACAAAAAACTCCCCATTGGTCGTGGCAAGTATGAATAAATAAAAAATAAAAAGAGGGGGCAACCAGCATGAGTCAGCCTTCCTTGACATTAGATAGTGAGGTCCTGATCCCTTGTTATCATCTCTAAGCATAGTCCTCGAGGTCATCCTAGAAGTCGTCCTTGAGGTCGTCCGAGAGGTCACTCTAGGCATCGTCCTCAAGGTCATCCTAGAAGTCGTCCTCGAGGTTGTCCTAGAAGTCATCCTCGTGGTTGTCCTAGAAGTCGTCCTCGAAATTGTCCTGAACGTCGTCCTCTAGGTCGTCCTAGAAGTCGTCCTTCAAGTTGTCCTAGACGTCGTCCTCGAGGTCGTCCTAGAAGTCGTCCTTCAAGTCGTCTTTGAGGTTGTCCTAGATGTCGTCTTCTAGGCATCGTCCTAGACGTCGTAAAATTAACAGCTTCGCTGGCCCTCCATCTTCATGCCAAGTGGAAGGGCTCTACAATTTTTTAACCTGCTGATTTTTCGGACTGCTCTATTATTCTGACATTTTTTATGTCCCTATGAAGTTCGGAAAATCGGTTGGTGACTAGTGGGAGATGCTTAAAATACACTGCACATTTGCCCAACTTTGCCCAACTAAAAAATGTTCGTATAGATTCTTTGGAATGTGAGCTCTTACTTCTTATTGCCAAAATAATACTTACGTATGAAGCTAAGACTCTTTGCTGTAAATACTGGAAACTGGGGATCTCCCGTGTGGGGCGCTTATGAGGAGATGGCAGCAGCGAGAATAACGCTCCTTTGTTTTCATAATCTGTCAACATGTTTGAAACCTGGAAATGTAGTGGCGGGTCCCGCACGCAGGCGTCCTACACTTAGTGGGCTATTAGCTTGGTATTTGTATCTGCGTTCCCGAATAAACCTTACTCTTATCTTTTCTCTGGAAACACAGGTACGCTGTGGGTGTGTGTGGTATTGAACCCTCACTGCACGAGCAGCGAGAAGCAGCAGTGGCGTCAGCTTTTGGAGCGCTGGTCGTGCATGCACATCTGTCCGCTGGAGGATGCGGACTTCCGACCCAGCGCATCTGGACGCCGGCCCCTCGTGGTGGACGATGACACCTCAGACTCCTCTGAAGACGAGGCCGGAGGAGGGCATGGTACGTGCAACAACCTTCTGCCCCCCCCCCTCTTCCTGCTGCCTTGAGGAATCTCGTGCTGTCTAGGGCAATTTCATGTTGCCAATCTCATACCACCTAGGACAAGCTAGGCAATCTCGCACCACTTAGGGCAATCTCCCGTCACTTATGGCAATGTCATGTCACCTAGGAGAATCATATTCTACTTAGGGCATTCTCATGCTGCCTAGGGAAATCCGTGGCACCTATGGTAATTTCATGCTGCCTAGAACAGCTTGTACTGCCTTAGGCAATTTCACATTGCCTAGGGCAATCTGATGCCACCTATGGCAATTTTATGCCACATATGGCAATCTCATACTTCAGAGGACAATCTCATGCTGCCTTAAAGGGTAACTGCAAAGAAAAAAAAGTTTTTTTTTAAACAGCCTAATTGGGACAAGCATGTCACAAAACAAATGTTCCGCGAAAAAAATGATTTTTTTTATCAATATTTACGCCACAGGACGTAATTTAGTAGAGTCAGAACCTCTCCACATTTGAAACTCCCGCTCTTTCGGCCCCCGCGGAAGAGGAGTACGCCCCGCCCCTCACTCTCCTTGCGTTGCGGAGTTGAACGGCGCAGCGTCTCGACTTCCGGCAAGATCTGGCAACTACGCCAGGCCGCGGTATTGTTTTGGTTGTTATGGTTTGACGCGGTTTGCGAGCACATGTAGCGAAGAGGCGAAGACGTGACCGGAGAAGTGCCCCTGTGATGTTCCCGGAAGACGGAAAGTATCGTTCGTAATCGTCGTGCGCGCTTTGAAAGCGAAGGGAGTCACAGAATCCACGAGTGCGCAACCACAAGCCAAGGTTCACGACAGCGCTGCGTTGGTTTCGGCGATCTCGTTCTGTTTGGTGCAACACGGCGATGCGTCAGAGCTGAAACGTTCGTGGTGTGTGTAATGCGGTGCTAACACGGAGCGCAAATTGGTTGTTGTGGGGTTGACGTTCAACCAGATAAGTCCCGTCGTCGTCAGCTGATCCAGTCAAACTGGTCCGGGAGGACGCTGGGAGCGTTTTTAAAAGTAAATCTGCCTCGTTCTGTTTCAAAATGTGGAAGTTTCCCGACGCATACCGTGAGTAAAAAGCTGCGGGCGTTTTCAACAAAATCACGTCGTTTTAATTGAACAATGGACTCCGAATTGTTGTCCTAAATCTGCCGTTTTTATGCTTCGTGTTGGACTGCGTTTGCACAGCGACGTGTTGCATCGTGCGGTGCGAATAAATTTGGGCACGATTTCGTACCTGCCTACAGATGCATGAACTGAGACCATTTTTACGTAGTGGACATAGTGCTTTTTTATTTTCTGTCTAGTCGCGGACGTTAGGTGCACACGGGGCGAATCTCGACGGCCTCCAGAGCGATATGACGAGAACGTAACTAGACACGTTGGTCGCTACGCGAACGCCCGATTGCCTCCAGCCAAATAGCATTCCTTTCGGGGCGACATGGCTGCTGGGAGGCTCACTGTCGGGATCACGCATCTGACATCTCCGAAAAGTAAGCATTTGCACGTGCAAACAAGCAAAACAAACAAACAAACAAACAAACAAAAAAAAAAAAAGCACGCTAAGCAAGCAAAGAGGAAGACGAAAGAACCGCGCTATGAAAGCCAAAACCCCGCGTCGCTTCCTATCACTAACACCTGCGACAGCTGCTAAACACACACTACTTCACTTCAAGAAGTACCTGGGTCAGTACGAAACGACGAAACACTGATCACTTCGGCGAAACGATTAGTCGAGGTAGGCGAGACAGGCGGGAGCAGGCTTCGGCGGCCATGAAAGAATGGCGAAGCTTCTGTTTGTATGAATCCAAACGGAAGTGCCCGTCTTGTAAACCTTTTGTAAAGAATAATAACTCTCATCACATGGGTTATTCTTTAAACGTAAAAATATGCCGCTCAAAAGGAAATTGCAACATATAACAAAGGTTTAACAACCAAGATCTAAACTGTCAATCAAACTCTTAGCCAATGAGAACCTTTTGGGATTGACGTCACATAATCACAACTTCGTGGCGCGCGATTTAAAACGGACGAAATAGCCGCAAACTAAAATGAGTCTCGCGCAATAAATATTGCTGTAAACAATTTTTTTTCTCGCGGAAAAATTGTTTTTTGACATGCTTGTCCCAATTAGGCTATTTAAAAAAAAACTTTTTTTTCTTTGCAGTTACCCTTTAAGTAATCTCACGCTGCCTTAAGTAATCTCATGCTGCCTAGGACAATCTCGTGCTGCCTTAGGCGATCCCACACCACCTCGGGTGATCTCATGCCACCTAGGACAATTTCATGCTTCCTTAGGCAATCTCTCACTGCCTAGGTAGGGTAATCTCATGCCACCTAGCACAATCCCATGCCCCCCTCAACAATCTCACACTGCCTAGGGCACTGTCATGTGACCTACAGCAATCTCATTCCACCTAGGGCAATCTCATGCAATCTGCAGAGAAGCGATCTACAAACCTGTAATCATCTCAGAATGCACCTACTCTTATATGATGCAGTCTTTGTTAACAGATTGTTTTAGATAATTGTTAGGAACGGTTTTGGATTGGTGGGCAGTCAGTCAGGACGGTGGCCGATAGCCGAGCGGCGTCCCTCTTCCTTTGATACTTAACGAAATAAGTAAGTAGAAAAGCGTGTGGTTACTTTTCCATGCAAAAACATGTGGTTACCTTTTCTTGGAAACATTACGCGGAACCAAGTGCAACGGGTGTGCTGCATCTACTCACCCGTTTCCTTTCGCGTCTCGCAGGCGAGGTTCGTGGTGCGGGGGGCCACCACCATAACCACCACCACCACCACCACCATCACCGGGGTGGCACCGGAGGCAGTGGCCATCACCACGCACAGCCGTCTCACCACAGGGGTCGAGGGTCGCGAAGGAACTCCGCCAACACCGCCGCCGGACCGCCCCGCTCTATCTTCCAGCGTGCCCTCGAAGCCTGGCTGCTCTCGTGGGATGACCCCCACCTGCGCTTCATCCTCGCCCACGACGCGTGCTCCGAGTCCTCATCTGTTTTTCCCTCCTACTCTTCCTCCTCCCCACCTTCCTCTTCCTCCTCTTCGTCATCATCGTCGTCGTTGTCATCATCGCCTTCGTCAAGCGGAGCAGGACACTTCAACTCACAAGGCTATCCCCTCTGGCAGGGTATGTTTTCTTTTAGGGGCGAAGCTCCTTAGGGGCTAGCCATGTCCTATGTCCGTCCAATGTCCGGCGTCGGGTGCTTGTGCTTACGAGCACGTGAGCACGTGCTCCCGTGCACGTGTAGGGCAAAAAAAAAAAACTACCGCATCTCCACGGGGGGATGATGTTGATTGGGGCGAAGCTCTGGTGGTGCTTGTCTGCTTAGACGGCGAGCCGCAGTGTGCCGAGCCTTTCGTTCGTTTTCATCCATGTCAGAAAGAGAATGTGTGGCATGGAACGTGGTTATATACGCATTTGAGCCTTTGACCACAGCGTGACATGGATGAAAAGGAACGAAAAGCTCGGCATGCTGCGGCTCAGCGTCTATGCAGACAAGCACCACCAGAGCTTTGCCCCAATCAACATCATTCACCACGTGGAGATGCGGTTATCTTTTTTTTATGGCTCCGATTGCGATTCGTGCAGAGCTGATATATTGATTAGCTGCCCATGTGCAGAGCCAATTGTGACAAGTCACTTGCCTGGATAGCCGGTAGTGATTAGCTGCTGGCTTACATAACAGATGTGAGGAGTCAGTTGCTTCCAGAGTTGATCGTGATTAACCTATTTGCACATAGCCAATCATGATAAGCCACATACATGTAGAGCCTATCGTGACCAGTTGCTCGAACACAGCTCCGATTTTGACGAGCCACTTACTTTTAAAGGTGATGGTGATTAACCGCTTGTCTATTGAGCTGATTGTGATTAGCCACCTACCTGATCGGGCTTTGCACTTGTGCACAGAGCCAATCGTGATGAGCCGCCCATTCACATGCAGAGCCGATCCCGATGGCGTGCTCGCGGGTGGAGGCCCTCCGGTCGCATGGCTACCAGCAGGAGGCCCTGCGGCTGGCGGTGGCGGTGGTGCGCACGATGAAGCGGCAGCAGCGGGAGTGGCAGTGCCGCTGGCAGGCCGAGCAGGAGCGCCTGGGACTCTCCTCCAGGGACCACCACCGGAGCCGCTCCGGCGCTTCTGGCTCGGGTGAGACGCTCTGCCCAGCTAGCTAGGGACATGGTCATTACACGAAACATGCCTCAATACTTCGCATAGAGCCGACCGACTTGGAATGCGTCGTGTATCTTCGACGTGTTTCGATCTGTTTCATCTGTTTTGGTTTTGGGGAGAATTTGTAATGGAAAGAGATATGAGGACACAATGCATTCTGTGTCTGTTAGCTTTATGCTGAATATTAAAGTCAGTTATAGTTTTTTTTTTCTTGCTGCGGTTTGCAGAGGGTTTTGAGACGTTTGTAACCCAAGTACAAATATTCGCGTCTCCAGCTCGTTACTCGCCCTTCCGTAGCTAAAAAGGGAAGCACACTAGTGAGGGTCCCCCGGTTCTTCTGCTCAGCGGGCACGACAGAACTGCTCGCGACTGCGGGTTGCCAACGGTCATTTCTTAATGCACACAACACTTTTCATCGTCCCAATGTAGTACTGCAGCAGGTATGGGATTGTACCTTATTAGAGAGTTTTACTATTTGCGTATAGAAGCTACCGCAAGCGCGGTGCGTTTGTGTAAGAGTTGTGTGCTCTACACTGCGCATGCAAGTCGTTGCCATGTGCGAATTTAAGACTGCAATTTTGAACCCTGCACACGTTCAGTGTGGAACACCTAACGCAAGCGCACGGGGCTTGTGTTCGCTCGTATACGCAATACTAAAACTCGCTGCTGTGTCACCGGTTTCCAACTCCAATGAAACATGCCGCAGTGAACAGACGTGCAAGCGGGTAGGCGTTCCTTCGATCTGGAAAGGCCGAGATTAGCAGAAGGACAGCGCACATAAATTAAAAGAGCTCAACGTTCTGAAAAGATTAATAATTAAAAAAAAAGAGCAACAAAATTTGTTTTTTGTTTTGAATTCTATTTTGGGGTACGTAGTCCGGAAGGATTGGCGGCAACTTTGGAAGTTTTGCAGGTTGTCAAAATTCGCAACTTTTATGCTTTACCCACAATTAATATAATTATACATGCATTCTCCATATTAGCTAGAATGGTTTAATTGATTTTAGACTATTTTTATTTTATAACTTGTTAGTTAAAAAATCTGCAATTGGCACCAGTGATGATAATTTGCACATTTTTGATTGCCATACTTGTTCACGCATTTGAAATTAGATCACAAGCAACAAATTTTATTAGAACTTGAAAAAACAATGTTTTAAAATATCTTAGTTGCATTATTATTATTAATACAAATTGCGGAAATCTAGGCCCCAATGAACGCTTAATAAAAAAAATATGCCATTTAACCATAATAGTATTTCAAGAACGGTCTCATTTTGTTTTCTTTGTAGCATATGAAAAACTCTGACATTGTTATCAAGATAAACACTGGGTGTAATAAAATATCCTATGCGTGACATGTTCCTTTAAAAGACATATGCACACACTTGTGCTGTCTGACTCGCATTCCGTCAATGGAATTTTGTAGTTAGAACAGCGTATCTATATACTGTAAAAATATTGTAAACTCATCACCCATGGCGATATTTTGTAAAATTTGGATTTATTCTGTTATTCTGGCACTGGAGATAATGTTACAGCAATTAATCATCTAAATGCCCAAAAACCAATTGAAAGGCCTGGAGTTCATTATTTCACATGACAAATTATCTGAGAGAGAAAAGGCAGCAAGAACAGAGAAATACAGCACAGATTTTTTAAAAAATTGTGGTGAATACAATTCTTTGCGTTACCTATAAATGATAAGCGATATGAAAGGCCCTGTTTTTAAAGGGGCTTTGAACTTTCCAAGATATATTGAATTTCCTGGATCGGACACGTATGTCACAAAATAAAGTTTCCGCAAACAGCTTCTTTAGTTCAATAATTACGCTGTGGGACAGATCTTGAGTTATGAAATAATCCGAAAATAACACCTATACCGAGAAATTAAGTCTAAAATAGAGGTTAATTTCAGTTTCATTCCAAAATTAAAACGTGCCTCCTGGCATAAATATTACGCTAAACACCGTGTTTGTTTTCCGGATAAAGAGGTGACCTGTGCTCATAACACCCTAGCTTCCTCGTATAAGTGGGAATACTTTTTGTCACTCGGTGAAGCCAGCACACTAGACAGTCTCAGCAACTGGTATACCAGCACGGATCTCCGAACCTCACCATAGCCCCCATTTTGGGAAGCGAGTGGTGCCACCTATATGGGTGAATTGGAGTCGCGACTGGCAGCTGAGAAGCCACTCCGGTGGTGCAGGGGCAGAGCATCAGACTAATGAGCGAGAGTTTGTTGGTTTGATTCCTGTCGAGGGCTTAGAGTGATTTCTGCAAAGACACCTGGCTATGTATAATTTTTTCTTTACCAACTTTCGTGACACTCTAGACATGAAAACCAGTCCTAAAATGCACTCTGCGTTAAAAAAAACCAAATTCGATTCTGCATTCCATGGAAGATACCAAGCTGCGCGTGAGCGGTGCCGTGGGACGCGGAGCAACCGGGGTCTTTTCCGCGTGTGCAGGCCTGTCGAGCCACACGTCCCATTCCAACACAGAAGGCTGGGTCGGCCACCCCCTCAATCCCATAGGCTCCCTCTTCGACACACTAGCAGAGGCCTCCCTCGTGCCGGACAGCAAGCACCTAGAGTACTTCTACGGTGAGTCTGCACTTCCTTCCAGGCGAGGCGCACACTGCGGTGCCTGAGGTGTCGTTTGCCGTTTTGCCGTGAGCCTTTTTGACGGGTCTGCCGTCATCTACGGCGGGGACTCGACGGCGCATCGACTCTTTGAAGGTGCCGCGCGAATCGGTTTCTCGATGTGTCATATTTACGATTTACTACGGAGGGGCCCATAGATGGGGCAATTATTATATGAAAGTATGAAAATATGACTTCATCCAAGTCAAAAGAAAGAAAAAAAAAAAAAAAATAGAAAAGCTATTTTTCCTACGGACCAGCATTCGCTTAGGCCTTTAGAGTGCGAAAGCCACAGAGTGATGGAGCAAAGCATCCGGCTGCTCTCCGCAGGCAGAGTGCACTCCGGTGGCGTCACTCCGATTGACTCGCTGGTGTCATTGCCTTCGCCATCTTTTGTGATAAGCTAAAACTGAGTATAGTCTGCGATGTGGCCTACATTTTACTTGAGCGAATTTACATTTCCTTTGAGAAGAAAAACTGCCATCAAGTTTGGACTGGAAGTTTCAAGAACAACCCAGTTTCGTCTCATCCAAAAACGCACGACAACGGTTTCGTTTCGGGTGAAACTGATAAAACTAATTCAAAACTAAAATTGGAAGTTTCCAAGGTGTTTTCTTTCTCCTCGTTCGTAATTTGTCTCTTCGCATTGTTGGTGTCGACAAATTTGGTTCTACAGTCGGTGACAGGTCAAGAGTGCATCCGCATCAGTCGCACCCCCGTTGCCTTCTGCTGGACTTTGGCCTCACCTGGGCTGAAGTATTGTGCTGAAGTACTGTAGGCGAAACACCTACCGTATTCTTAACCCCTCGGTGACTACAGCTCGCCAAATAAATAATAGACGATTATTACTAATAATTAAAACACTACGAGCGAATGTTTTACCAATAGGTACAAGCACAGTCAAAGTCGCTTCAATCTACAACCCATCCTTCGCAATCGCAGAATCTTTGCCGGGACCAAGCGCCGAGGAAGCGAGCGGAAACGGAAACGGCGCCGGGGGAAACGCCGGCGGAAACAACGGCGGAACCAACAACAACAGCACGAACAACAACAACAACAATGCGGCGCCCACCTCCAACTCCCACCATCCCCACGCCCCCCACAACAACAACAATAGCAACAATAACAACAACGGAGGCAGCAGTTCCTCGTCGTCGTCCTCGTCCCAGTCCTCGCAACCGCGCGAGCGCCCGCGTTACCGCCACGTGGGCGTGCCGGGAAGCCGCGACCGCAGCGAGTCGCTGCTCTCGCTGGCCGTGGAGGCGGCCTTGGTGGGGCTGGGGCAGCAGCGGGCGATGCCGGTGGGGCTGTACGCCCAGGAGAAGGCGTGCCGGCAGGAGGAGCGGCTCATCGCCCGGCTGCGCGACGTGGATGCGGACGGGCTGCTCGTCGGGGTGCTGCGGAAGCAGGCCATGCTGCTGCTGGAGGGCGGTCCCTACTCGGGGCTGGGCTGCGGGGCCCACCCGGAGAGCGTGCCCATGCACACGTTCGCCCGGTACCTGTTTGGGGCCCTGCTGCCGTACGACGCGGACCTGGCGTACAGCGTGGGGCTCAGGGCGATGCGGTGAGTGGATGACGACGACGTGTGGCCGGCGGCTGATGATCAATGTTGCCATCAATCTAATAGATAGTTTCGGTTTTGACATAGACGCTTGAAACCAAACTTTTGTTGTGATACTTATAAAACCAGACAATATAGAAAAAATAATTATACCTCATAATTCAGGGACACTGCTATAGCTGAAAGCAGGGCTTAATCTCAAATGGAAAAATACTGACCGGAGTTGCTCTTTAAAGAAAAAATTTGAAGAATTTTAGGCTGAGGCGGGATTCAAACCCACGACCCTTTGGTTGCAAGCCAGAAACGCTTGCACAGCTTGGGAACGAGGGGGGTTTATATGTTTAGTTATTGCATTCCATTTTTAAGGGTGAAGCTTAACATTCTCCTGTAATTTTTTTTCTTTGTTGGACATTTCGTGCTATGTTTTCGGTGCTGTTGTTAGGTAGCTGAGCTCTTTACGACAACAGATGGCGCTGGCCACTAACCCTTTTCTTCTGGGAGAAGAAACCCCGAGGTGCGGCGCATCCAGCCGTTCAAACTATGCAAAAGCTCTCTGCATCGAGGACGTTGTAAGGCCGGTTCGCGCATGCATCTCTGCACTGAGATAACAATGAGTCAGAACTGCATCAGCGCTACTGCGAGCGCTGCATTTTGTGTGTAACCTAGAAAAGGTGCTGTCGTATTGCTGCATGCATTGCCGAGAGGGAACGTTACTTGATACTTCTGCAAGATTCATGTTTACTGTTACCCTGAATGATTGACGCTCGCACATCTTAGGAGGCATGTTCGAGATACCGAATGCAAAAGGTAAGGGCAGCATAGCCTCACCGAGTCAGTCTCGCCCTAGTTCAACGCTCAAACATATCCTAGGCCGAATGGTCGAGATATTAAGTGCAGTGTAGCTGGCTAGCGCGAGTCAGAGACTCGCTAGCCAGCTGTTACGCCGACACCTCGGCGCTCGCTGCTGCTTTCTCGACGCTCATTCTTTATTTTGTTTATGGCACAAGTTCATCGATTAAACCTTTATTTTTAGTTTTACGTCTGTCTATCCTTTTTTCTGTCCGCTACAATATGCATCAGAGCGCTGATGCAGCGCAAAGTCAGCCCTTTTTCTGTAGCGGGGAGTTGGTGCTGCTGTGTATGTGTGAACAGGCCTGTATTCTCACGGAGTGAGAATCCACAACTCTGGAGAGCGTAGATCTGGCGTGAGAGGTCGTTGTTCGAACGGGACTGTCGTCTGTGCCCCCTCAGGCTGCCCATCCTGGAGAACCAGGAGGAGCCCGACGACCCCGGGACCGGGGTGAACGCGCCGGCGGCCAGCCGCTACCCTCGGTGGTTCACCCTGGGCCACGTCGAGGTGCAGCAGTGCGCCCTCGCCTCCACCATGCTGTCGGCCGCCAAGGGTGAGGACGTCTATCTCTTTCTCTCTCTCTCGCTTGCTGTCGTCTTTTAGGCTCGATTGCGCGAGACAGAGTGCTTTTGTGGTCGTATCTCCATCTGGTATGTGCTTTTGAGCCTGGTACTTTTGTGTTTATATTCCCATAGACGATGTGATGCGTCTGCGCACGGTGATGAAGTCGTCGCAGCGCAACATCCACAGCTCGTCGCAGCTGTTCAAGCTGGCCCAGGATGCCTTCCGCATTGCCGTGCCTCAGGACGGAGGTCCCAGGCATCTGGCCCTGCTCAACGTTGCCTTTGAGCTGGGCCTGCAGGTATGCCTCCCCTCTCAATTGAGGCCTACATCACTATGTTTTGACGTAGAATCTGTTTTATCGGTTGATTTCGCTGGACGTTATACTGTAACGAAAAGCTGACACCGAAAGGTGTTGCACCCGTAGGGAACCACGTAAAGGCACTTCAGTTCCCTGGCGGGATTTGAACTCGCCACCTTAATATTGTGAACCAGGTGCTTTGCCAACTGAGCTATCCAGGGTCGGCGTCCGCTTGCACGCAAAAGCAAACCCACTGGTGCGAAGGTAGCGCACTTCGTAGCCTGTCCTGTTATGCTGTGCCATCTCGGGGCGTGTGGGCGGTGCCGTTCCGACACCGTTCTTTTCTGGAAGGCCTATCACGCATTCTGTACTTACTAGTCTTTGTCACATGAGCAAGCTTGTATTTTATTACATCTTTTTTAGTGGACTCGTATTTAAAAGAATGGGGAACATCTCCACGTGGTGAAAGATGTTGATTGGGGCGAAGCTCTGGTGGTGCTGATGATACTGATTTTATTGTTCATAGGTAGTGCTGATGGTGCTGATTGTTTTTTATTGCTCATAGGTAGTGCTGAGTTCCGGGTTGCGTTTCGACTTCATTATTACTGCTCTATGGTCGGTGAAATGCAGAGCCAATGGTTCTTCTAGCGGATCAGCTTGGATCCGCTAGAAGCCGTGGGAATGCATCTCCACCGCTTAAGTCAACGGTCTATGTCAGAAAGAAAATCTGTGGTGTGGATCGTGGTTATATACGCAGTTGAGCATTTGACCGCAGCGCCCTCTCGTCTATAAACGTTGAGCCAATGCATGCAAAGTTTAATGCGATTATATACGCATTTGACAGCAGCGCCCTCTCCTGTATAGATGTTGAGCGGCTGCATGCAACGTTGGAGTGTAGCGTAGTGGTTAAGACATCTGCCTCGTAAGCAAGTGGTCCTGAGTTCGAACCCCCGTGCGGGCGTACGTTTTTTTTAAAAAGTGGGCCGATACCGGAGGCAGCGCAATCGATGTGAGCACGGACGCCGGACGGGTGGACAAGGCTAGACCCTAAGGAGCTTCGCCCCTAAAAGAAATCAGGAACTTATGTTGGGATTCTTTTATCTTTGGGGCCGAGTTGAGGGCCATGGCAGCCACTAGAAAAGAGGCAAAGCGGGTTAATTAGTAAGATAATTAACCAAAATGTTTCGATTAATTTTCATTTATTTTTCCGGCTTCCCTCTCCTTGGTTAATGCCCCATCTGGCCCTTGAGGAGAAATAAATAGAATGAAGTTATGTAGTTGGAGAATCGACGCTCGACCTTGATATGACCTAATCGTGCTTAAAGTTTTGTTAAAAATTTGTAGTGGGCACAGAGGGGCAAGAAATCTCACCTTGTACCAGCCTCAAACAGAAACTAAGCGGTCAAAGAGCAGCGCTATTGCAGCCAGCTCCGCTTGCGGAGCCGTCAGAGTGCAGAGGCATCAACATCACTGACGCTTTTTGCCTAAATTACTTGAGTTGAAGCCGCATATAGGGGTGACATTTTTTGCCCTGTAGCACCTACTACGAATTTTTCACTCTAACTGCTCTCCACATAGAACAATATAATTTGTTCTATGTGGTAAAGAATTAGAGGAGTTCTATATCGCGCTCGTTAGGCCTGAATGAGCGCAGACAAACTAGATTTTGTGTTTGAGCGAGCTGCGTCGTCTCTTGTGCTTGGCTTGGCTGTGCTTTTGTTGACGCCGTCCTGTGGTTGCGTTTCCTAGGTTATGCGGGTGACCCTGTCGTCCTTGAACTGGCGACGTCGGGAGATGGTGCGCTGGCTGGTGACTTGCGCCACGGAGATTGGCCTTGAGGCCCTCGTATCCATCATGCAGAAGTGGTACCAGTTCTTCACACCCACCGAGGCCACCGGTGAGCACACCTTTTGTCCTTGGTAGCGACCATTATCACCGCTGGCAGGCATAGCCGTAGCCCTTTCTCCAGAGGTGACTGCAACCGTCGCCGTAGCTGACGCTTTGAGAAGAGTCCGAGTAGGCCTCGCAATGTTTGGTCCATAGTTAGGGCTTGGTTAAGTGTCGCTTTTGACATACTAGAGGGCAGTGCGAGCGTAAAGTATTTAGTCACACACGCGAAAATTGCTCAATTACCCAAGCTTAGACGAGAATGCAGGGAATGGCGTTCCATGCACTACACGCACACGTCTTCCCTGTATAAAAGATTTGAAGTAAATAAACAAAATAAAACATTGATGGATGCGCGTGCAAGTTGGCATTTGTTGTAGGCTTTTGCTTGAGAACAGTTATTGTTACAGACGCCGGCACGTGCGGCGTGTGGGTGCAGTGTGAGCGTAGAGTTTTTGGTCACATACACGAAAAATCTACGGAACCCTAGCCATTTCGCTGTAAAAAAATAATCAATTTGAGATATATGATGTAACGATTTGGTTAGTATAGTCACATTTCAGCCATGCTGCACCCCAGGTCTCTCAAATGTGAAACTTCAGGAATTGACAGGTACCGTGTTTGCACAATTGTAGCGTGCCCCTGATTGTAACACGCGGGTATATTTAGCACTCAAATATGCAGAAAAAGGCTCGGGTACACCTAAGCACTTCTTATGAGTTGTGAATCCCAAAGCACAAATGTAGTTCTTGCGCGCGTCCTCATAAAGTTGCAGCTGGCGCGCTCGAGCGGCCGTGCCGCCGCCCGACCACGCCAGCCAATGCTTTTTGCCGGCGCGCGGGCACGCAGCACCATAGAGTGGTGCTAGTTGGAACTGACGCACGGCGGCCTCCTTTGGCTTCATTTACTTGCCATTTTGCGTGCCTTTCTGCGCAGCTTCGAAGCTGGGATGCCTCAGATTGTGGCTTCGCGAATTTATCTGCCGTTTGACGCGGCTGATGACGTCGGCTCGCTCCATAGGACAGTTAATGCTTCCGCATTAATAACTTGACGTTGATTGTACTGTGCAGGTAAAAAGAGGAAGGCTGCAAAGTGTTCGCACAATTCTAAAGCGCCCCCAATTCTAATGCGCAGGCAAGGCCGAACACATACCTCATAGAACAAATTTTATGAAACACACATCAATACAAAAATAAATGCCATGCACTAGTCGCCTTTGTCGAAGTTTGACGATGGTTCTTCGCTACCCTCAAACGTAATCCTTGCTCTCGTGTAGAAAGTTTTAGGTGCCGTGCTTCTTTGCGCTTGTAGGAGTGCACGACCGTCGCCTCTGGGAAGGTCATCTTCCAAACAACTTTGCAAGCTCGTCGGGTCGCTGGGATTGCGAGGCCACGCAGCGCTGTTCCATTATCTTTTCTCTCCAGTGTGATGGCCTTTCGTTGAAATAATGCCTCCTGTTCTAGTTCCTTTTCTTTTTCCATCCTAAGACTCAGACACGAGTCCGTAGACCCGAGAAAATGTGTGTGATATGGATGCTAAAATGGCGATTGTAGACAAACGGTCACAATGGCAATAGGGCTAGCCGCCTTATACAGTGTAGACCGCATATAACGTATGTCGCGGGAGTCGCGAAAATCCGCACTATAAGCGGTACCGCGTTATAACCAAAACATCAATTTTTCAGGCCAAAATACATGCCGTGAGACAACCCACCTTTGTAAAAGAATTTATTTTATGTTAGATGAAAAATAAAGCTTAGTTTGAGGAAAGTCTTTATTTCACCAGACTAGTAGACATCTCTCTCAAGTGTGTCACACATTTTGAAAGAAATAAGCGGCTTTTGCCTGGCGCAGCCTTCGGCGTCGCGGGTTGCGGACGGACGTTGCGAGCGTTCAGGATTGCTAACCCTAATCACTTTTCTCCGGAGATGAAAACGCGTGAAAATTCGCATCCTTCATACGGTACGCGCCAGTAATACCTTGAACTTGAGCACAGGCATGAAATGCTCCAAATAAGAAATCCGGGCGATGTTCGAAAACACAAATGCTTAGAAAGCACCACTTTAGCCGAAGTAAACAAACACGACGACACGGGCGTTTCTGCCGTCTTGAGAGCGCCGCCACATCGCCGCACGAGTAGGTGGATCTTCCCTTCTAGTACGTGCTGGGTTATCATAGCGACACACAACGAAAATTCACTGTCAAGGATAGCGTTTTTACGCGGAACGATGAGATGAACGCCACAACCGACGCCATGTTTGCGGACAGAAGCCGCCGGCCGGCCGGCCCGCGATTGGCATGCAACGCGCGCGAACGCTTCTCGACCTGCGATTGGTCTGTCGTTTCGGTTGTTTGTTTCCAACGCAGCGGAGGGACGCACGCACATGAACGACACGTGCGTGCGTCCTTCCGTCGCTATGGCAAATGAAGCCTCTCTCTTCGCTTCTCCGAGCAACCTCCTTGCCCCGCGAGTGCCGTTTGCGGCTCGCGCCGTTATCTAGTGTCGCACAGGGAAGCGTGCTCGCTGCTCCGGTCGTCGGCGCGGTCGGCGGGCTGTGCCAGAAACCGCACTATAACCGGTATTTCCCTTCGCGCGTCTGCATTTTAAGCGGTATGTAATTACATGGAGTTCTATGGGAGGCGAACCGGTGGTTTAAAAAAACCGCGTTATACCCGGTCCTGCACTATAAGCGGTTACGTTGTAAGTGGTCTATACTGTACCGAGTATTGTGTTTATCTTTTTGAGTTTCGGTTTTTGGTTTTAATTGTAACACGCATCTATTTTTGGGCACCGATTTTGGCGGAAAAAGTGTGTGTTACACTCACGCAGACAGTAACAACACTTGGGAAGCAGGGATTGCATTGGAGGTGCTATTGGTTAAACCGAAAAATTAAGACCACATTTAAGGGGACAGAAAAGGACACTGGGAGCTCTTTCAGTCAGCAACAACAGTTTAGTCATGCTGAACAGTGCGGCGGGCCTTAACTGTCTTCGCCAACGAAAAGAGCTGCGAGCGTCCATTTTCGTCCCCCTTAGAAGGGCACTAAAGCGCATTTTGAGATCCTCTTTTTATTGTCATAACTCAACCCACCAGTTCTAATCATCCTAAAAAACCTTAAAGGGGCCCTGCAATCATATTTAAGCGTCAACCTTTTTTGCGGTTTCCACGTCTCTTGATGTTCGGGCAAGCCAGCGGGCATGGAGAGAGTAACTAAATATCAGTGCATCATATTTTAACCGGACGACGCGGAAACCTCCTCCACCGATGAGGGCGACCCGCGGTACCGAAAGCGCGCAAAATGTGACGTCTTTGGTCCTGGGCTTACTACTGGTCAGAGCCGCTAAAAGCTTCTTTTTAGTCGAAATACAAAATATAAGTGTCGCGAACCGTTTCAATTACTTATAAAAGTAGTTTTTGTTCACTATTTTAGATGAGAAAAGAAACAAATGCAGTTTATAAAGTATGGCAACAAGAAATGACCCGTCGACATACCAGCCACCAAGCGGTGGAAAAGGCGGCGCATACTAGAAAGAAGTAGTGGGATCAGGCACCGACACGGAAAGGACCCGGATGTATGCGGCAGCGCTGCGGTCGTATGGGCAGGAGGATCCTACCGGCTCCGAGCCTTCCGAAGGCCGTCGGCGAGATGCTTTGTCTTGCGGTTTGGCCGTTTCGCAGTATGACAGCGCGAAGTGGCTCCCACTCTGAACTGATCTTTACCCCGTGTTTGCTGTCGTTTGTGGCCAATGAAGTGTCATGCCGAATTAGTGTTTAATCACGCAGCAAAGGCAATGAGAGCCGCTCTGGCTGCTCGCTGCATACAGCCTGTCCAGAACATGCTTTAGTGGCGCCCTCTCGCGCCGTCGACACGGAATGCGGCAGCTGTGAGCGCTCGCGATGAGCTCACTACCCCTCCTCTAGTTCACGGCCACTCAAGCAACCAAGGGCGTCATAAGGGAGGTTATTTTTTGCTTGTTTTTGTAATTTTGATTTGCCTATAACTTTTAAAATAAAGCGAATTTCAAGAAAATAAAAGTTACACTAAGTTACTACGTTCAGTGCGCTCAGGTTTGGTGCAAATTAAAAATTAGTAAAAAAGTGCTTGCAGGGCCCCTTTAAATTACATTCATGCACGGCCAATTTGCATGTAAAAAAAAAGTGATAAAAAATTTCGACACTTACCATTGGTGTAGAACAGCAGATAGCGCTATCGAACCTCGCTGAATATGGTCGAACGACTAATGGCGCTTGTGAGCCACTCGCGAGCGATGGACTACTATGTAAACGAGCGGGACCGGTCGGCCGCTTGTTCATGTGGGAACCCGTTGCTCACAAGGGGCTGAAAAGCGCCGTTCGTCGTTCGACCATATTCAGCAAGGTTTGGCAACGCCATCTGTTGTTCTGCACCAACGGTAAGTATCGGGAACTTTTATCATGTTTTTAATCTACAAATCGGCCGCATATGAATGTAATTTCGGGTTTTTTAGGATGCTTAGAGCTCGTAGATCGAGTTATGGTTATAAAACAAGGCTTTCAAAACGCTCTTTGTGCCCCTTTAAAGTAGTTTTGACCCTACAGTCCCATGACGAAGACAAATGTACGAGCCGCGAGACAAATTCCACCGCAGGTCCTGTGGCAACGACCATCATGTCGCATGCCACAATCCTTCGCCTGGGACTGGACTTCGGCCAGCAGGAGGAGCTGTCGTCGTGCGCCCGTACCCTGGCCCTCCAGTGCGCCTCCAAGGACCCCCCCAACTGTGCCCTCAACGCCCTCACCCTCTGCGAGGGGGACGCGTACGCCTTCGAGACCGCCCACCAGATCGTGGTGGATGCCGCCGGCTCGGGCGTCATGACCTCCTCTCAGCTCTTCACGGTTGCCCGCTACATGGAGCACCGGGGCTACGCCCACCGCGCCTACAAGCTGGCCGTGCTCGCCACGCGGGGCGTGCAGCTGGCCTACAACCAGGACGCCCATCCCGCCATCAACGACATCCACTGGGCGTGCGCACTGGCCCACTCGCTGGGGCGCTCCGAGCTCGCCAGCTTGGTCCCCCTCCTTGTGAAGCACGTGCAGTGCGCCACAGTGCTCTCAGACATCCTCCGGCGGTGCTCGATGGCGGCGCCGGGAATGGCGACGCTGGACGCCAAGCGGCGCTGCGTGCGGGCGCTCTCGCTGGACAAGCCGCCCCTGCGGCCGCTGCTGGAGGCGGCCATTGCAGCGTACGTGAACACGACGCACTCGCGGCTGGCCCACATCTCGCCGCGCCACTACGGCGACTTCATCGAGTTCCTCAGTAAGGCCAGAGACACTTTCCTGCTGGCGCAGGACGGGCACGTGCAGTTTGCGCAGCTGGTGGACAACATGAAGGCGGCCTACAAGGGGAAGAAGAAGCTCATGTATCTAGTCAAGGAGCGCTTCGGCTGAGTCGGGCTCACGCAGTGCGACTCGCGTGAGCTCTCTCTCTCTCGGCCGCGGCGTCGCCGCAACCGCGGGCCGGCGAGAGACTCGGTGTCGGCTCGTTTATTTTGGGTTCCGGTTTTTGTTCGGAAAGAGGGCCGCACTTGCCGAGTCGACGGCGTTTTTTCGTTGTTCTTGTTATCGTTTTTAGCCCCGCCCCCGACTGTGTGTCGAGGCTGCCCCCGACAAATGCGTTTGCGACCGATCGCCGAGGGGTTGGGTTTAGTTTCGAGGGAGAAACCTGCACCTTGGAAGCCGACTCTTTCTCGCGGCCCGCGGACCGATCCGGCTTCGTTCGAGGCTCGTGCAGTTCCCGTTTTGTCGGTGTTTTATGACTAAGTGCCTTTCTGGCCGTCGTTCTTGTTTGACAAATACTTTTCTTTTAACTTTGCGTTTTTTCTTTGGGGGGGCATTTGTTAGTTTTTAAACACGAATTTCATCCACCAAATCTTTACCTGTTGGTTCTGAAATTCGGCAGAAGAGCCTTCGGAGCTTTTCCGACAGTTTACTTTCTAAAATAGCGGACTGTGGCTTTACGAGGCAGTTTGCCCGTTGCCGCGTCGTCACTTTCTCACAACGGGCTTTTAATAACGACTGCCGTCGAGGTCAAAGCGGTAGGACTTTTTTAAAAATTTTTAATCATCTCTCGCTCGCGTTGTCGGTTTACTTGTTTTGTCTGTTTTGTTTTGGGTGGGTGGGACTGTTTTTGCGTCGCATCAGACGCGTAGTCTTTACTTCCGCAGCGGCATTTTCCACGCCCCCTCAGTCGCGAGGTGGCGGGGCACGGGCGCCCGACGACGGATCCCAGGGTTTTTTTCCCCGCGGGGACTGCGCGTCTGCGTTCCCGAGAGAAAACTGCCTGCCCTGGGGCGGTCGTGGCTAGCCTTTTTAACGAGTCTCTCGCCAGTCGAAAAAGACAAGAAAAAAAAAAAGAGAAAGAAAAAAAAAAAAAAGCAACAAATGTGTGGGCAACAGGTGCAAATATTAGTTTTTTTCTCACTTTTTTTTTAGGCTACATTTGGTGTGTACATAGGTCCCGTGATATTCCAAAGTTGCGCGCCTCGGCGGGCTACGAAACAAAGCGCCGGCGGGCGATGGCAGAACGTAGGGAACACCAGTCTTTGGGGTTGAGTGTCCAGATTATTGCATCAAGCAGCGCCGGTCATCAGATGTGGCTTGCTCTAATCACGTGAAGCACGATTTGATGTTCTGGGGCACCTCTGTGGTTGGGTAAGGCGGGGAAAAAAAGGACAATTGCTTCTCTCTATGGTATGTCTCAAGGGTGCCCTAAATGCATAGCATTTATAGATCCTATGCCACGTGGGCGTCGCCTGATATTGTGGCTCATGTGATGCTATACGTCACAGTTTCATCTGACATCACATTGGCTCACGTAACATTAGTGTCGTGCGACGTCCTGTCACGTGGTGTCACCTGAAATCACTGGGCCATGCGAGGTATGCCGGATCACTCAACGGACACGGTGTCAGAGTGTTGCACGAGATTGTGTCTCATGAAGGTTGCGTCATGTGACGTAGTGTCACATAATGACCGTCATCTGAACGTCTCGACGTCATTAGCGTGACGTGGCATCGAGGCTACACGCCGTGCACACGAAAGCTCCAAGATCTGGCCCTATCAATTCTATGCATTTGAAAGCCGAAACGGTGGTGCGACCTATCGTGATTTTCAGCTAGCGTTTTTTTCAAAGCCTAGTCAGCGAACTCTCCAACTTCCCTGCACGACGGTTTCGATCGGATCGTTTTGCTCTCGTTTAGGAGTGTGCCTAGGTCGGTGGTTAGTCTTAGAGACATCGTGGTAGCTTGAGCGAAGCATGGTGTCTTCGACAAGCCCAGGATTTTTCTCATTGAAAGCAAGGAGTTTATAACTTTTGGGTGAGATTGTTAGAATGATTTGCCTTCTAAAAGAAAACAAAAAGCTCCACAAAGAGAGAAAGGTCGTCGTTTTAGTGTGGTATGAGATTTTCATAAGTGCTTGCCTTCCGAAAGAAAGCAAAAAGAAAAGACTAACATAGTATGCGTTCCCTCACAACGTCTCGCCTCGCCCGTCCGCGCCAGCCCCGCCTTTTTTCCGAGTCTCCTGGACGATCTCGTCGGCTAACATATCCTAGCTGATTTTTGTACATTTTGTGCAGTTTATTCTCGTTTCTGGTGTGCATGTCTGCTTGTGTGCATCGAGTGTGCGTGCAACTCTGTAGCTATTTTTCTCAACAAACGGAAGAATGAACTATGTGCCGCCGCACAGTTTTTTTTTTTTTTTTCTTTTTTTGTGGATGCGATTGCGCTCTGGTGATTAATACTACTTAGCCAAGTTTTGGGGGCGGGAAGGACCGCCGAACACGTTTTTAAGCGCTAAACGCCGCGAGTATACGAGAGTGTCGAATTCTAATTTTTTAAGTGGGGGGGGGGGGGGGAGGGTGACACGCTTGGCGTATCGAGATGATGTGTAATACTTGTTTTGTTATTTATTTGTGTATTTGTTGACTTCATATTTTTTGTTTTCTTTTTCGTCAGAGTTGTTTACGTCTTTTCTTTCCGTGTTATGTCTTTGGTCTTCCCCTTGTGTTAAAGGCCGACGTTTCACGCCGGCGCGCTGTCGTCGACGCGCGAGTTTCAATGCATCCTTTACAACGCCGGCCTTGTTTTTGTCAAAGTGTCGCGCCTTGCAGTTGTTGGAGGTGTCAACGACCCGCCTTCTAAGCACTTTCTTTCCTCGCTAACCCCCCCCACTGACGGGCGGTAAAAATTTCTCGCTTCAAACGACCGAGCTCAACAGTCCCTTCTGTTTTACTGCCTCGCTTCCGCGCACCGAGTTTTTTCTGAGAAGCCGAAGGAAGGAGAAGGGTTGGGGTTGCATTTGACATCGGGGTTTGTCGTTTTTTGCCGCCTACCTCATACCATGAGCTATGCCAAAGATTGACTGGAGATCGAGCTTCCATTTCGAATGCCTTTTCTCAGTTTCAGTTTGTCGAAGGATCTCAGATGACCCCGATAAAAAAGGCAAGCAAACCCGTCGCTCCATGCAATTGATGGGCCAACGTGTTGCGGTGTTGTGCGTCGGACTCGGAATTTGGGCTGTTCTCTTGTTGTGGACTTGTAACTGTTTTTTTTTTGTTTTTTTTTGTGTTTCCCATATTCCACTTTGCATCATTCCGTTTAGAGAAACAATTTTCGTTCAAAGTGAGAGGGCTCCCAACGTCAGTTCAATCTACCTCTTAAAAAGTCTGCGCGAATGTGTGGTTGTGACTTTTGACTGCGGGCCTTTTCCTTTAGCCATCACCCAAGCGAGTTGGAGTGGAGCAGTATTATGAGTGCAGTAACGTCGATTGGGGGGGGGGGGGGGGGGCATTTTTTCAAAGTGGTTTGGATTACGTTGGGTTTTGACGCAGATTATGTCATAAAGCTGTGTTTCATAAGTACAGTGATACATCGGGCTCGACCGATGCCTGCGTCATAGCCGTATAAGCAACATAGCCTTATACAGCTTACATTTAGGCAATGAACTTTCCTCCACCGACAAACGTCTGTCGGTGTCAAACATTCAAATTTGGTTCTAACTGAAAAATGCTAACAATCCACCATTGATGTCAAAAGTACATCGGTGAAAACTGAAAAAAGACTGATTTCTGAAAATTTTTGCTCCAGCTAGGGCAATTTTTTTTTGTTGTTGAAACCCTCTAGCTTTTTAAGAGATTTCCTTTTTTTTTTTACCAAAAACTGTTTTTAGCGTACGTCTGAAAAAGATTGCCAAAATATGTCGGTATTTGGAAAACAAATGGAACACCAGAAAAACTATGGCCTAGCTATATTGCTATGTGACCTTGACATCAGTGTGTCACAGGACATGATATCACATGATGTCATGGTACCTCGAGACATGACATGCGCGCAGCCTGTGCCCAGCTCATTTACAGCACATACTGTGTGTGCTGAGTTTATCAAATATAATGAGACATTCTTAATATTTTTTTTAGAGTGCAGCTCTTAGGCGCCGTTTCTGGCTTGAGCGGCGTCGACGTTGCTGTCGCCGTCGGCGTAACCGCGTGGTGCATTATGGGTAAATTTTCCCGAAGAAACCCGAGGTCCTCCCGAAGGACCTCGGGTTCCTTCGGAAGGACCTTGGGTTCCTTCACGAGGACCTCGTGAGGACCTCAAGTTTCTTCGGGAGAACCTCGGGTTCCTTCGGGAGGACCACGGGTTCCTTCGGGAGGACCTCGGCTTCCTTCGGGAGGACCTCGGGTTCCTTCGGGAGGACCTCGGGCTCCTTCGGGAGGACCTCGGGTTCCTTCGGGAGGACCTCGGGCTCCTTCGGGAGGACCTCGGGTTCCTTCGGGAGGACCTCGGCTTCCTTCGGGAGGACCTCGGGTTCCTTCGGGAGGACCTCGGCTTCCTTCGGGAGGACCTCGGGTTCCTTCGGGAGGACCTCGGGCTCCTTCGGGAGGACCACGGGTTCCTTCGGGAGGACCTCGGCTTCCTTCGGGAGGACCTCGGGTTCCTTCGGGAGGACCTCGGCTTCCTTCGGGAGGACCTCGGGTTCCTTCGGGAGGACCTCGGGCTCCTTCGGGAGGACCTCGGGCTCCTACAGGAGGACCTCGGAAGGACCTCGGGTTTCTTCGGGAGGACCTCGGGTTCCTTCGGGAGGACCTCGGGCTCCTACGGGAGGACCTCGGGTTTCCTCGGGAAGACCTGGGGGGGGGGGGTCACGTGACGATGACGTCATCAGTGACCTCATGAGTGACGATGACGATGCAGATGCCGATGACGTCATCAGTGACGTCACTGATGATGTCATCACTGATGATGACGATGCGGATGCCGATGACGTCATTGGCGTCATCACTGATGACGTCACCGTCACGTGACCCCCCCACCCGAGATCATGTGACCCCCCCCCCTCCCCCCCTGAGGTCACGTGATCTCCCAAGGTCACGTGACCCCCCCAGTACCCTTCCCTCCTCCTCCTCAAGAGCTGCACTCTAATTCGGCGTTATAGGGAGTTGAAAATGGCTTTCATTTTTTTATGGCATCTCCAACTCTTTTTTAATTACAACTAAGATGATAAAATGTATAAACCTTTTTTAGCCCCATAGATGTCGGCGAGTGACACAGGACCAAATGCAGTGTTCAGCGGTTTCCTTCGTTCCTCTCCTCGTGAGTTCAAGTTTTTTTAGTCTTTTGTTGGAGAGAGGTTGTTTTACGTGCCTTGTTTTGTCTGTTTACGAATGGCTTTCAGTGTGCGACACATTGTATTCCGAACGGGCAGTGAAGTGCGCGTGCAAGAAACGCAAACACTGACGTGTGACGTGCGGACGGACGTGCGAGGCGCAATGCGCACTGTGTAGTCGGGAACTCTCTTCCTTTTTAATTTTTTCCGCCTTTCTTCGTGCCGCGAAGGCACGGAAAAAGCGAAGCAACTGCAAACACCAAACGCTATGCAACAACACGACGTGACGACGGGCGGCAACTCGAGGAAGTCCTACAGAGGGAATGTCTCCGCGCCGGTACCCGTATGCTGCGAAGCCCGATTTTTGTGCAGTGCTCGTGGATGGTGTTGCAAGACGGTCAGTGCGGGGGACTGCGTTGGGAACTGTGTGGGGAAACTGTGTTGGAACTGCGTTTACGAAACGGAGTGATGTCCTGTGCAAGTATGCGTTCGGCACATCCGAAGCAATAGGTCATGTGCAGGATCACACGAAGGACTACGGTACACGGAAAAACCTACAAGCGTTCGTACGGAGGGTGAAAATGCTTGCGACCGCAACTGATTTTGGCATTACTTTCCTCTGTGTATCCGCCTTGCCCCCTCCCACCTGGGTTTGGTGGAGTGTAGAAATGTTTCCGTTCGAATGCCCTGTATGTATTGACGCCACTGTGCGGTTTCTATTCTTTTAAAGACTGTTGAAAGTTAGGTAGGTTACAAGTCAAACCCGTGTAAGTTGGAACGACTCTAACCGCTGTGTGTTACTCTTTATTTATTCGAATATTATTTAAAGCGTTTTGTTGTTGTTCGCCACTTTTTTTCCTCCCAAACTGCGGTCGTGTACGAGCATCGAGTGATATGACCTGAAAATAAAACTTGAAAAGACCGATTTGAAAGATGTCGTGTTTGTAGGGGGAGGTGTCCTGATCGCACATGCTTCATGCTGTGGACATTGCCTTTTCTCTTTTGTGTTCACTGACAGGTTAAGACTAGTGATTGAATTATTGTCTAGCGACTTGAATGTGATTCGCTTCTCTAGCGCGTTATGCCGTTTACATGGCCGCATCGAACGCGACAACTGGATTCGATGCGACTAAGTCGCATTTATGTAAATGCGGCTATTAGAGGCAGTTAAATACCTGGGCTGCCCAGTTAAGTAATGAGTGAGCATCTCTTGCTGTAGGGTACTCTCGGCCTTAGAATATGGGTAAGTGTCTGCTTTGTACTGTTACAGCATGTTTATTATTATAATTTTTTTTTTTATGTGGATGTTTTGAGGGCACGGGCTAAATTTGTTTAATTTTGGCAATTGCAGTCGATAGGGTTTTATTCAGTTTGCTCGGGAAATGTTTAAATACAGTAGATAGGCCGAAGGCGCGCACCAGTGCGCCTACAAGCACCCGCGCTTTATAACTACAATAAGCAAGAAAGAAAAAGTTTTTTCCGCAAATATAAACAAGCAAAATAAAAGGTCATGGACGAACTTTGAGAGCCCTGACCTACTTTTCTTGTACCTTTCCATGCGCGGTTGTACAGGGTTATTTTTGCATTACGTGAAAACAGCAGAAACTCGCCGAAATCTGAAAATAGTCGAACTTGGGAGAAGTCGGGAGTGTTGTACCCTGCAGCAAAGACAACCACAGCGTTCGACAAGGTTCACATACGATCTACAGCGTTCTGTGCTATTGAAAAATCAAAACCGAAACCATTACGCGAACAAGAAAAAAAATAAAATAAACGAAAGTGAAGACGCTGACGCTGTCAACAGAACTCCCCAGACGGCGCACGCATCGCGGAGCCTGCCGAAATTGGTGCTGCTCTCCAGGCTGTGTTTAGGGAGGGTGTGTGTTTATGGTCGTGAAAACGCTTTCGAAGCCGCGAATTATTTTGGTGCCCTGACTGTTTCTTCGCGGTGATATAACACGGCCGCTTGTTCTTACCTTAGACTATCGCGTTCTTCGCCAACGGATACGTGCTGACTCCGCGATAGCGGCGAGAAGTTACGATGCCGGTGTTCCACACGAAGACGATAGAGAGCATACTCGAACCTGTAGCACAACAGGTAAGGGGATTGTGTTTCGTAGACTCGCGGTTTTAATGCCTGCATTGCAAGTTTGTTGTCACTGCGGCCCCTAAACTGGGGTTTTGAGACATTTTGTAGCGTTTGTAACTCATTATGTGACTTGCAAACACTTTTTTCCGCGAAGTGAGGGCAGGCTTAGGTGTACGAAGGGGAGAACTCGAGTGATAGCGTAAGTGTGCCCTGCCCATCTGCGAACATGTTTAAAAAGCTCGAGCAGGCAGGGCGTTAATTACTTCCTCGATGCAACGCTTCGTAATAAAACAACAAAAGAAACAAACAAAACAATTTTGCGGCGCGCACAGTTTGAATTGAGATAATTAAAATTTTAAAACAGCTTTCGTACATCCCTTTTTGACGTAAGTGCGGTGTCAGGTGTCGTACCCCCGCAGTGCGAAAACAGTTGGAAAAGTTAACAAAACCACACAAACGCAAGAAAAAAAAAGTTACAACCAACGCGAAAGAATCACGATATTATTTGGAGATGCTGTGATGCGGGTTAGTTTTTGAAATCGAATTTTCCGTATAACAAATCGATCAAAAGGTGCGCGAGTTACCGTTTTGGTGATTTTTGATCGGGTGAGTAAGCGTGAAGGTCACTTGCGAGTGATGACGGTACAATGCGAAATCGCGCTGCACCGGACGTGACAAGTTCGGAAAAGGAGTGTTCTGGGTTTCGTCTTCCCTCTGGTGATATCATCCACTTCAGCAGACGGAAACCAGGCATAAAAAGAGCACAAACAGGCGCCGTCTGCTTTTTTTTTTTGTGTTGTATTTTTGTTTTCTTTTTTTTTTTTTTTTTGGGGGGGGGGGGGGGGGGGCGGCCACGGCGGGTTTTTTTAACGACTTGTACCATTTGAGCGTGTTGGTGCTTTTTAAACATTTAGAAAGCATGTATCCACTTCCTAAAAGTTTTTAACGACGTTGCGAATATTAACATGCTCGAGAGCTACTGAAGCAAATGCTACGGCAGTAAGCATGTTTATTGGACGATTTTTCTAATGTAGGACCAGCAGGTTGTGCAAAATTTAAATACAAACTGTTAAGCTTATGAAGAAAACAAGCACTGCATATCATAACAAATAGCATCTGTAGAGCATAGTTGTAAACCCGAGACTGGATATACGTGTTTGTCCCTTGTCCGTATTTTCAGTCTCGGGTTTACAACTATGCTCAATTTAGAAAAGCTAGCCTGCGCCCTCACCATAGCATCTGTAACGTGTAAACAATAGAAGAACGGAGGCGGTTAAGAAAGAAATCAGCCTTTTACTTTTTCGGTAGGACGGGCTGTGACGTACGGTGGCAGGTGTGATGGGGGAGTGCCATCATTTTTGTTTTTGTCTTCTTGCCTTATATAACTGTCACCACCTTACATCAGGTCGAGCTTATTTTTACAGTTTTTCTGGCCGGGTGACAAAGCCTGGCCGACCTCACGGCTTGCGACGGTTGCACAAGTTCGTGACTCATTTAAAAGTCGAGCACAATGCATCATTTACGACTCGTCATTTGGAGTTCTTCAACCTTTCGCTGTCGAGTTGCACACAAATGATGCACCATACCGATGTGCTAATCAAGCTCCATCGTTCAATACCATTAAAAGGCATGATTAGAAGGGAAAAAAAGACGCGCTCGCAACGACAGCGTAGGCTACGAGGAGGCGGAATACTCCTACGTGAAATGTAGGATGAAAGTGAAGTGAACGAAAGTGGTCGTAGGTGCCAAGCGTTCGGGCAGGACTTGCGACATAAAACCTACTGCTTCACCGATTATTCGACGTTGCAGATGTTTGAAAAGTCTCCGTATCAAAAACGCTATGTCTAAAAAAAAAAAAAAAAAAAAAAAAAAAAAAAAAAAGCTTTGTTTTATCTATTAGTGCGGTCGTGCGCGTAGAAACGTTGAATTTGATGTTTTCCTTGCGCGCTCAACGAGCGATGCGTCAAGATTGAAGTCGTGTTTTCGCCGTGACAGTATCTCTCCCATCGTGTTTTGAAAGAGAAAAGTACAGACAACGAAAACAGCTGCGCGTAATTTTATCGACGAGGAGGGTGGGTTAAAAAGGTGTCACGGCGGAGTTTGCCGAGTAAAGTGCGGGGAGGGAAGATTAAATAGCACAAAAAAGCAAACGAACAACGCTTGGGAGGAGAAAAAAAAAATTAGCAGACGAAAAAAGCCGGCCGCCATTTCGCCTTGTGCTGCCGGCTGGTGGCAGTTGCTGCTGGGCTTTGCGGGTGCGGCTAATATTAGAAGCTTCCGGCTCGTATTACCTTGCGTTTTTTTTTTTTTTTTCCCGGGCCCTTTTCGGTTTTTGTTTTTATGAACGTAGGCGGGACGCCTGTTTGTTTTTGGAGCCTAGGGTGCAACGATAACATTGAACCCCCTTCAGAAATTGGAGGCAAAGGCCCTTGTACATCCTTCCACTGCAGCTGACATCTCTGCTGTAGTGTCTATCTTTAGCTAAGGTGGACTGACAAGCGATGCTTAGAGGTGCAATTAAAATTCGAGGCAGAACTCTTTTCAATCAGCACATGTGAATTAGATTGATTGGGTAGTTGCTGATGAGCACTCCATTCCCTGAAAATTTTAGAAGTTACACTTTCAGAATTGCAGTGTTAGAAACATGATGAATGGTCACCTGTTCTGACCTAGATTACGAAACACGAAACCACAGAAACTTAGCTCATGTTGAAGGCGGTAGACACCGATTTATCGCCAAATGCTTTGTAACGCTGTGGGATATGAAGCTTAAATTTTTTGACCGTGGGGAAAGGCTTCTATCAAGGAGGTTAGAAGTACTAGGAGGGGGCACGTTGCAATATTGGTGAAGCCTAGTCATAAAAAGTTTAAACGATTTTGTGCCCAGCGTGACCGCAGATCTCTCTGGCGATTGGTGCGGGTGACATGTCACGTGTGAGATGGATGGTTGATTGTAGAAGGACTCCTCGCAGGCTTGCGCGTGCTCCGTCCGGTAGGTTTTATCAGATCGAAGTCTAGACTGTGGTGTATTCTAGTACCCCATAGCAAGACGAAGGCGAGCTACGGTCACGTGATGTGGTCACGTTGGCAAGGTAAGTGAGGAGAGTAAGGAGGAAAATGAGAAAGAGGCGAGGCATCAAGGGAGCATGGCTTGCGGAGGCTACGCGGCCGACGTCATGCCCTCTCCTACCCTTCTATTCTCCATGGCTTCTATGCGGAGAGCAAATCGTGCTTGCGTAGGAGCTGTGGTGACATCAGACATCAAAGCCAATCAAAGCGCCGCCACGCTTTGATTGGCTTTGATTGAAAGGATAGTGGGTAGACCTCAATGCTAGATGCATTGCGGCCTACCCACTATATTTGTTTTATATCAGCCAATGAGAGTGCGGCATTCTGATATTATCGCAATCCCTGTGCAAGAAGCAGACGAACTTGAGCTCCGCATAGCCTACTCCGTTCTCCCCTAAGTTGACTGCAATGGAGGCAACGTGCTGGTTGGACCAGTCATACGTCTACCTTTCACCACGTGAACACTCTCCCGCGCACAGAGAGCGAGGTCAGGTGATCAAGGGGAAGCGTTTGATGGGTCTGTCAGCTTAGGGGTGAACACAGCATACATAGCTTGCATTGATGTCGCATCAGCCGCCATTGCTCCGGACCATGCTCCGGTGCTTGTACTTTCTGCAGCGCGTCACCATTGAATTTCCGGGAAGAACAAATTTGATGGTGCGAAATATAGGCTACAGAAAATATGGACACAGGATCATGGTGGCTGGTACGGTACCACAAGACGTCACTTGCAATGCATGTACAAGGTGGCGCAAGCAGATCTGTCGCTGTAAAGCGAGCTTAAAGAATCGGCTCCTGCTCATAGAAAGCTCAAAATTTCATCAAATGTGCACTGCAGTTTTAGCGTGTGAAATTTCAAAATGTAATACTCTCCCTGTAAAAAAAAAAAAAAAGCAAACTTGCCAAAGTCAACGCAGGATGTGTTCGCTAATGAAGTTAGTGGCATTATGAACTTGATGGATGCGGCGAGCAGACAGCATACTCTGTTCTCTGCTCGCTGCGCCTATCAGGATATGGCGCCACGAGCATCGCCAACTCTGTCGTCTGCGAACGCACACGACATTGGCTTTGCCAAGTTTGCTGCTCTCATTTTTTACAAAAAATTTCTATATGCCTTGAAATTTCACATGGTAAAATGAACCTGCTCATTGCACACTTGGTGAAAGTTTGAGCTTTCTATGTGCAAGCACAGACTTTTCAGGCTTGTTTTACAGCGTCAGATTCACTTGTGCAACCTTATATCAGTTGTATCAACAATAATTTAACATATGACTGTTTCATGAAATTAGTGGATTAAACAAAGTATACTGGTTAAACATTGAGTTGGGGCTGTTGGCCTTAGGTTTCCAGGTTGGTGATCCTTCATGAAGAAGCCGAAGATGGCAATGCCATGCCGGACCTTGAGCGGCCGGTCAAGGCCGTCAGCATGGCTGTCTCCAACCTTGTCAAGGTACGGAGTTTTCTTCTTTTCCCATCAAGGAGGGACAGATTGTAGCTTCTATGGGAGCTCCAGAACAAAAATATGGCTACACTGCATTTTCTTAATTAGGGGGTGAAAACAACATGCATTTTAATTGCTCCCCATTGGCAATCGGGAGGCGTTTGATCACTAAATCCCAAAACCTTGCACAGTCTCAAGACTGCAGTATTTCAAGACTACATCATTTCAGAACTCTGCAGTCTCTAGACTGCATACATTCTCAAAGTTCTGCACAATCGGCACTGCACAGTATCAGACTGCATAGTCTCAAGGCTGCAGTCTCAAGACTGCATAGTCTCAAGACTGCACAGTCTCAAGACTGCACATGTGTTCTCTAATCATTTGAACGTTAATGTGATGCGGCAATGCCAGGTTGGCCGGGAGACCATCAACAGCAGCGACGACCAGATCCTACGCCAAGACATGCCAGCAGCTCTGCACCGCGTGGAGCAGTCGTCGAAGCTGCTCGAGGAGGCATCCGCTCTACTCAAGGCAGATCCATACTCCCAACCGGCCAGGAAGAAGCTCATTGAGGGAGCTAGAGGTATGCAATTCACGAGGGAAACCATTTGAATCATGTCTAGTGAGGAACCCCAAGCTGTCCTGCAAAGTGAGAGCAAGCTTGTGTCATATCAGGTTGGCTTAACCACAGTGTCATGTCTACCTGCAGAAGGGTGCGACCTTAAAGGCCTACAAGCAGCCAGAAAGGAGGAAACTCTTGCTCAATTTCCCCTCTCCATTCAAGAAAGAAGGACGCCCCCCTCCTTTTTGTGGGGAGTAGCCCAGAGACTCGGAGAGAAGAGAGTGAGAGGGAATGGAGGAAAGGAACTGGGAACCGGTTTTTCGCCTGGCAGGAGACGATTCTCTTGGTCAGCCTTTAGGCAAAAAGACACTCTTCTGAACCAGTGTCTTGGTACTTCCTTGTTTTGCAAAGCTCACGTCATATATCCGGCTTTGCCCAATGGATCACCTTCCACTTCATGTACCACTTTGAGCGCACAGTTCATGAAACAGGCAATGTTTAGCAATGAGGTCAAGTGGTGGAATGTCGGCAGTCTTTATTACAGACCTTGTTCGGACCAACCAAATTTTATAATGCCAGCCTTTAAATTAGTGAACCTTGTTTCTGAACCCTGCGAGTTGTCTTTCATGAGGATTGGCGGACAAGTGTTTTGAAAGTTTTAGCCTTTGCGGTGATACTTCATGGTCCTGCAGGCTTGGATTTCAGGGATATTCGTCCATAGGCTAGTTCCTATCTTTGTGGAAAAGTACAACAGCCCTTGGGCAAGTGATTAACTTACATGACTCAATAAATCGAGGACACCATAATGTGACTCACCCCATTCTGTGGCTGAGCCAAGTTGGGGTAAGGTTTTGGCTCCGTCTCTCAATTTGGCTACAGTGGAGAACGGACCGTGTCTTTTTCCCCGCAGGAATTCTGCAGGGGACATCCGCGCTGCTGCTGTGCTTCGACGAGTCTGAAGTGCGCAAGATCATCCGAGAGTGCAAAAAGGTCCTGGACTACCTGGCTGTGTCCGAGGTCATAGAGTCCATGGAGGACCTCGTTCAGTTTGTCAAGGTATATTTGCAAAGAAACCATGTTTCCAAAGCTTTCCCAAACAGTCTTTATGAATACCAAAGAAAAAGAAAGTAAAAGTAACAAATTCATGGACACTATAAAGACTCTGAGCATGCACAAGCAACATGATCGAGCCATTAGTTGACACCGTCATTCCTCTGCTTGGTGCAGAGCAGGCGCAATTGACCAGCGTTGCGTTCTGAGAATGCGACTTTCTCAGTTTTGTAGACAGTATCGGGAAGCTTAGGCGAGACTGTTTTGTTGCGCCTTCGGCTGTTTTAACATTCCTGGAGAACAGAAAAGCGTTTTCTGCAATTTTATGTACCGGATTTTCCTGCGTGTAGTCCATACCCCGTGTACAGTCCACTGGAAAAACATTTTGGCCGAAAAAATAGTTTTTCTTTAGACAGTCCACCATAGAGCCTAGTCTGACAAATGCACTGTGGAGAAGCAGCACCCCTGTGAAAGCGAGATCTGCGGGTGTTGCTTTTCTGCAGTGCACCGGGGCTCGGCAAGGAGTGCATTTATGGGGCCAACTCTGCGATCAACACTTCGAAAAGTATGAACATCGCAGTTTCTTTCGAAGTGGATACCTAATAGCGGATCATTCAAAACCGCTATTCGAAAAATTTAATATTCACACGCTCCAACCCGATAGACGACGCCGGTTTGTTGTCTCATCGTGAGGCGTCATAGGTGGATGTAGCTCCGTCGATCAACGGAGAACGAAACTGTGTAACCAGTTTTTAGGGTTCTTTTCGAAGCTACAATTGGTCGATTGATTGGCACGCAGGACATGAGCCCTTGCCTGACAAAGGTTTCGCGGGACGTGGACGCCCGCGAGAAGGAGCTGACGCACCAGGTGCACCGAGAGATCCTGGTGCGCTGCCTGGACTCGGTCAAGGTCTTGGCACCCATCCTCATCTGCAGCATGAAGATCTTTGTCCAGATCCTGGCACAGTGTAAGTCATCGGCCCTTTTCGTGGGACGAGCCGGTTCGTTTACGGCGGAGCATGGTTGAGCGGTACCCAACCGACGGCGTCTGCTCCTAAAAGCCTCTTGAAGGCACTCGCAGCGAAGGTTTGACTGGATTGCATTTGGATTTGAGCAGCGCATCTTCTTGATATCACCAGACAATCCTTTTAAAAGCTGCCTAGGGCGGCACGATGCTAAGTCTGCCTCTGACTGTAGTAGACTTGAATTCCTTCTTTTGGCCTGTCTTCAGCGGGCAAGGGTGTGGAGGAGGCTGCGGAAAACCGCAACTACCTGGCCCTCCGAATGACGGAAGAGATCAACGAGATTGTCCGTGTCCTGCAGCTGACCACCTATGACGAGGAAGAGTGGGACGCCGACAACCTCACTGTCATGAAGAAGGCACAGGTGAGCTTTTCAGGGTCGGCGGATCGCCTTCCCGTTATGCGCCTTAAAAACCTGGAAGAAATTGAAGCATGTCTTGATCATATCTAAGAGACAGACTCGCAGACTGCGTTCAGAACAGGCTGGGCACATGCTCTGTCTGTCTCTTATGTCTGTCTGTCTCTGTGTGTGTGTGTGCACGTGTGTGCATGTGTGCATGTGTGAGAGATAGAAAAAGACGTCTCACACTCACGCGTAATTAGGTATGTCAGTCTGAAAAATACTCGCCGGTAAGCTTTTTGTTTATTTGGATTTATCAAAAAAACTAAAAATTTCGATGCTACGATGTCAGAAAAAAACAAAATGTATACAGTATTCTAGAAATAAGCTTGGTCAGAGCAAGGGGTCAGTGGCCCTGAGGAAAGTCCTCTTCGGTCTCCTTTCAAACCTTGCACTTCTGACTAGGGGCTCACCGTTTATCTTGTCAAGTTTCGTTCATGGCAACGGGTCATCCTAATTTCTCGTCATGCCATTGTTCTAGTTCTCAGTTTGAACTTCTTAGGTGAAGGTGTCTTTGCATTTTTATAACATGTGAAATCTATAATCATGAGAGGGAGGGGGGTAACTAAATGTTCTACCTCACCACTCCAACAACTCCTCTCTGCGCAGCCGCAGGGTGGAGTGGTGGAATGAGATGGGGAGGAAATGAGCTTTCCAGAGACAACATCAATGATTTTAGCAATTTTAAAGTATTTGACGTTTATTAAAGCTACAGTTGTCTGCAAGTTTTGTTGTGGGACAGATAGTATTATCAATGGCAAGGGCGAAAATGCCCAATCGATCTGGAAAAAATATCATTCGATACAGGTTTGTTCCTTCGAATTTAGGGCAGTTTTGTGTCCGGATAATACTTAATTTTATATTGAATTAAAAAAGAAAAAAATTGGGCTCACAGCAAAATGAAACTTTGAATTTGGGTGAATCGGGAATCTGTCATCAGTAAACTCAAAAAATCAACTCGGAAAAATGCCCTCCAAATTTCACGAGAAATAAACTCCGAAAGCTTCCCAATTTGAACCCGAGGGGTACCAAAACTTTATTTGAATAATGCAAAGTTTGAATTACCGGGAGCTTCCTTTTTAGAAACACATAGGACGGGACCTGCATGTTTAGTCTGAATTATTGAGATTCCACTATATTGTATTTACCTGCGTGTCAATCGAGCGCAACGTGTTGCTTTTTTCGTGAAACCCAACCTCATAACAGATTTTGCGTTATAAAATATTGTGGCACTCCACAACATCCGACGAAGAGGGCCCTTTTTGGAACATGCAGAACGCAATAGCGGGAAAGCTGCAGTCGGCACACGACTGGCTGGAGGATCCAACGGCGGTGACCGGAGGTGTTGGCGAGAAGTCGGTGCGACACATCCTGGAGTATGCCAAGCGCGTAGCGGACCGGTCGCTGCCCGCCGACGCCGACGCCATCCGCAAGCTCTGTGGGGACCTGGAGTCCATGACCAACGCCCTGTGCGAGCTGCGGCAGGAGGGCAAGGTACGTGGGAGAACATGAGGACGACCGCCCGTCGCGTTTCGTTTCACCTCAAAACGGACCGGATTTGACACCGCGAGCCGTCCCGGCCAACCCGATGCTGCGAACAAGTTGCGTGACAGGGCACCTGACGCGTCGCCGCCTTCCTCCCGAAGACTGCGCGATACTCGCACGGCGTTGGATTGGCCGAGGCAGTTCGTTGCGCTTTCTGCGGTTCATCGTAAGGTGGGACGGAGCGTGTTTTGATGTTAAAGTGTCTTGGGCTTCGACAGGGGGGTAAATTCGCGAAACTGACGCAACCAAAAGTGGGGCAAAACTGTGAACGGATGTACTTTTGGGCTGCCTGCAAGCGGGGGTAGCGGTGCACTTGCAGTTAGGCGTTTGCCCACCTGTCCCTGGTGGAGCAAGTCTGTGCGTTTCGCATTTTTGTTGCGAGCCCGTCACTTCCCTGTCCGTGGACCGATTAGAAAATTCGAGCACCAGTTGGGCCGACCTGGTGGCAGTCCCGAAGCAAAGCACATGCCTATGGATTCCCAAATGGTGGGTTCGAATCCCGACCAAGGTGCCAACGGAGATTTCTGCGGGGGAGGCACCATTGTAACTGAGCTTTCGGTTGCACGTCAAAAAATCTCGAGGTGAACAGAATGAATTCTCAGTTCTCCGCTGGGGCGTGCCAGCTAAATGCCCTTCATAAAGCTTTTTTTTTTTTGAACAAAAGTTTTTGCACCAATGAGACATGTCAAGGACTACTCAGGAGGTGTGGCTGTGTTTAGAAGGCGTAAGGCAGCATTGTGACCTGTGCGTCTGAAATGGAAAACCTTTCATTGCAAAGTGTGATGGACCAAATGGCCAAGATGTTTTCACACAACTTCTGTCGAGACTACCACATCGTCCAGTGTGCGAGTCCGAAATTTTCATACATTTCTATCGGTGCATCTTATACAATGGGGCAACTTTATGCATTCTTTTAGAAGTATGGACCTTAACTGTGCAAGTTGCAGGTTGCATTGATATTTATTACAAAGGAGGAATGGCAGAGCGCCTGCTGACGGCATGCTCTTCTAGCGGTTGGGGACTGTTGAAGGCACGGCAGTATAGGCCTTTGGTTTGCGGCTGCAACTTTTTCACGAAAAAGGCAATTTATATGGTGGCACAACTTACACAGCGGTTTAGCTGATAGACCAGAAAATATGGTGCTCCATTCAGTCTTGAAGCATGTGGCATCGTTCTGTTCATTTCTGCAGGGCACCTCACCCCAGGCACAGTCTCTGGCTCGTGGGGTGGGGCTGAGGCTGCGCGAGCTGAACCAGTTGCTGAGTCAGGCCATCACCAACGTGGAGCGCAGTGGCATTCAGCAGCTCGCCCACACGGTCGGCGGGCGCGTGGAGCAGGCGCTCAAGTGGCTTGTCAACCCCGGACTGTCCGACCGCGGACTCGGTGGGTGCAGCTCTTGCAACTTGCCTCTGCTCGTGTCCCACTCAGCAGGCTGCGCTTGCTGAGCAAAATATGCTTCTTGAATGGGATATGCTGGGGTATGCTTGCTGAGTGCGTGCAATGCATTTGCTGAATGGGATACACTTGCTGAATGGTACACAATTGCTGGACAGGATTTAGTTGCTGAATGATATCTGTACTTGCTGAATAGGATACATTTGATGAATGAGATACAATTGCTGAACAGGATGCAATCACTGAATTAGATGCGATTGCTGAATGGGATACAATCACCGAATAATCACTGAATGGGATGCCCTTCCTAAACGAGGTGATTTTGCTGAACTGGACAAAATATCTGCATAGGATACTTTTGCTGAATGAAATATGTTGTAACATAATACAATAACCAAATGAGATGCACTTGCTAAATGGTATACAATTGCTGCCTAGGATACAAGTGTTGAATGGGACACACTTCCTAAACGGGATACAATCGCTCAGCAATATCCAATTACTGAATAGGGTACAGTCGCTGAATGGGATGCAGTTGCTAAGTGGGATGCAGTTTCTGTTTGGGGATGCATGAATGAGGTGTCCTTAATGAGTCGCTGCCTTTCTTTCACTGCTGCATTGCCAGGGGAGCACGCCATTCAGCTAACTGTGGAGGAAGGCAGGCGCACCGCCGAGAGCTGCCCGATGCCGCAGCGAGCCGAGATCGTCCAGCTGTGCAACGAGATCGACTCGCTCACCAGGAAACTTAAGGACCTCTGCAGGCGTGGGCAGGTGAGGGAAATTGAACTTGCATGGTATGCTGATGCCGCTTGCCACTTTAGGTACCTAGTAGCATCTTTCTTGACCAAACGTATTCTGTAGTATTGTCTTTACAGTGGCTTTTAAGCTAGGATAAGTCTAAATTCACATGGTATAAATTTTGTAACCTGTGTATCGGTTCTCGTATGATGCAAGTTTGTATTGTGTGCCCGCTTGTTTATTGTTCATCTTTATATCAAATGTTGTCGTCTCGTCTCAAAGATGGCCCATCACACATTTTTCCCCACTTACTCTGTCACTGTGAGTGGGTGTTAGTTTCAAATTTTGCGCAATTCCATTCTTGGTTTCAAAATCGGCGGGATTTCTTTTGGTGTCCAGGGAAATTCGCCCGAGGCTCAACAGACGGCGCGCCTCATCTCGTCCAAGCTGCTGGAACTGAAGAACAAAATTCAGAAGGCCCTCGTCAACAGAGTAAGCGCCTCTCTCATCTTCTTTCTTTCTTTGTTTTTCTTTTGCCCGTCTGATAGATTAACGTTCGTTCCTCACTCGCAGATAAGCTAAAATGATCTCCACGAGCTGTCAAAAACGTGTCATTCGTACACCTCTGTTTTTGTGCAAACTTCAGTGTCGGCTAGAACGAACAAAGCATGCGTCCTTACACAAACAAAGCATGCGTGTAATTAAATTACGGAAAGAAGTTGGGTCGAGTTGTTGTTCCACTGGAATCTGTGGGCCGCATAGTAGTGATGGGCGCTCGTCATTTCTTCCTCTCCGCTTGCTTCCTGTCCATCGTCTGCTCTGCTCAAGCGGAAAGAGTGGAGGGCTTTGTGGGAGGAACATGTACTGCCATTCTTAACCTTTAACAGACTAACATGAGATACCGACTTTCTTAGAGGCACAATGTGCTTTTGTGTCATATGTCATTTCTTATGCTCATCCATTCCTGCAGGTGGTGGAGGACTTCATCGACATCACCACTCCGCTGAAACTGTTCACCGAAGCCGTTCACGCTCCAGAAGGTGTGTTTGGCCGTCTTAGATCTAGCCGCTTGTCTGGGCTCGAAAGATAAGCTGCTGTAACTCGGTGAGGAACGGGAGGGGTGAGCAATAGGGAGATGGCAAATTATAAATAAAATTAAAATCAATTTATGCTAATTAGAAAAAAAAAAGGTTTTGGAACATTAAAAGTTAGCTTCCAAATGAACTGGGGTAGAGCAAACTGAGCAAACTTTGATGGGAGTTCTCTGGAGCCTCTCTGTGCCGTTTATAGACGTCGGATGCTTTGAAAAACGATGTCCGGTCTTTAGAATTGCATCTCCACTTCGCTCTCGTCAAGTTGCTGTGTTTGTGGCAGGGACGCCCAACAGGGAAGCCAACTTCCAAGACAAGGCCCGCAACCTGACAGAGTTCTCGCAGAAGGCGGCGCGCACGGCACGCAACGTCGCGCTCGGCGGTGCTTCCAACAAGAAGCTCGCCGAGGCACTCCTTTCGTCGGCAGCCCAGGTCTGGCAACCTTCCACCTCTTCTCTTTGACGTTACCGTAGGGATGTCGGCGACCTTTGTCTGCTTTGTCCCATGTCCACCATGTCTTTCGATGTGGAGGAACGGCGTTTCCCACTTTGCTCGAGTTCTTTTGTGTTGCAATTGACCGTATTGGCTAGAGTACAGTATAGACCACTTACAACGTAACCGCTTATAGTGCAGGACTGGGTATAACGCGGCTTTTTTAAACCACCAGTTCGCCTCCCATAGAACTTTATGTATTTACATACCGCTTAAAATGCAGGCACGCGAAGGGAAATACCGGTTATAGTGCGGTTTCTGGAACAGCCCGGCGGCCGTGCCGACTGACCGGCACAGCGAGCACGCTTCCCTGTGCGGCGCTAAATAACGGCGCGAGCCGCAAGCGGCACTCGCGGGGCAAGGAGGTTGTTCGAAGCAGAGGGGAGAAGCGGAGAGAGAGGCTTTAGTTGCCATAGCGACGAAGGGACGCATGCACGTGTCGTTCACATGCGTGCGTCCCTCCGCTGCGGCGGTTGGAAACAACCGCGACAACAAACCAATCGCAGGTCGAGGAGAAGTGTTCGCGCGCGTTGCATGCCGGTCACGGGCTGGCTGCTTCTATCCGCAAACATGGCGTCGGTTGTGAACGTCGACTTAGACGGAAGCTTATCGTTCCGCGTAAAAGCGCTATCCTCGACTGTGAATTTTCGTTGTGTGTCACTATGATAACCCAGCACGTACTAGAATGGAAGATCCACCTACTCATGCGGCAATGTTGTGGCGGCACTCTCAAGACGGCAGAAACGCCAGTGTCGTCGTGTTTGTTTACTTCGACTAAAGTGGTGCTTTCTAAGCATTTCTGTTTTCGAACATTGCCCGGATTTCTTATTTGGAGCATTTCATGCCTGTGCTCAAGTTGAAGGTATTATTGGCGCGTACCGTATAAAGGATGCGAATTTTCGCGCGTTTTCGTCGCCGGAGAAGAGTGATTAGGGTTAGCAATCCTGAACGCTCGCAACGTCCGTCCGCAACCCGCGACGCCGTTAAAAGGCTGTGCCAGGCAAAAGTCGCTCATTTCTTTCAAAATGTGTGACACACTTGAGAGAGAAGTGTACTGGTCTGGTGAAATAAAGACATTCCTCAAACTAAGCTTTATTTTTCATCTAACATAAAATAAATTCTTTTACAAAGGTAAGTTGTCTCATGGCATGTATTTTGGCCTGATAAATTGATGTTTTGGTTATAGCGCGGTACCGCTTATAGTGCGGATTTTCGCGACTCCCGAGACATACATTATATGCGGTCTACACTGTAGTTGGGAATGTGACTGAGCATCGGCCAGGAAAAAATTTTTATTATTCATGGAGATATTTGTTTGGACTCTGGAAGAGCCGGCACTCGAGAGGTCGGCTCGTTGGCAGAAAAAACGGCCTCAGCAGACGCCACCGGGTGGCTCCGGAGAGGAAGGAAACGAAGTAAAGCATGGGCTTAAGAGTCAGATACATCCCCGCCTGTACTTTTCGAGTTCCGTCGTCAACCGAGCCATCGGCTTACTTCTGCGTTTTACTGACCTTAAAGACAATGCCAACGAATATAAATAATAATTGGGGTTGTGTGGATATTTAGACAACGTGTAGTTGGTCAGCCATTTCAAAGTTGCGACGAGTCACTTGCTGTAGATGAGGAATTTAGCCTGTGCAGTACAACCGCCAGCCTGGAGTCTTTAACGTGCATCATGCAGTAGGGATACGCGACCGCACGCCGGTACGATGCTCATCCTGATCGAAACGGGCAGGGGTGGGGATTGAACCCAGCTGAATGCCAACGAAAAATCGCTTATGCACGTGCGAAATGAGTACCCTACAAGTCTGCATTTGGCAGACCTCTGCTAGCCATAAGTTTCGGACAAAAATACCATATCGCCAGCTTTGTGCTTAAAAATATACAGTAAAACGCGCAGAGATTTCTTAGTTGGCAACTCGGCGAATCGAGGCAAATCTACTTACTGTAAATGCATTGTGTGTGTGGGGACACTTCTTTTTTCTGTTTTAGCGGGCGAGGGTTTCAAACGCGTTTTGACACTTAGAGAAACAGGAGGAAGCAGGTTATTAAGAAAATCTAGCAATTGTTTAAGCATTATAGAGCAAATAATGGCCTCATGCATTTTGAAAACACCTGGTTTGTCATCCGAAAGCACGAAGAAAAGTAGCTAATAATTATAATAATATCGGCAGTTCGACAAAAACGTGCAGCATGACGGAGTGTCCTTTGAATGGGTTGCACTTTTCTTTATTTTTTCCAGGTGGAGAGCCTTACACCACAGCTGGTGAATGCAGGTCGCATCCGAATGACCTACCCCGACAACAAGGTCAGTGCTCGTGCTGTAGCGACATTGGTTCTCATAGCCTAACCACCACATTTGAGATTATGTGCGACTGTTGGAGGCCGTGTGCAGTGGGCCTTTCCAGGCTTCAGCGCATGTTTACTCCTGTTGTTACGATTCGAATGTGCCATGGATAAGGTTTGCACTGCGATGGCGGCCTTTAAAAGAAAACCCCAAATGGATGTATGGTTTTTGCGAGGTCACTTCAGGTCTGGTATTTTTTTCTCAGCCTAGTACAACTACTGCATAGTATAGTACCATTTGCCGCCATTAAACTGCACTACAGTAAATTTATACTATTAAAAGTGGTGCCAGAAAAGTCTTCGTACTTTCGTTGCAATGGTTTGCTGCCTTCTGCTCCGAAGTGTAGCAAATGGCACTAACAAGGATAGGTTGCACGACATGTTACTTGCAGTTGATTGGTTGCAGAGTTGATCGGCCTTTTGTCGTAAGGGACGCCAAAAGCTCTCGGCTTTTGTCGTATTTTTATGTTAAAATGTAACGTTTGGTGGAACCTGAGAATAGCTCGTTCTGTGGAGTTTACTTTAGTAACACTGCTTCATTGCGCAGGCCGCGGATGAACATTTCGAGAATCTGCACAAGCAGTACTCGGAGAGCATGATGCACATGCGAAACCTGGCCGACGAAGCCACCGACACGGCAAGCTTCGTCAAGGTTACCGGTAAGATGACCTCGGTTTTTCACTTTTTGTTTCTTGCCTTTAGTCGACTGGAGTGGGGAAAGAAATTTCAGTAGTTAACGGAGACTCGTTAGACACATATTTTTGAAAGGGGCTTCCAACGAAAAATATTTCTCTGGAGCGAGCGAATTTTGAAACATTTTTTCAAGTTCATCTAGGAACGTCATAAAGTCGCGAAGAGGCACGGGTTACATTGGACTAGATAAAGTTGTCACCGAGAAGGTATACAACAATAACTCTCCGATTGTTCGTTCCTCCAGCCAATTTTATGTGCCTTTTTGTAAGTTCCAGTTGTGTTTGCTAGTTGTACGTTACAAGAAACCTCAGTTTATCGTGACAAGAACAAGACAAGCGCGTGAATAGATTGGACTAGTTAGTAGTGGGGCACATGACGGTTTTTCCTGGCATCATGTCACGCCTTCCTTGGGGATATTCTAAACCTTAAAAAAACACTGAAAAGGGGAAAAAGAAATTGTTTTAAACAATTTGGACAAGTTCCAAATATTAATAAATAAATTTTCCGCAAAAAAATATTTTTTGTAAAATTATTTGCAATGCTAACTTGTTTTAGTTTACAGCTTTCGAATGAGCGCGTGCCAAAAATGGGTACATAACGTCACCAGATGTTTACGCCAAGCACTGCGTTCTCATTGGCTACCTCTCCTCTCCTTACCTCTCTTCAGCGCGCCTCAATGCTCCACCTTTCCACTTCTCTCTTGCACGTGATTTTGCAACGCGGAGGTGAACGCTGCCCATGGCTTGCCTCGGCGTCTTTTGGTGCGCGCGTTTGGAAGCTGTGAACTAAAACGAGTCTAGCGCTCTAAGGAAAACGGCAAACAAAAGTTATGTCCAGACAAACTTTAAAATTGTCCCGCACTCTCCAGTGGGGTATTACATCACACGTATAACTTGCCAGTCGAGCAGGCAGTCTAAAATATACAGCATTTTACGCACTTTTTTTTCTTTTGCTGGTGCGAGCTTTTCCGGGATTTATTACACACCATAGAACTTCTTGTGACCCGTCAAGAGGAAGCTGTACTGCCCCCATATGATGACGGTTGATGTCATGCTTTCAGTGTTACCGGTAGAGCCTCTGGGACGAAATATAAAACTTCAATATAACTTTCTTAAAGAAGCTTATTGTGACTTGTAATCTTGGTTGCTAGCTCAGATGTGTCAATTAAATGTGTTGAACCAATTTTGAGGGAGATCAGCGACTCGAAATTTAGCACTCCCATGCAGGTTTCAGTTTCGATTTTCTCTCCCAAAAGGGGCTGTTGACTTTATTTTTACATGTTGGGCAATGTTTGTCTCGTGGTAACACCTGTCGACGGCATGTGGAAAGTTATGTTTGGGGACCTTTGTCTCGGCTTGTTCCCTCGTTGTTCCAGAAGGGCGAATTCTATGTCGCTCAACCTCGCATTTTACGGCGAACACCGAGATCTAGAAACTAGTAGTAATAAACTAATTTATTAATAAACTAAATAACGAAGTCCCAGTTCCAAATAAAAAATAAGTGATTTGAGGCCTTTCAGAAAGAGTGACCCCAGGTTGCAAGGCCGGGGCGCCTCTTTGCATAGTACCCGCGTCGAAAAGATTAGAGGAAAATATCCTAGGTCGCAGGCGTGCAGACGTTAGTTAACCTCGAGCCCATAGATCAGTGTCTTTCCAATAAATATACTTCGTAAAGCACGCAACAGCTTTTCTGCATGGGACTGTTCGACACGCGGGAAGAAAACCCGGCAATCGAAGAATGAAGCATATGCTATGTCACAAAAACTAAGTTGTTTTGCCTATTCGTGGGATGCGCGGCGTTCCAGAGGACACGATCCTGCGGCACACGGAGATGTGCGAGGACGCCATGGCGCGCCAGCTGCCCCAACAGATGGTGGACAACACGTCGAGCATTGCCCGCCTCTCCAACCGGGTGCTCATGGTGGCCAAGCAGGAGTCGGACAACTCCGAGGACCCCATCTTCATCGGGCGAGTCAACCAGGCCGCCGACACCCTCCAGGGAAGTGAGTAGTGCTCCCTGGAGTCGCCAGACGAGCTACGTTCATCGGCGCTCCATTCCTCGATCATCTCGTGGGTGCCACCGTTTTGGTGCTCGGTGCAGGGCAGGTGCATTTGGCGATAGCCGTTATTTGAAAACGTAACTTCCCAAGTTTTGGATGCGGTGTCGGGAAGCTCGTCTCGGACCGTTTCGACATTTCCGGAGGACGGACAATGTTTCCTGCAATTTTGAGTATATCTGGAATGTTTGTTACTTCGAAGTATGTTCGGTTGATCTGGTACTTCGGACAAATGGACCAAGCTCAGTTTTCTGGCTGTTCACAATGCGAGAAGACTGGGCCGCAAGAAAAGCTCGCTAGAGAATTTCAGGGGTGGAACGGCTGCGCCATTTGCGCCATTTTGCGCCAGACGCATTTGTCTGCGCCATGCTGCGCCATTTTGCGGAAACTGCGCCACAGCCAATACCTTGCGCCATTATGCATCAAATCGCACAACGTGCGCCAAACAAATTGTATTTTGTCTTGGTTTCGGTTTCTATGGACTCGATTGGTAACAATGAGCGCGTTTAGCTTGGTCGGCCTGGCAATCCTTTGTTCTGCTTATTCTCCGTGTGTATTCCGAGTCGGAAGCGCGCGGAAAAACTCGGGGTTCGGATTCCAAGCGCTACACCACCTGCGATTGGATTGCTATTCTTCAACCATCAGCGGTTAAGCAAGTAGGCCAAGGTGAGGTCGAGTCGTTAAGCGGCAGATTGCCTGAGGCTCTGCGGCCCAGGATCCGTACGTGAGCGCAGTTGAAAACAAATGAGCAAAAGATTCCTTTTAGTACTTCATCGTTGGAAGTTGGAACCGCATTCCGGCAAGATAAATTGTGATTTGATATAACTGAAACGCGGTCCGATCCGAAACCTTGCCCGCCAGCAGCTCTCAGGCGAGGGGTAGATTAGCTCGGCGTCCTTTAACCTTGCTCCTTATAATCGCTTTGAATACGATGAGTCTGTTAATCGTAGTCTGCTGCTCCCATATTGAGTTGCACAATAGGATAAACTTGAAATTTGTGTCCCTGTTCCTTCACGCAACAGCACGTCCATTGCTTGCGCACGTCACGTGGTTCGCACATATAATTACTATGTCGAGCACGTGAGTTGTGCGATAAGCAGTATTGGTTTGCATTTTGAGCAGCTGAAAGCCACCCAGAAAATATCAAGGATACCATCTTCAGAAATATATGGTACTTGCTTTTTGGTTCTCATTAAGGCTCACGAAGTTTCAAGTTTTCGCATCTGCTACACTGTTATCCCATCTACCTAGGTTCCTAACCACTCATGTTCATCTGTGCTGCTAAGCACTATTGAAATTGCTCCCGTGCTCGTCTAAGAGACAAGCAGAAGTGCAATGAAAACTGATCTGAGCTGCTCCTAGCCTGCTCCAGAATGTAGTTTTAGCTGCTCCCAACCTGCTCCAAAACAGCGGTTAGAACTGCTCCCGTGGCTGCTCCCAAATACATTTCATGAGTTCCACCCCTGGAATTTTATTGCTTCTCTGAAAAGTGTGTCTATGGAGCAGAATTGCTGTGGTAAGGGCCAATGTAGTAAAAATGTGAATTTAGCAGACCAAAGTCATGATGCTTTAAGGTATTAGCTTTTAAGGTTGTATAATATTAGTGTAGGCGTGGGCGAATAGAGGATTTTGGGTTCGAATTAATTCAAAGCGAATAGTGATTTTGGCCGAATAATTTCATATTGAATAGTTTGAATACTACAAGCAACAGATAGCACGAGATATGTTTAAACTATAGTTTTATATTTGCCCTTATTTGGTATTAAAAGTACTGTAATTTGTTAATTTCAAGTGTACTGAGTTCGGGAGCACGAAATGGTTGAAATGGTCGGAAGCTTGCGCCACCTGGCCGGAAATCCAAGCCAGAGTATTTGGAAAGGTCAAATCATTCGATATTGTCGAATAATTCAATATTGTCAAATACTTAAATTCAATTCGAAGCGAATACCAAATAGAACAGAATTAGATGGGGGCTATTCGTAATAACCGAATATTCGCCCATCCCTATATTAGTGAGATAATGATGAAGCAAGACTGTGTGAACAAGAGGCCTTTGCAATAGAGAGGTTCTAGCATAGCACAGCAGAAAGCATATGGTCACTGCTGCAGAGCTGTACAGTAAAGTCTATAAATATTTTTCGTAGGTGCTCCATGAACACACTGTACAGGCATACCTAGAATGCTGTTAACACCTTTCTTGACTAAAGCACTTTTGCAAGAACCACTTTGCCCTTGGGGAAAAAGACTGAACCCAACTTGTGCAAAATATTAAATCTGAGGCACGAGAAACATCCAAACCAGGCAGGCAGTCCTGCACCTCGAACATCCTCTGGGTTTGTTGGCAACGCTCCAACTTCTATGGTTCCATAATTCCAGCGGTCACTCCAATGATCCAGAACGCCAAGGCGGTGGCCACCAAGATCACGGATCCAGTGGCCCAGACCCGTTGGAGGGAATCCAACAAGGCGGTGAGTTTCGCCCTGCCGGATCTCGCGTTTCATTTCATTTCATTTATTGGTACCCTCAGGGCCCGAAGGCATTACAGAGGGGGTGGGATTATAACGTACAAGTTCATTGAACACTCGAATTACGAATCAGGTTCTAGTAGTATGAATACAGCATTTTTAAAATCAACAGGATTAATGATTGTGGCGATGGATGTAAAAAGGTGATTCTAGTCAGCAGACGTACGGAGGTATGAATGATCTGTAGTAGGTATTAGTGTGGCACTGTGGAATTTCGACTTTATGTATGTGATCATTGCGTGATGATATGTAGGATGGCTCCAGTAAGAGTTCAGTCTTAAAGGGGCACTGACGCCCCAGAGGTCGTACTCTTTTTTATTGTCTAAAACAATGCAAGTTGTAGTCATAGACATGCAAAAAAAACCGCATCGCGAAAAAAAATTTCTTCGCGCAAGCGCGCGCCTTTTTATTTTTGGCGTTTATATTTCCTGCGCTTACCTCCTTGCTTCTTTTGATCGGCGACGTCAAAAATCAGGAAATTTAGAAGCTTTGTAGGCGACATTTCTATAACATTTAATAACGGCAATCGTAAAACATGTTTTTTAACGTAATGACGAACGCACTACGGCCTTTCTTTTTGAAATACCAAAAATCAGATTTCGGTGTGATGTCGCTTCCTGGATTTGTGTTCTCCCTCGGAAAACTTGGCGGCGCTCGAGCAGAGGCTTATCGCCGAGTCGGGGAAGAAACCGGTTTTTCCCCGCGCCGGCTCCTTTCTATCCCGCCTGCTCACCTCCTCCTCTCTTCGGGTCGCGGTAGCAACGGCGCTTTGCTTCACAGCGTGGTGCGGAGGTCCGAAAGAAAGTCGAGTCGCAGGAGACCGCAAAATTTGACTCACTGCACTGGCGCGGATCGCGCGGGAACTTCAAATTCGGCATTTGGAAATTGTTTTTTTAATTCACGAATACTGAATTCCCAAGTTTCGAATTTTGAGGGTAATGTCCCGGCATCATTTTCAATTGTTTCGGATAATAAAATAAATTACGATTTTGATGTGTCAGTGCCCCTTTAAGGATTGGGTTGTGAAAAATTATTTTCTGAAATAAACTCAATCGATAAAACTTTCGGCGAAAAGAAAGTTGTTTAGCAGTTCAGTATCCCGTTCGTATAACCCATATATTTATCGAAGCTTACTTAAAGAGGAAGACTGGAGCGCCTGACGAGCCTCTCGGAAGTGTCTGTTGTTATAAATGAGCGTCTTTTATAATTTGGATAGCTACGATAAGTTAAAATCGATTGCTGGGCTAGTTGGTTAAACATCCTATATACAGTAGCCCAGTAGCGCAAGAGAATAAGAACAGAAAAGGAAACTTTGGAAGGGTGAAGTTCGCTCGTCTTAAAGGGTAACTGTAAAGAAAAAAAAAAGTGTATTTTTAAACAGCCTAATTGGGACAAGCATGTCACGAAATAATTTTTGCGCCAAAATTTTTTACAGCAATATTTATTGTGCGAGACTCATTTCAGTTTGCGGCTATTTCGTCCATTTTAAATTGCGCGCCACAAAGTAGGTATTATACGTCACGGAGTGGCTGCTATACGTCACGGAGTGACGTATAACAGCCACTCTGCGCGCGTCGAAAGAGCGGGAGTTTCGAATGTGGAGACGACGTGACCCCGACTAAATTACGTCCTGTGGCGTAAATATTGCTAGAAAAGGTTTGTTTTTTCGCAGATTATTTGTTTTGTGACATGCTTGTCCCAATTAGGCTGTTTAAAAAACACTTTCTTTTCTTTGCAGTTACCCTTTAAGTAGTTACAAGCCGTCGTAAGGCAGTCTGTCGCATTCGAACGCAGATGTGTGAACAATCCTCGAGCCTCCCATCAATTAATCAGTCAATCAATCGAACTAATGGTTGACCGTTTGTCCGCACATCAGCTCATCAATGCGGTGGGCCAGGTGCGTCAGGCCGTCACGGTTACCCCCGAGGAAGAGCTCCTGCCTCACCTGATGGGACTCCAGGCCAACGGTAACAGTGTTTTGCCCCGTCCTTTTCGATTCACTACATTTCACGGGACCAGTGTTGCACCTTGCTTTCGAGAGTTCAGTGTGCAACTGTCTATGAACCCGAGTTAGTAGCAGTGATGATATCAGCAGTGTGGTTCACCGATGCGTCGTAATAGAGGCTTAGGCTTCGTTGCCGGCGTATTAAGCCAACTTGACCATTTTTTTGCGACTGCATAAGCGTATAAAGGCGAGCATAGAGAGTTTAGTCTCTTTACTAGTCGATCATCTGTAATTAATTGTTGTGTCGCTCAGCATCAACTTTCCCACACAACATTTGGAAAGGCCGCTGCAACCAGCATTGAAATAAAAAGCGTCGACAGATCTCGTAAATGGCCAGAACTGCACCGATGCTGCCGTAACGCGGAAGTCCATTTCTTTTTCTTTTTCTTGGAAGCTCCATAAAATGTTGACAGAATATTTTAGCTTTCAAAGGTCTGTTTTGTGTCATTGCTGTTAGTGGTTAGGAGATTGCTTAGCCAACAATTGAGCGTTAGCCAAGGAAATGGCATCGCGTCTTAGCGATATACGACACATTTTCGAGTGGCCGTTCTGTCGGGATTATTATACGAAACGCCTGAGAAAGCAAAATTCGGTCCGCATTGGACGATAGAAAACCGAGCGATTCCCATTGTTGTTGTTGTTCTGCTTTTGTTGTCTTCAATTTTCTCACTCTCTCCCCACGCCCTTTTCTTGCTCTGGCCGGCCACCTTGGGTCTTCCAGCAAAACCGAGGGCGCAGGAGATAAGGCTCCCCGACTTTAACGAGATGTTTAACGTGAAGATCGAGCCTCTCGCTCAGACCGAGAAACAGCAGCCACCCAAGCGAGGTAGCAAACATGTTGTCATGCCCATTCTTGTTGGTTTCCCGCCCCCTCTAACACTCGTCGTGTGCTTTGGAAACGGCAGTCCCACCGGCCGTCACCGTTGCAGAAGCACTACCAGCTGTGCATGGCGTGTTGCCCTCGCTGCGATGTCGTCTTCGTTGTCGTTGCCGTTGTTGCGTCTCGGCCCTGTCGGCATTGCCGTCGTTTCGAGCCGACGCATGTAGAAAGGTTCTCGCATCCTAGCTTTTTGGTGCAAATCTGTTCTGTGCTAGAATGTGAACCGAGGGGAAAGACCGTTTTTTGGACCGAATCGACGTAGTTGAGACAATGTGGTGCACAAGTTTGTCTGCTTGCTTCTTTTGCATGAATTGTGGTGACGTCAGAACACCGAGCTCCGATTGACTCTGACTGAAGGATAGTGGGTGGCTTGCTTTGAGGTCCACCCACTATCCTTCAATCAGAGCCAATCGGACCTCGGTGTTCTGACGTCACCGCAACCCCGTGCAAAAGAAGCAGACGAACTTGCACTCTGCATAGTGAGAGAACCTGGTTGTGGGCTCTGTCTTGCATGTCATCAGACGATAGCACCAGATGAACACGTATGAGAGCTCTCCCATCCGAGCTGGGGAATCCCATTTCTCGCTCAATTCTCCGACCGTGTTGGCAGGCAGGCGACATGTTTAAAACTATATATAAATGATCTGGTGGTAAACTTTGTCAACTGATCAGGTGGTACATTTGTGTCCTTTATGTCGACTTCTCGCGTTTTTTTGAGAATCACTGTAACACGTGTAACAACTTGTGGCACCATTTCGATTATTAAGTATGCGCCAGCGCTTGTAACATTCCAACCCTCGAGTGACAACAACGTGGTTGCAGCACGGCGACCTCTCGGCGTACAGTGACTGTGTGACCTAACACGACTGACTGACTCGGCGAGAGTTTGCAAGTTTGAAGCAGTGTCGAAGCTAAAAAGCTTGCGTCTGAGTCGAGCCAACTGAAGCTCTTGCCTGCCATTCTCATCATGTCGGTGTCTCTATGCGATTGTATACAGCAATGGTATCGGAAACCTTTTCCGCATCTATGCAGCATTGCATAGACAATATAGACATTCCTACGCCATGTTGGAGAGTAATATGAAATTACTATCAAACTCAATCTGTTGGTTCTACGATTGACACACGCTGTACGGTCACTGACGGGACGAGATCGGCTGGGCGTCTCTTTCCGACGCTTGGCCTCTAGCACGGGCTTGTTGCCCTTTTTCAAATCAAATCAGTTTGCTTGTTGTCACGCAGTAAAGGCACGTGACGATGGGGTTGGGGGACCAATAAAGAAAGCTGCTCGGTAGCAACTCGACAAAGGTTGCGGCCCACGTGCACGCATGTGGCCCACAAGATACCGAAGCATTGTCAAAGACCTCGCCCTGGAGGCGGGTTTCCCGAAAGACCTCACCGCCTTTCTCGTCCCGTTGGTGACCGTAAACAAAGACGGGCGCGAGGTGTCTGGTGTCCCTGACGGTGCGACGACGCCGTGCCCACCACAGAGCCAGTGGAGGCCCCGTTTCACAAGTCGTCCATGATTCGGGAATTGCAGGAGCAGGTCTATCCCGCAGGTGGGGAAGGGCTCTCCCTTTTGTGACTCGAGTGCTCTTCCTTCTTCCTTCCTCTTGCGGGGAAGAGGCACGGACGGGAGAATGCGAGAGTGTGTCGCGGCTGCACTTTTGAGGTCTGCATCTTGGAACGGGAGAGGTTTCTACCGCGGGGTCCCCTCGGACGACTCGTACGAAAGCGCGGTTTGGATGCATGCGCTCCGTGTTAAAGTGCATGGGCGACGCGGTGACTTCTGTTTTATCAGTGTTGCGGTTACGGTTGTGGACAAAGAGAACTGGAATGTTGTCGACGCATTTGCGTTGCTGCCGCCTGGCAACAAAACAAAGAACTTTTCTTTTCTTTTCTTTTTTTTTTTTTTTTCAGTCTGGGGAATTTTTTTGTGCATGTGCACATTTTAGGGACCACTGGCCATCGGCAATCGCAGGAGCAACAGACTATGCATGATCAAGTGTTGTAGTTCCCATCGCCACAGCTGTACAGTCGGCGGAAGAGTCTGAAACAGACTAACATCCTTCGTCCAGGTAGTTTGTTTCTGGCCATGGCAGGGATAGGCTGTCTGTATGTCAGGTTTTCGACGAGCTCAAAGCCTCTCTCTTTTTTACTGCCAATAAGTTGCAAAGTTGTGCAAGGTCTGTGTGCATTTTTGCATTCTATTCTGCTTTGTCCACAACCGTTATTTTTAGTGCCAACCGACCTCATTGGGTTTGTGCTACGAGCTTCTCATGCATGTTGTTGCTAAGCCTTGCAAGTCTGCAGTATTTTCTCAAGTTTTCGTGTACTGTGGCACAAAAAGTTGGTAGTTGCATGGTGACAGTATCGGAGATAGATCTTGCCTTTGCATGGTAGGGAGAGGTGTGCATTGGAGGAATGGTCAAATGTTGACAATCAGTGTGCTTTTCTAGTTTGCATGGCAGGTACACGTTTGTCACGTTTGAAGATCCGGGTTGTTTTGTGACCCGTCATGAACCCGTTGTCTTTGGGTTGGAAACGTCTGTGACTGCAGTGGGCATGCATTTCTGTGTGTGCATTTTTCTTGGCTCTTTTCTTTGTTGTTGTTCATGTTTGTTTATTGCATTTCAGTCCAGCTAGGAACCTATCAATTTTTGAGCCATAAATATTTTCCGCTATCGGTACCCCTTCCAAACTTCAGCTGCTGAATGATTCCTGACATCGGCCCACCCGAGTTCAGCATTATTTCTTCATTTCTCATACCTTCCCAGGTTTTACAACTTAAAAGCACTAAACAGACTTCGCATCAATAGCTGCGTCACCTTTGTAAGCCCAAAGTCGCTCCCAATTCCATTCGACAAACCTTTGAAGAACCTCCAGGCCTGTTTGCTTTACCGAGCGAAGGAGGTTAAGACTTCACATGTCATCCTTTTGAGCAATAACCCTGGCTATCTGAAGCAAGGTACCCCCTCATAGACTCACTACTAGTAACAAATGCACAAAAGAAAACTCTTCTATCGAAGTAATCACGATTTATGCTGCATGAGCTTACCCACAAAGAGGCTACTCTCCAGATTGCTTCGTATTATGCTTTCCATTTCTCTACTCTCAATGGCATTGTGTGTCCGAGGCATCTCTAGGGTCAGGGCTTCTGCAATGCAACACAAGTGGCATTTGGAGGGAAGCCTCTAGATGGGTGTACTCAATTCACCCCCAAGTTGGCAGTGCAGTGGAAGCTGTGTGCTTGTTGGACCCGTCGTACAGCTGTCTTTTGCCACACGATCACGCTTCTGTTCATACCCAAACCAGACTTGTACATAACACGTTTACGAGTATAATGCATTACTTGTACTTAGTTTTTTTTTGGTAAAGAAGGAACGACCTAGTTACTTTTTAAGAGCCACAGCGATTCCTAAATGAACAGTATAGCTACAATTATTTCCGAACGAGCGTGTTGAAAGGAAGGAATTATGAACGACAATAAATATTGGAAGTGGCTACAGCTTCATAAAAACTACACATTCGGAATGACGAGAAAATAATGCGTCGAATGCAAGCCGAAGTAACCCATTCCTTTTGAATAGCAGGAAAGAGTAACATGATTAGTAGTTACTTTTGGTGTGACTGATGAGCGACAGTATCGAGTTACTTTATTTCAGTAACGTGTATCGTATTTACTCGCAGAATGAACGCACTTTTTTTTCCGAAAAATCGATGCAAAGTTAGGGGGGGCGTTCATTAGGCGAAGTAAAATTTTTGGGTCCGTATTTACTCCCATAATGAACGGACCTTTTATCCTGGAAAATCGAAGTAACTTCTTATCTCTTTGCGCGCGGCGCCCGACCCCGTAACCAAACTAAGCTGTGCAAAAAAAAAAAAAAAAAAACTTTTAGTTTTTTTTTTTCTCTTAGTTCCTTGGTGTTTTTTTCTTTTTTTGCCGTTTGTTTTTCGCAAGCTGTTTTGTTTGCTTAGGCGTTGCTTAGACGAGGGCTCTCCGCTTATCTTTCTTATCTCCTTGCGCGCGGCGCTCGACCCTCTGTAACCAAACTGCGCTGAGCAAAAAAAAAAAAAAAAAAAAAAGCTTTTTTTTGTTTTGTTTCTCAGATCCGCGGTGTATTTTTTTTTTTTTTTTGCCGTTTTTCGCAAGCTATTTTGTTTGCTTAGAGGGCTTCTCCGCTCCTCTTTCTTACCCCTTTGCGCGCGGCGGGCGACCCCCGTAACCAAACTGCACTGTGCAAAAAAAAAAAAAAAAAGGGGGAAAGAAATAAAGCTCTTTTTTGTTTTCTCTTAATTCGGTGGACTTTTTTCCTCCATGTTTTTTTTTTTTTTCTTGCTTCCGTTGGATCTTTGCGAATTTTTTTTACGCCTTTTGCAAGGCGTTTTGTTCGCTCACACTGCCCATGCATTCGCGACCTCGCTGCACCAGGATAGAAAAATGAGTTCATTTCGCGCGCGTGGGGGGAGGGGGTCAAAATTTTGGGGGTGCGTTTATTACGCGAGTGAAAAAAAAAAGTCGAAATTTTGAGAGCCGACTTGGGGGGTGCGTTCATTACGCGAGTGCGTTCATTGTGCGAGTAAATACGGTACAGATGTTTGGCCCAAACGTAGAGAGCTGGTCGATTGGTCCACCGAGCGTGCAGCTCCCATTGCACTGTTGGCTTAGGGGAGAGAGCAGAACATAAAAACGGGGAAAAGGCTAACGCTGCTTTGCGCCGTGCGGACTGCGCTTGCGCCTCAGAAGATGCTCCGCCGAGGCCGCCCCTCCCCGGATCGGGCGACCGGGCTCCCCCACGCCCTCCCCCGCCCTGCGAGACGGACGACGAGTTCGAGGAACGATTCCCGCCGCCGCAGCCCAACCAACCCATTATGGTGAGTGGGAGGGTGTTGCAGCGAGTGAGCGAGGTTGATGTAGAGCATCACCAACGGGTCCATGGTTAGATTCCTGGTGGGGGCCGAGTAAACCATGTTGGTTCACTTCCGAGTAAATGCTTGTGTACATTGTTTTGCCGACGTTGCCGTGGTAACCGAATCGGTTGGGTTGATGTGCCCCATCATCTATGCGCCGTGGGAGGGAGATGGATAAACGGACGGATGGACGGACCAATTTCTGGCAGTAGACTGTTTCGTTAAAATGTGTTTCTTGCATTAAAGTGCTGCAGCGATCACTGGGCCAAAAACATTGTTTCAGTGTATCCGGCCATTGTTTAAACAGTGGCCACAGATGTGCGACCAGGGGGCAATGTTCGACGAATGTTTCTTTTCTCCTAAAAAGAAACGGAAGTGGCGATATCGCGTCTGATTGGTTAGAGGCTCAAATGACGAAAGTTCCTGCTTTCGTCATTTGAGCCACTAGCCAATCAGACGCGATATCGTCACTTCTGTTTCTATTTAGGAGAAACATTTGTCGAACATATCTCCCCAGCTGTTGCGTAAGTATTTTGCATTATTTAAGGCGTGCTTTGAATGTCAGCAGTCAGCTGTCAAAATGCTTTACTATAGCCAGTGCAGAAAAAAAAAAATCCTAGTAAAACTAACTTTTGCTTACTGTGCGATTGAACAGCAATGAATTTCTGTCGCTTTTCCGACCATCCACCTTTCCCCCAAGCTCTCTCCCTAATCACAGCACATCAGTCACTTGTGGCATGACCTGAACAAAGCACAAATTCCTAAATTGTCATAGTTTCTGGCTCCAAAACAGCACTCGGACACAGTACCGAATGCAACATTATACGGGGACATAGCATGAATATGTCAACACTATGCTTGCAGGCACAGCACCAAGTATGACATTGGCGAGTTTTAGAATGCACCCAATTTTACCTCACGTTAGTGCTAAATTTAGCGCTAATGTCGGCAAACAATATGCGAGAGCTTTAAAATGGCGTTTCTCGGATGCAACCTAAAACCCAAGCACCTCACACTTGCTGCACTGCCAAGATACAGTAACAACTTTTATTTCATGCACAAAATGCTGTAATCTGGAAAAAAAGAAAAGCTTTTGGTCCTGAATAACATTTTAGCTTTGTTTCCATGTCGGAATATGACAAGAGTAGTTGACCGGTTGTGTCCGCTCGTGTTGCTTCGCCAAAAGGTATGCTAAGCTTTTGGGTGCGCCATTCTAAAACCCACTTTCATGTGGCTTGCAGATAGCGGCTCACGGCCTGCACCAGGAGGTTCGGCAGTGGTCCAGCAAGGACAACGAGATCATTGCGGCTGCCAAGAGAATGGCCATCCTGATGGCTCGCCTCAGCCAGCTTGTCCGGTAACCGGTTCACTCTCGCTTATCCCATTGCTCGGGCATTTTCCAACTTTTTGGATAAAGTCCATGCTCTGGATATCTTCATTTTGCGGCATGTCGCGGCTTGCAAGAATTGTTTTGTTGGACGTTTGCTTTTTCTTTGAGGTCGAGGGAGTCTGCAGTTCTCTTTCTCAGCGACAAACTACCCTTCTGAAACCTTAGAAAACGTTGGCAGTGCAATGATTGAATAAGTTTTAAGAGTAGTAGATTAAAAGATTCTGCCCAGTGCTGAAGTTCGAACTTTGAAACTCCTTTGCAGGGGCGAGGGTGGCACCAAGAAGGACCTGATTGCCTGCGCCAAGCAGATTGCCGAGGCATCGGAAGAAGTGACCCGTCTCGCAAAGGAGCTGGCACGCATGTGCACCGACAAGCGCATGAGGACTGTGAGTTGGAGTGCATTCTACATTAGTGCTGCATCACCGTCATTCTATACTGTGTTTCCAGTGCTGGGGATCGCTCTCGGCCGTAAAAGTCGCTGCCTCCACTGAGCGATCTCAAATTTTTGAGCCCTCGTTGTGGTCAACAATGGACAACGACGGCAGAGTGAACCGTGGGTTGTGCTCGTGGCGCCATCTCCTGATTGGTGCGGCAAGCAACGACACGCTGTCGAAAGAGGACGACACGGTTGTCTGCTCGCTGCACCTTACAGGCGCTCTACCCTTACGCTTACTTGTCGTTCAGCAGTCCCGTGCAGCCCGTGGACAGAGTGTACCGTGGACCAGTTGGGAAGAAAGCACTATTAGTAGTAGTACTGGTGCTCTTTTTATCTGCTCCCAGTCATTTTGTTCGTTCACGTTCTGTTCCAGAACATCCTGCAAGTCTGCGAGCGCATCCCCACCATCGGGACCCAGCTGAGAATTCTGTCCACCGTGAAAGCGACCATGCTCGGTGCTCAGGGTGAGTCCGGTGTACACTATTTCGTTGTTAGACCGACACCTTTCTTGCGCTGTGCAGGGCACAAGTTCGTCCGCTTCTTGCACGGGGGTTGCAGCGATGTCGGAACGCCGAGCTCTTATTGGCCGATTGAAAAAATAGTGGGTAGACCTCAATGAGGTCTACCCACTATCGTTTAAACAAAGCCAATCGGAGCTCAACATCAGTCTGACGTTGCCACGACTCCTGCGCGAAAAGCAGACGACTCGCTCTCTGCAGAGTCCACACGTGACCCCCTTGCAATTCTGCTCCTGAAGCCCAATATTCCCGGTCTTCGTCCACTGGAAGCGTGCGACAAGAAAGGGGCGCCGCGGTTTGCTCGTTGTAGAAGCGTTTTACGTCGAACGCGGCCGACCTGGCATATACGTCCTGTGTGGTAGCCAACCTTAGTTTCTAATCAATGTAGGCCTACCCGAGCACAGCGCTAATATACAAAACGTTCAGGCCACACTCAGCACCAGCTTCTTTCATGCGAGACTCGGAAATCGAGAACCAAGATTTCGTCTGTGCGCCGGCGGAACCGGCCCCCATACTCTCGATCCTGGTGCGTCTGCTCGGCGTGCCGGTGAGCAATCTGATAATAAGAGGAGCAAAAAATACTCCTCCGGTAGATTTGATCAATTACTGGCACCGATGAATGCCGGATTGTCGCAGATGCAAACGCTTCGTGGAGCCACATTCGAGCGCAGAAAAAGGAAAAGCGTGGCGGCACATTGCTTTCGTTGCCACTCACAACTGCAGGACGCACGATCGAGCCCGGGTGACGTGAAAACACGTCTAGATTAATGCCGGAACCAGGTAGGTTTTCGAATGTCAGGTTGTTAGGCCTTCTCTCTCGGAGCAAGGCAGAGAGACGCGGCCACATGAAGTCGTGGCCACAGGAAGTCGCGGCAGAGACGCTGCGGACACACTAGAGGAGGTCCGGGTGGGTGGCGCTTTGACGTACGATGCAACACGGACGCCATCGTCGGTGGCACTGCCAACCAGCTCCCCAGACAGGGCGGCGAGACCCCTTAAGGTGCCGCACGCTTCCAATATAGCTATTGCAAAGCGAGTTTTGAAATGTTTCTGCATAAGCTTTTTTACGGTTCAATTAAGAAAAACACTGAGCCTAGGATTTTTTTTTTCTACCTGGTTAGACGAACAAATTTATAAATAAATGCTTGTCGAAAACTGTACTCCTGTGGCATGATGATAATGGCGTCTCTACCGAACTTGTGTGCGCTCAGAGTGCGCACGCTAGTTGGCTAGAAACGCTATCATCATCCCACAGGGGTATAGTTTCAGTTTCCCCCACAAATCGAAAAATTTGTATTGTAACATAAATATATGGCAAAAAATGTTCTTTGTAGCATGGCCCTCATAATGAGCCGTGCTTATTATGCGGAGCACGCAACTGCGGCGGCGGAGCCCTGCATAATGAGCACGGCTCGCATAATGAGCACTGCTCATTATGAGAGCCACGCGAAGCTGCCGCCACACGCCCCGCCGCCGCGCCCGCCTCGCCAGTCTGCGCATTCCAGAGGAGTGACGTCATAGCCGCGGCAGACACACTGGCGCCGCCGCGTGCCCAGCTGTGCGCCTCCGTTGCGCAGTAACCAAGTCTGATGCTCCACCGGAGCTGCTTGATAGCGCCTCTCATTTTGTGCACATAAGCTCACACTACGTATATCCTGGCATAGCCAAGCTAAGCCACCACAAGTTGTTTTTTTTTTTTTTTTTTTTGACAAGCATTTTATTTTGAGGTTTGCCAATTCTAACCAGGTAGAAAAAAAGAAAACAATTTTTTTTCCTGGGTTCAGTTTTTTTTTAAGGCTGGTTCACAAATTTACATTTAACCGCGATTGACTGCACTGCGACTGCGATCGACGGCATTCGTCTCCCGGGTGGCCCTGGAACGCATCTGTGCATAACTAGACCGAAGGGTTTCCCATTATTTACGAGATCAAATCTATGCGCTGTGCACAAGAAATGGTCACTTTTAACATTATCAGAATTATGTCAAGCACACGGTGAACATAAAATATATGCAGATCAGAAACGTTCCACGGCACCCAAGGGATAATGACAGCGTATTCTCTCGTAAGCGGTCACACCGACCCCCATGATAATAGCCCCGTGTAGCAGTCTGGCAGGTCGGTTGCCACGGGCTGGAACCTGGACTCAAGAACGTATATAATGTAATGTGTTTTACTTTTGGTATTTGCAAGATGCGAGACATTGTAACTTTGTCTCTGCAACGGTGTAAAACATTCAAAGTGCAATCGAAACATTGATAGGGGACGGTGGTCGACACTGATGTCGGGAGTGGTGTTAAGTTGATTCGAGGAGCGGTTAAAGTTAATTGCCATTTTTCGGCTTGGGCACCGATCTGGGGCACGCGGAAAAAGGCCGCTAACTAACCGGGGGTTTGCGGAAATACATTTTCAGAGCCTATTCCGACGCCCGATGGAAGCGAGATCATTTGCGGTAAATTGGGCACGCCATCGTTTTTATGTTTGCGCTTGTCCGAATGTGGCCGACGCCGTCGTCGTGTGTGCTGTCGTTTAGCATGGCTGTGCTTCGTTTCCTGATTCGCTGCAAGAACTTCGTTCGGCATGTCTGAAATTGCAGCCCGTTGTCGGAAAAAACAGTTCTAAAGTGCGTCTGAAAAAAAGTTGGAGCATTTTTTTTTCAACGCAAAAATATACTAGTATACTAGGCGTCGCAGAACGCTCAATCTACATCCAAATGTAGCGATAGCAGTCCAGACAAGGTGTCAAAGTTTGTGATTACAGTTGTCTGATTAGACTAGTGATCTTTGAAAATTTTCAGTGTGGAAGTGGTGGCCTATGGAGCCCACTAATACTATCGAAAATGGGTCCCATTTTATCATTGAATATTTTCAAAAATGGCTTATAACTTTTGAACAACATAACGGCAAGCTCTGAAACTTTGGCACCCGAGACGGATCGCTAGCGCTATATTTGAGCGGAAACTGAGCGTGCATCGACTCAGTTTATTTTTACGGTGAAAAAAACCCATTTTTTGCTTAGGGACACCCTGTAATATAGTTGCTTTGTATCGCCAAACTTGATTTGCTCTTGTCCCGACGTGCATGGATTTTTTTAAACTGAATCAGTCTTTCTTCATTCCCTTTCTTTTGACACAGTAAGAAAGTTCAGTAAGTAACTTTTTGCATTTTGTTTCTGGGCTCGGTATAGAGTGACCGAATGGCACGCATGATGGCTGTAGATGTCACTGCTTTTTGGGAGACTGGGGAGGTAGTAACGGAAAGTCACATTTTTGCTCTGCACATTTTGGTCTGCATGGTTGGCATGATCTTTAGTGGCTGTCACAGAAGTTGTGTGACTTTTTTGCTGCATTTTTTGGCGAATGACTTCTGTTCTTAATGCATGCAGTGTTGCCACTTAGCTTTTCTTTTCAGGCACCGCCACACATTTCTTTTTGCAGGCTATATTGTGTTGCCATCATGTTTACGTAGATCAATCTTTCGATACATCAATACCTTTGTGGGAATGCAGCACACAAACAACTTGCTGTATACTATCAGTCGACAAGCACCAAATACACTGCAATGATGGAATTATTGCATTCTTCCACACACACACTTCACGTTCTAGCAGACACTTGTTACAAGCGAGGGTTTCTAGTTTTTTTTATCTTTACCGGAAAGCACTGTCAAAGTTATGGGGAACTACATCATTTCACCAAATTGGTGCGAAAAACTGAGCACGAAGTTTAACTAACTTTGTGGCATCTCTTAGTTTTATTCCTGGTGCACTGCATTTAAGCAGTGCACGTTGACGTCGATGCTGGTCACGGCAAGGGTGCCTCTGTGTGCATGTGGTCAAATTAAGGAGCGCCCATTTCTCACATTCTACTACAGTGCTGCGCTTTTGACTGCCGTCACCACCTTTCTTTAGTCACACATTTTTTTCACGCACTCTATGTACTAACTTATATTTCTACTCCTTATAGTTTAAAAAAGAAATGCCAAAAGCCAGAAAGCTTATACGGGGAGCAAGTTTGTCTGCTGGTTGTGCAGAGGTTTAGCGACGTTACAGTGCCAAAGTTTGATTGGAGGATTGCCGCAAAAGCAGCTGCAGTGGGTAAACAAGTGCTGTCATCTTCTAGTCGTAGCAATGGCTGCCGTGCCCCTTCCACTATTGTTGAAAATCTAGCAGTTATTTACGCAAGAGAACTTGAACTTGGACAAATATGAGAGCAAATTCAAGGGTACACCGTTTTTGTTGACCAACAACTACCAGAGGTGCTACAATAAAAAATTAACTCGTGTCCAAAACATTGTTTACCCACAAAAAAGGAAAAAAAAAGAAATGCAGTCTGCTGGGCCGGAGCTCGGTTGCACTCACGATTAATCTCTCGTGCTTTCCTCGTCAATAGTGTGCAGAGACATGCATTTTTGTCCACTTGCTCACCGTATACACCTTTCCAGAGCATATCATTGGGCGAAAAATGCTGAGTCACTGGTCTGTGGATGCACGGGCTGCGCCCGGTGTTTTACGAAAGAAAGCTAGTGGACGTGCTGAGGACGCACCTCACAGCCCAGTAGACAAAGATGGCAGCTTGCAGAAGGAAATTACTGGAATGGTCTATAGCAGGAGTTCTTAAACTCTGATCTCGAGGAACATCCGTCCGCTTTGAACGACGGCCGAGGGGTCCTTCCTGGAGTTGGCAATGATGCAGTGAAGCAGCTCAGAAGTCTGCGAACCTTGTAAACAATACTGTGGATGCTAGGGAGTGCTTAGAATGTAGTCATGCATCAATGAATGGCTCAGATCTTCTTAAGAAAAAAAGTGCTTTAACTCCAAGAACACTTTACTTGGGGGCAGGGATAGTCGAGGAAATTTGGGAGCTGGGGGCTTACGAGGGTACTCTGGAAGACCCTTGAGTCCCTATACTCCATTTTACATTAAGTTCAACCGTTAGCTCCATCGGGCGACGGCTGCGGTTGAACTTTATGTGAGACGGAGTACAAGTCCCCCTGGTCGACGGTCACGAACAGCATAGACGCAACATATTGCGGTGCGGCCACCGCGCCAACGCAGGTACGGAAGAGGACCAGGAAGCGACGGACATGTTGGTCGGCAACGCCCAAAACCTGATGCAGTCGGTCAAGGAGACCGTCCGGGCCTGCGAGGCGGCGTCCATCAAGATCCGCACGGACTCCGGACTTCGCGTCCGCTGGATCCGCAAGCAGCCGTGGTACCAGTATTAGAGGCGACGGAACTTCGCCCTCCCCCCTCCCCCGGCCGACTCCATCCACCATGCGAATCGGACGACGCATTTAGGGGAACCTCGGAGACTCCCGTCCCCACGCGCGTGCTTTTACCCTGTCCGTCTTCCCTCCTCGCTATAGATGCAGTGTCCGGAGCGCGGCTCCGACAGGTGTGCTTGCCGTGTCCTCCAAAGTGGTCTCTCCGTTTCCGACCGACGTCTTAAAGCTGTCCCGCCGTTACTTGCTGCGACGGACGCAGCACACTTGTTCTGCGCGGGTCACTCTGCAGCTGGGCAGTCGACGAGAACCAAAGCAGACACGAGTTGGGACGCCGCGACGACGGCGGCCCTTGTGTACGCTTGACTTTTTTCTTTGCTGGCATTTCTGCGTTCAATCCGTCGGGGCTGCGACATTCGTGGCGTGCTGGCTCCTGCGACACAGTCTTGTAGCCACTTCAAGACCACTTTCGATATGTCAGAGGGATAGGACGTAAACACACCGGTCAAAGGAGTGTTCCGGGCACTGCGCTAGACACGAGAAACCACACTGCCTCGGGAGGAAGTTTAAAAACGAGAACTTAGAAAGATGCCTTATTTTAGCTTTTGTGTCTTATGGTGTGCCCCCGGTGCAATTATTTTTTAATCGGAGTCGCGACGATCACGGTTTTTCGTAGTTTACTTGTAACGGATTGTGGCACGTCTGCGAGCTGTGCAATTGATGTTTTGCTTTTTTCCACGATTTTTGGGAACAAAATCGTGCAGCAGACAACGATAAACATGCTTGTGTGTCCCATGAATCCATTAGTTTCTGGCAATTTGTTATTGGTTAGTTCAAAAAAAGAAGTCTGTGAAATGTGTTATCTACAGCGACCTTCAGTGAGGTCTTTTTTTCTTAGAAGTCCCAACAAGTTGTTGCTTTTACGTGAAAATCTACCTAATACAACAGGGTACCTTACACTTCGGAAGAAGATAATTCATACTAACCGAAGTGGGGAGGGAAGATTACGCTAAACTACCTACTGTTCTCCGTGCACATCACGAAAATCGAGTGCAGTTTTCGAAACGTGGCACCCACCCAAGTTTCAGCAGCCTTCTATTTTCTCGCAGCTTCGAGGCCACACATTCTTTAGATCTCATGCCGAGTACTATGTAGATTTAGGCCATTTTTATAGGCTGTGCACTTGCTGCGTCATGCAGTCCTCACCTCTAACCATTTCTCGAGAGTTTGTCGTTTGTGTAGGCTATCCTAGCATGGTCTCCCAAGCTTTTGTGCGACAACATCGCCGCTTCGTTTGTGGTGCATTTGGACACCACGTTTTATTATTTAATTGAAACGCCCAGTCGACGAGTTCTTTGTGGGGCTACTTCTGAAAACGGAGAAGTTTTGCGTGGTCCCTCTTTTAATTGACTGCTTGCTTTAATAGGAAGAGTAAATGCCAACACGCATTCACTCTGCTTTTAGCGATGTTTTACTGTGTTTTGAGATGCGGGGTGTTGATTTTCCTCTCACAAGACGGTTGTGCCATAAATTGAATGTATTGTGTCCGTTAACTGTTATCGACTCATTTTCAACGACAGATCTTAGACTAGTGGCCGGTGAATCGAAGAGACTTCGTCAACATGTGTCGTATACACAAGTTCAACGGAGCAGGGAGCGGTTCACGAATAATGAATGCATTTAATGGCAACGTAGAACTTTTTGTATGCGCCAAACGACACCTAGGCATTGAGGAGGGTTAGAGAGACTTTGCACTAAAATGTAGCAACATGTTTTGCTCTTTCAGAATATGCAAGAACTGCCAGTGCCTTGTTTTAGCCGTGCTTCTTTCGTTTGGCGTACTTTGGCAATTTTTTATCACGGGAAATCGCTGCGCTGCATCGTACCGTGTGCTTTTTACACGTCATTGCAATAACTGACTCTATTTACAACTTTGCGTAGTGCTAATAAAGTAATTACCACACTTACTTCGGTGTTTGTGGTATCTTGCATCTCGAGCGAAAGTGATGTAAAAAATCTAAAACACTGAAATGGCATTCGAAATGAGCCTGTGTCAAGACGAATTCACTGCAGCTCAAAGGTAGGAATGTCTTTACCTAGTTTTTACATGGTTACTGGTCTTTTCTGTTTTCTTTTTAGTTTAAGTAGGTGTTTTTGAAGGTTTTCTTTGAGATGTCTGAGAGTTTCGGGTGTAGGCCTCATTTCTAGTGAGTTGTCTTCCTTGGTTGGCTCATCGACATTATCGGCACCTGCAACAAAATTGCATTGATCAGACCCCCGGATTTACTATTACATTATCGCGTTTTCCTGATGCATGCAAATGCACCGGCAAAATGAATCTACCACTGATATTTCCTTCCTTATGTAGCCCTTTGCCAATGGGATGCAATGGTAATAGTACTGGTTCCTTCAAAGTGCTGTGTAGAAAGTCGTAAATCAGTGACATCTAACTGCATTGTAGCCCTCACAAGTGCATTTAGCATCTTCAAAGTGTGAAAATTTCTATGCCTTTCCCATTCCACCCTCCATCTCATCTCATCTCTCATCTCATCTCATCTCACCCCCTCCCCCCCCAAAAAAAAAGAAAGATAATTTTACAGGCAGGTGATTGGAATTCAGCTGTCTTAGAAGCACAGCATGCAGTGAAACCTTTCAAGCCTGACACATTTGTTACATGTATACTTTCAGAAGTTTTGACTTGCTCATCGAGAATCGATGTATTGGCACCCGCTACCAGGTGTTCGGAAGTAAAAAAATAACATGTTTTTCTTGTTGCAAAAACAAACTGAGCATCACCATACACTTAGCCTTTGTCCAAATGTAGCGCTAGTAGATGGGATCAGGTGTCAAAGTTTTAGAACTTACCATTATCCAAATCGAAATTTATAAGCGATTTTATCTAAATTTAGAGCGAGGGAATGGCGACCAATGCAGCCCACAAATACGTAACTGGCAAACGCTATAAGGAGCGCGTCCCATGTTTTCGCTAAAAATTTCAGAAAATTGTCGATAAATTTTTAAACGGATAAGGGCTAGTTCTGAAACTTCGGCATCTGGTCCAGACTGTTAGCTTGAGCGATCAGTCTCTGCCCAAGGTAGCCTTGGGCAGAAACAGACCATTAGGCAATGCATAGTTTACTTTTTGCCGTGACAAAAACGGTGTTCTCTTTTCTCCCAAACACCCGGCACATCCCATCGTGGTAGTCTCCAGAACTCGAACCTTCTCCAAATTCGTACACTACAAGTGCTAACCGTGGGTTCGAGTTCGGCAAGTTTCGTTGTGGTTGGTTGAAGGTGGAGGTACCACTCAACTTTAGAATGACAAAAGAAGCTGTGACCTGCTGCGTTCTTGTCGGGCGATGGACGAGGTCTTTTCTCGGCAGCCTCTCGTGTCCCTTGCAACCGTGAATAGGATCGGGACTTGCAAGGATTTCTGTCGCCTGGGCTCCCCATCCTCACGCTAGGAGCCCAGTCAGGACTGCTGTCATGAAACAAAGCAGGAGGCGAGCCTGCACAAAAAGAAAGGAGAATCGGTGTTGTCTATTTGTATACATTGCCCACAAAGAAATGTCAACAACCTAAGAGCAATAAAGCGTGCTTGACAGTAGAGTTAGTATTCATATTAAGTTATGCGTACTGCACCAAACACTAACACGTTTTCATATCGTGTTAAAGGGCATAAAACAAACAAAATTTTGTTTCCGAAGTTGGTGTTCAGGATGAATATTTCCAAACGTGCTACCAGTTTTACGACAGCCCTTCAGTTATGAGAGGAAAAGGCACCAATCTCACCAGCAAAGGTCGGATCAATTATATTTAGGTGTAAAATGGGCACGGATCTAGCAACAATGGAGCTTCGTGCAAAGAAAATCACTCTCGTATCAAATCTGCTGTGTCGCAAGTGTGGCACGCAGTAGGTTGTGGTGCACCTTTAGGTTATATACTACCCAAAACAGTAAATTTTTGAACCACTGGTCGGATTTAAATTATATTTACACTGCTTGTTTCTGTTGATGTTGAGAACATTTCTGCCAATTTTTGTTAACCTGGGTGAAGTACGAAAAAAATTGTGAACGTTCAAAGACAAAAGTGGGCGTGTCTGCTTAGGAAAACTATCGTTTTGAAATTACTTATAAATTTGTTGTTTTCATGTGTTACATTGCATTAGGACAGTTCAGAGCAGATAACTATGGAGCTATATTTCTATGTTATACCATCTTTCATGACAAAAAAGCCACATAAACACAAATACAGTTTTTTAGATTTCCATCCTTTGTCGAAACTTTTAATTCTTGAGCATGAAAAATGACAAAAATAAAAAATACAAGCTCATAGTTATCTTCCCCTTAAAATTTCACCCCAGAGAAACTCATAAAAATGAATCCAAGTTGCGTAATAACAAAACAATAGTTTTCCTAAAGTGAAATTTATGCCAAAAAGTGGAATGGAGAAAAATGCGTTCAAAGTGCTCCAACCTCTACCTTTTCTTTAGCATCGGAGGACCGAAAATAATTTATAAAAAATTAACTATGCAGTGTAAACTAATGAAACTTTCTGGGAATACTCTCTAGATGTTGGTGGATGTAAATATAACATTTTTCAAAATCAATTTTTTTGCAAAAATTGTTTTTTCTGGGTAGTGTCCCCCCTTAACAACTGCATCAGTCGTAGGTTTATTGCTCCTTTTGCATGACACAAGTTTGATGCTTGTACCAATGGCATCCTGGCTGCATGTTAGCAGGTGCTTCTGAGCACTGAGTGGCAGTAGGGTGACCACCTGTCCCACGAATCGCGGGACTGTCCTGCATTGAGGGGTCACGTCCCGCAAAAAATACCAAATGTCCCGCATTTCATGCTGCGTAAAATTCACTATGCGGCACTGCAGAACAGCAGCACGGGAATGCAGAGGTCACTGGTAATTGTGTGAATCGCGATAGTACGCCATTTTCGATCCAAGCATTGCGGGTAAGCAACAGTCGCCCTTGTCGCAGTCTAGAGAAGCTTGTTTTAGCGAACGCCGTTTTACCGACCCTGGTTTATCGAGTCCCTTTATAGAGAACCCAGTTTAGAGAAAATGGCGATGAGCCTCCTTTTAGCGAATTCGGCCGCCGCGAAGCAGCGTGTACGGGTAAATCAGGTGAGTTAACATTTTTGTGATGAGCCGCCGTAGCCAGAGGATCAACGGCCACACACAGCAAAAAGCCTGCAACTCGCAATGGTAGAAAAAAAAAACGAGGTTTTGTGTTGGAACATACAAGTATCGACAGAAAGAACTAAGTCTAAAAAGATTTAATGTTTATTTTTCCTCTTGATGCATTGTCTTCTGCTGAAGTCAATTTTCATGTTTTCATATTGGACACTCTTAGAGACGCCGTGCAACAATATTCACTTGGAATGTTCTTCATTTTACACGAGCTATACTATACTCGCATGCAATGCCACTGACCAAGGAACTCCTTTGTTGTGGTGTAATTTCAAGGACAAAAGCGAGCATTTTCTTTCAATCTCTCCTTTATGATACCTGATGACTAAGCTGGGGGGTCGCACTATCCCTCAGTGACGAGATTTGTATGTGACTCATATATTGGACCCAAGCATTGTGTGAGCACTCAATTTGGGCTCTTGATATTCAATAGCTCCACAAGCATTAGGGTAGTGGCAGTAATAAACGAAAAGGAATGTGTTGGTGAATAGGTATGAATACCTGAAAGGATGAAACATTGAGGACAGGGTCAGAAACAGGACTTCTTTCATTGAGCAACAACATAGAATGGCACAAAATATAAAAACCATCCTCCAAAGGTTTCAACATTCTCGAAGAAGGAAAGGAGAAATTTATTAAAAGAAAGGGAAATTTACTATAAATTGAAAAAGCTTAAAAAGCGTTGGCATTACCACGAGGTATCAATAATCTAGCCATCTCTGAACTTAGGAATTAGACCTTTGTCTTTATCAATGATAATGAAGGTGCAGAAATGTTGTTGATAGTCCCCATGGCCAATGATTCAATGATATCTCTCCAAAATCTGTTGTTGTGCCCGCCCAGAATTCTAGTATCGGAGAAATAAGCACTACAGCCATTGCACTTTCAACTGTGAACGACAATTGGGTGAAAAGACTTATTTGAAGCCTTTGATGCTTCCAAGTTGTTTTCTCTGAGTCGATGGTTAACACATCTCCCAGTTTGTCCGAGGTACCGACTGCCACAGCTTAGTGGAATTGAGTAATCCTTTCTTTCTTTACACTCTACAAACTTTTAGGAATGTTTAACATTGTACCCTCTGGGACTCTCACTTTCATTTATCTTTTTACACATGTGCTTAAACATACGACAGGAAAAAACCACACTCGTGTCGAACTTGGCCGTGATAGATCTTAAACGGTGCACGGAATCGTGCGTGTTGGAAATCGCAGCAAAACAACCTTTCTTTTGGCAACAGCTTGCAGAAGTTGGGGCCTAAGAATGAATCTCTCGAGGGTGGAATGAAGAAGGTATGCAGGAAAGCCTGCTTTTTCCAACCTCTGATGCTGCAACTTGAGGCTACTTTCGTTCCATCCTTGAAGCTACTTAGTTCCACCCTCGAGAGATTCATTCTCAGGCCGCAACTTCCGAAGCTGTTGCCAAAAAGAAAGGTTGTTTCGCTGTGGTTCCCTACATGTACAATTCCGCGCACCGTTTAAGATCTATCGCGTCCAAGTTCGATATACGAGTGGTTTTTGTCGTATGTGCCTTACGCAGATGTGTAAAAAGGTAAATGAGAGCGACAGTCCCAGAGGGTGCAATGTTAAACATGCCAAAAAGTTTGTAGGGTGCAAAGAAAGCCTGTTTATTAAATTCTACTAAGCTGCGGCAGTCAGTACATCGGACAGAGAACACAATTTGGAAGCATCAAGGCTTCAAATAAGTCTTCACCCAATCATCGTTCACAGCTGCACGTGCAATGACTGTACTCCTTATTTCTCCAATACTAGAATAGTGGGCGGGCACAACAGCAGACTTGGGAGAGAAATCTTTGAATAATTTTCCAAGGAGACTGCCAACAACATTTCTGCACGTTCATTATCACTGACAAAGACAGAGATTGAATTCCTAGCACCAGAGATATCTAGATTACTGGTACCTCATCATAATGCCAGCGCTTTTTAAACTTTTAAATTTATAGGAAATTTTCCGTTCTTCTAACAAATTTCTTCTTTGAAAATGTTTAAACCTTTGGAGGGCGGTTTTTATATTTTGTGCCATTCTATGTTGATTAATAAAAGAAGTCCTGTTTCCGACCGTGCACTCAAATGTTTTATTCATTGAAGTATTCATAAGTAGTGGCCAGTGTCCAATCGCTGCAGTGACGACAATACCGAACCATAACAATGTCTGGAACTCCGCGCATGTCTTGTGGTTTGCCAACCGCAGTGCGTGGCTATGATCAACATTGGCGGCATATAATCGGCTCCAGATCACGTGGGCGCTTGTTCTGGCTGCAATTTGAGGGGGTAAACGCAGCTTGTTTTTCTTAATTTATTTCTGACACTTCTATACAGAGCGCAAGTTAGTCTGCTTCTTTTGCAGGGATTGTGGTGATGTCAGAACGCCGAGCTCTCATTAACTCTGATTGACGAATAGTGGGTAGACCTCAAAGCAAGCTGCCTTGAGGTCTACCCACTATCCTTCAATCAGAGCCAATCAGAGCTCTGCGTCCTGACATCACCATAACTCCTGCAAAAGAAGCAGACGAATTTGTGCTCCGCATTGCTTGTGGTGAAAAGCGAACGAGTGTTTCAGAGGTCATTAACATCAGGGATTTGTTTTAAGCACTATTTGCACAAAGTACAAAATTGTTGCATCACCCCTTTAATCGTGTGCAGATGTTGATAAATTTCATCAAATAGTTCTTATTACAGCTGTCACAGTTGTGGTAATACCGTCCTTCTCTCGCATAATGTGGAAAGCAAGTTGTCTGCTCCTAGCGCAGGGGTTGCGGTGACATCAGAACGACGCCGAGTTCCGATTGGCTTCAAATGGAAGGATAATGAGTAGACCTCAATGCTAGATGCCTTCGACGTCTACCCACTATTTTTTCGATCAGCCCATAAGGGCTCGGCGTTCTGACATCATCGCAAACCCTGTGCAAGAAGCATGCAAACTTGCGCTCCACATAGGGAGTTTTATACCCCATTCAGATGGCCAGCATAAAGGAACCTCCCTTTTCAATCGGCGAATCAGCCTGCTCTCTTGGGTCACAAGCACTTGTCACGCAAAGAGGATCCCAAACTGTGGTTTAAAAAGCTCAAAGGACTAAGAAGAGAGGAAGGAGACGGGACAGAGCGCTTCTTCTTAGTCCTTTGCGCTTTTTAAACATCTAGACCTTGGCAAAATGTGCCCAAGGTCCCCAATTGATCTTGGATCTCAAACTAATTTGCCGCCGGCCAGAAAGGGTCTTTAGCTAAAGGTATGTTTACAATCGTGTGAATGGAATAGCATACACAATTTTGGCACATGCTAGCACTAAAT